GACGCCGGCAGCAAATCCAGGACATTCCCTGCTAAATATTGCTGTTAAATAACGGCAGAAGCTATACACTACACACCGGTTTGCAAGGTTATGGGGGGTGAAAACGGGTCTGATCTGCGAGATTGAACTCTGTAATCTCTCCTCTGCCCCCGTGAGAATGTTGATCGGAGTCATGAGGCGTTAGTTATATCAGCTCGTCCCAGTCGTAACTAGAACGTGACTTCGAAGACGCAGGCAAAAAGGAATGAATGAGCCAGCCACCTTGGTTAGCGTGCGTGCGGTGACGAGGAACAGGGCTAGCAGCGGCGATCGACGGGATCGATGCAGTGTGCATGTTTCAAATTTGGCCTTTTCTTTCCCAGGTGGTTTGTTCGAGAAGGTCGGGAAGAAGCCGAGTGTGTTCCGCTATTATTGTCGGACACGCATTGATGGCGAGTCTAGGATCCAATTCCGTCTTCTCCATAGCGGCCAGGGAAGGAAAAGGAACGTTGCAGTCGGCGGGCTGTTCGAAACCCCCCTGAGGGTTGGGGATGTCATGTGTTTGGTTTGGTTTCGAAGCACAGCTGGCAGTGGACCAATACAGCACGATCCTTGGCCTCAGCAGCATATTTCTCTTTCTTTATCTTGATCCTGCATTGACTTGGCCAGCTTGACGATGTGTGTACACTAGTGTATCTAGTGCCCGTACACTAGTGTGCCGGTAGGTGTACCTAGATCACGCCAGCGGGGCTCGGTTCATTCGACCGGTAGACAGTATCCGCCCTGTTGTGGGAGCAAAAAGCAGCGTACCTAGCCAGATTGCCAAGGCATTTCAGCAATTCAACAACAGTATGCCCATCGTAAGCCAGCCAGTCGCAGGTCTCCATGCGTCGTTAGCCAGACATGGCATAGGCTGTGGTGTGGTGCCCGTGCAAAGAGGGCGGCGGGGACAGCGTCGCAAGTCGGAACCTCGTCCGACGGACAGAACGTGCAAAAGCTGGGGGCGGCGAAGGTTGCCTTAGTTGGACACGTTTCGGTGGATTGATGCTACTCTGTGGTTTCTCTGGCTTCTCTCCTCTCGCAACTCGTCAGGCGAGGTACCTGAGGCGTTAGGCGGAACCGGATGGGTAGCAAAGGAAGTGCCGGTTCGTTTTGTTCCAAGGTAAGGTCTCGGGGGTAGGCCTCTCTCTGAAGTGTCTGTCTTGTGTGTGTGTGTGTGTTGGTGGTGTGTAGTTCTGAGCCGCAACAGAGGGCACAGGGCATGTGTCAAAAACGTCACGGACGAGGGTATGGCCGACCAGGAGCTACCTACCGTGTCGAAGAGTACCGAGAGTTTTGGATGGGGGACGCCTTTGTGTGTGTGCGCGCACCAACGGCAGACTCCAGAGATGATCGGCAAGCCCTATTGGAGACACATCGAACGAAGTACCTCTGTAGGTAGTAACAGGAGACGAAGGCGGAGAGCATGGCAGCTAATGTAGAGTTTGCAACGGCCGTAATGCTTTCTCCCCGTTCGGATAGAGGGCTAGAGAAGTGGGCTGCATCGCAGGGTCTCAGTCGGTCCAACAGTGCCCAGATACGTACATCTGCGGTGACAATCGGCATGTTTCTGACTCTATCATTTCCGTGCCGCACTTTGCATGCTGCCACGAGACGGTATACATAGGGGTGTGTGTGTGTGTGTGTGTATGTGCGCGCCGTGTGTGCTGTGCGTACGCATGCAAGTGTTAGGCCGTCAGGCCTTGGCCGCCGCCTGTGGCCGTACTAACGCCACCCCATGCGAGGATTGGACTGGTCGAGATGAGGTAAAGTACGTAAACGTCCGTCTAACGTTGTCAAATTGGGTTCCCGAGCTTCGTCATTGGCGGCGGGGGACAAGTTGATGATGCGAATAGAGAGGCACAGGTGTGTTGGTTCGGAGTGCTATGTGCAAGCCGTATCTTGTAGTGTGCTCAATGGTTGCATCTGGCGAGACCAACCGGCCGCCAAGACGGAGGAGCACGCAATCGGCGGTGGGTTGGATGTCCAAGAATGGGGTGCCGTTGGCATCATGTGATGTATGCGAGGGGTCTCTGCTAGGGACCTCACCTCCAGGGCAATCCGTCCGTCTCCATAGGGGGCGGAGTAAAAATAATGGCAAGCAATGTACATGGTGCACCAACAACCGCTCTCAACGTTCTCATTCTGCAGCGCAGCGCCGACAGACTCACGGCGACTCGATGGGACGGGAAGCGAAGATGGCGCCTGCTAATTAATTAGCACGTGACTGTCGTAGTGTCAGCAGCAACAAGCACCTTGTACACTGACTGACTGACTGGATTGGCCAATCTTGGTCGGACCCCAACCGCATTGCAAAGGAGAAGAGAAAAGGAAAAGGAAAAGGCCAGTCGAAGATCTTCGTCCCGCTTGCAGGTGGGATGGAGCAGTAAGGTTGGTCCAGTATTCGTAGAGTGGTAGGTCCCGGTCGTGGTTCCCCTCTCCTCTCTCGTCGCTCAAGGAGCACTTTGGCAGAGAGCTCGGCGGGGCGCTGTCCGAGGCGATCCGCAAGTGCATCTGGATGTGTGTGCCCAGACAAGTGTAGGAAGAGGAGTACATTCGTTCGTTGTCTTTGGTGAAGCTGGAGCTCCCCATGCTCAACATCCGTTCGCACTCTGCTTGGAGGAGTCCACGGTAGATGCAAGAACGAATCCGAGCTCAAGGAAGAAGATGCATCCGGACCCTTGCACCTGCCTACTGCTGCCGAGCCCGACAAACTGCGCAGGGCCCAACAGTACTCACTAGTTGAATGAGCGGGCAAGAAGAAAGAGAGGAGCAGACACCTGCATCGAGTTGACGTCGACATTTGCAACAAATATGGGTGGATGGATGGATTGATGACTGACAACATGTTGACTAAACGAATGGATGGATTGAAATCAGACAGACAACCAACCCGAAGCAGGTAGGCACGTACCTTCCCTCCATCCCCAACCCTTGTCTGTTTCCATTCCTTCTTTCCTTCTCCCTCCATGCCGTCCTCCCGTCTCTCCTTCCTTCCTTCCTTGCCTTGCCTTGCCTTCTCTTAGTATACGGCGTTTCCGTGCCTTCTCCTCTTTCTACCTGTAGGTAGTTCTCCATTTCCTTCCCCCACTCCCCCCCCTGTTCGGCCTTGCGCGGAAGGAAGAAAGGAAGGAAGGCGTAGGTACGTACCTCGTACCCTTTTTCTTAGCTTCACGGTTCCCGTACTCTGCACTGTAAAGTAAAGGTGGACCTGTTCTTTGATCTCCTCCACACCACGGGCGTGCGTGGTCCTCCTCTCTCTTCTCCGTCCTCTTCCCTCCCCCCCCCCCCCCACACCTCCCTCCACTTTCCGTCCGACGCCCATCGCTTAGATAGGTATTTCAACCCCTGTTTCCTTGCTCCACGATGTCATGGTTCATGTACTTTCCCTATACGTACCGTTGGCTCCATTTCTGCTCCTAAGCAGGTAGGTACCCTCTCGTCTCCTCTTGTCTCCTGCTTTTTCGCTTTGCTTTGCTTTGCTTTGCCTGCATCTGCATCAGCATATCACACAACAGAGGTGCCGCTCTTCCCAGGGTACTTTGGTTTGTACGAATGAACGGCCACAAGTCTCTTCCTTGCTGTACGTACCTACCTATACTACGTAGGTAGGCAGTTTACTACGTACATTATCACACATTATTACCCGCCTTGCTCCCTGTCCGTCGTCGTTGCCGCCAACCTTTTCCTCTCCTGGTTCCATTGTCCACCCCACCGTTGTTTTTACATCGCACAGCTTCTTCCCCTCTCATAAGTGCTCCTCCTTCCTTCTCCTCTTCCCTCTTTTTATGCACCGGAGGGGCCTCGAAACGAGACAGAGAAAAAGCGAGAGAGAGAGATAATTCATTGTCTTCGAGGTGGATATAGTCGCACCTCGCCCCACCCGCTTCCCCTACAGTCAGTCTCTCCATCGTCGCAGAAAAAGCGCCTTTCCATGACCTTGAATCTCACCGTCCATGCCAGGCACACACCTATTCAAAAAATCCTTGCCCTGCAGGCTCACATCAATTCCCGCCTCATCTCGCCCTTCTCACCTTTCCCTCTCAGCGCTAGCGGCCCTCACTTAGTGTGGTTGACCCCCCCCCGACCCGACCTTGACGCCAAGCATACACACAAACGCCATACCTTGCCTCGGAGACTTGCTTTGGATTTAGAAGAAAGGTAGATACGATACCACCTCCACTCGGCCGCATATCCACCACGGTCCTTGGACTCATCGTTCAACCCTCGTAGCCTTCTCCAGCCTATACATCTACCGATCCGTCCACCATTTGTCCACCTCCCTACCTTACATCTTACTGGCCTCTTCCCCCCCGTCCATAACTGGTCCCCCCCCCCGAGACCTAAGAGACTCCCGCGCAGATCTCGTGTCGCCCTCGCTTTCTAGCTGCCGATCACACGCCCAATCACGGCTCCTTGTCTCCCGACCCCCAGAGTCTAGGTCCGGACCTGTCACTTTTCTGCCCGACACAAATCAATCCATTAATACTGTGTCTCCTGCCCGTTCGACCACCGCCGCTGCTAGGTTTATTACTCCCGCCGCCCACTCTACGTATTCGCCAGACAACCACCTCTATTCTCTCGACGACCTGCCATCCGTCATCAACGTGCCTCAATCCCGTTCGACGTTTACCGGTCCCTTCGCTTCCGCTACAACACCCCCTCTCCCCCCCTCAAGTGAGACAACCCGCAGACGCTTACCGGCGGATCATGCTTCGCCCATAAGCACGTCGATCTCTTCCTCTTCCTATATCCTTCCCCGTTCTTAAATCTGCAACGCCGATTGCCGCCCATTTAATTCACCAAGGAAACCTCAAAACCTACTTCGTTTGCCGCTACATCCTGTTGCTGCCAACACCCCGACCGCACTCTGATCCATTCTCCGGCACGCATAGACGTTGGGAATTCTTCTCAACGTCCCGCCTGCATCCATAATCAAAACGGCCGATCCGCGGCAGAAGCAAGGCCGCTTCACTTTGGCCATGGATGCCCTCAAGAATATCGTCAACAATGTCCCCGAATGGCTGGACCGACTCGATCAGCTCGGGGAACAGATCGATCAGCGTCAGGTTGAGCTCGCTGCACTCGGCGCCGACAAGTCGTCACGCTCACTCAAGAACCGCGGATCCACCGAATCACTCAAGCTCAAGGATGAAACCCCCGAAGCCATTCCCCCACCCGCCGATGAAACCCCTGCGAACGAGACAAGTGCACCGCGACCGGTTGTCGTCACGACGCCAACTGCTCAAGACGGGCCGACAGAGAAAGATGAGCCTTCTAGCCCTAGTAGCGGAACGCCATCGGCCCTCAAGAAGCAGACCCGACGAGCAATGGCTTTGGCACAAGCCCGTGCCCGTGCTGTCGTCGAGAAGAGACCTCGTCCAGATTCGGTCATGTCGACTGAGGAGGATGCCCCGGCGAGGTACCGCTCACGGAAACTCGTTCTCGTCTACTATGACTCGTACGTAGAAAGCTTCTTCGAAGAGCTGGTCAAATTCGTGTCGGCAAGCCGGAACCTGATGCGGAAGGCGAAAATGGCAGCAAAAGTGGCTACGATACGTCGCTTGGCGGAACGGGAACAGCCCGAGGGAGACGACGCAGAGAGTGCCGGGGACCTTCAGCCCGACACCACTGGCGGTGCTGGCGCTGCCTCCGATGCGTTGCCTTCTTTGCGGTACATGAGCACAAGGCGAATAGGCCCCAACGGTCGCACAGGGTCTTCATACGCACGCTCCGGTGCAGGTGGCGCTATGATGGGCGATAGCGGGCCAGACGCTTATGACGAACTTGACAAGTGCCTCGAATACATCCAGAACCAGTCCGAACATGCCGCTCATCAGTTTTTGCGTGACGGGGACTGCACTGAGGAGATTGGCAACATTCAACGCCGGCTTGCAGAGACCAAAGACCTGGCTCAAAAGGAAATGGAGCGAGTCGAGAAGGAAGAGCCCGAGCTACTGAAGGCAACCAGCGAAGCGAATAAGGTGCGGACTCTTCGACCGACGAGCATGCGCCGTGAGCTCACGGCCGCCAAGGACAGCACCCCGCCGCCCATCACCCCCAGAAGGGCCGAAGTTGACTCGAAGATTGAGGCGGAGAACAAGACACCGACCACCAAAACGATTGAGGTTGACATGTCCAAACCCCTAGAGGCGGACGATGCGCCCATTGAGGCGGACGACGAGGGAATCGACGACATGGAAATCACGTTGCCGCCCAGGCTGAACTATCGGTCTACCCGGGCGATGCGCGGCTGAGCACGCATCGCCCTTGTTTGGATTCCATACCCAATCTCTACGGAATCACGTTTTCCCACATCTATTTTAATGACTGATACGGCCTCGCCCAGGAAGAAGAAGGGGGGAGCATTCATGGACCAAAAGCATTGGATGAGATAGGAGGGTGTTGGTTTCCATCCAACGAAAAAGAAGAAGAGAAGAAGAAAAAGGGTTCGACGAGAATTGCCCTATGATATCTGGAAAAACTACATGCATAGCATAGCGTCTGTTGCTTCTATACTACCGCCCGAGTCGCATTGGTGAGGTTTTTGGGTCGTATAGTTCATTTTGGGAAGAGGTTCGTTGGGCATCGTGAAAAGGAGGGGGGTGGGATTAGGCGGAAGAGGAGAGTTAGGAAAGCCTCAAGAGCAAGGAGAGAAGGGAGCGCACAAGCCCGCCTGAGAGGAGTCATGTTCCTTTTATTTTTTGCTTTAGTTTACGGAGGAGGCGACACCGGGGGCGCGAAGTTGGATGAGACAATATTGTCTCGTCCTCTTTTCTAACTGTATGCCCCCCCTATCGAATCGAGGCTCCGGGCCCAAGAAGGTCAAAAAGGAGTCAGGCCCACCTGGGAGCAGTTTCTGGTTCACCGAGTCTTCAGAGAATATGTTCCGACGCCCGGCCAGACGCGAGGCACTTTTTATCCTTTTTTTTTAGCCTTCTTTTAATAAAAACCCGTCGGTGTTCCATTGGTTTGAGGCCGTGCTGAGGAGTGATAAGACGTGCTGAGGGCGGTCATCGTCGTGTTGTTCAGACGGGTATTATCGATTCTGTATTGAGGCCCCGATTGCGCAAGCCGATGACGGCTAAAACCACCCATGCCGATGCCGCCGATTGCTGACCGCACCACTCTCCCTTCTTCTTCGTCCATTTCCTTCTCTATGCCTTTATGCTGTATCTCTACATAACTCACTTCTGTGTCTCCTGCGTCTGGCTCGATCCCGTCGCGGCTGCCAGAATGCCAGCACCCTTGATCCCGCCGTCGTGGCAGGGGCTCAATACGACCCGCACCGGCGGCGGCTGTTCGTGGTATTCGAGCCTCACAATTTTGTCCAGGAAGTCTTGGGTATCAGCGAGGTAGTCCTGGAAGTGCGAGATGCAGCCGCCGGTGTAGCCGACGCCCAGCTCCTTGACGGGTGTCACGTCGGCGCCGGCCGGCACTGGCTCGGGGATATCCCCTGCCAGCTTGAGGAGGGCCACGGTGGCTGCTGCGACGATGCCTGCGGCGCGGACCTGGATGGCCTTTGCGATGTGGTAGAGGGCGACGGCCGTCTCGGGGGTCCACTGGAAGGAGGCGCCCTCATCTGCCGGGAACTCATTTTCCAACTTGGCAAGTAGGGCCGATGGATCTGACGGGCGAGAGGGCTTGAAGTGGCTAAGAAACGTTGTCGTCATCCGGTACCTCACCAACAGATCTTTGGGCAAGGATGACTCCTCGAAGGCGAGTACCGTTTTTAGGTAGTCGACGAGTATGAGACGGCCGAGCTCGCCGAGGTAGCGGCCGGCGGTCATGTACTCGAGCGGCTGGAAGCCGGCAATCTCGTTGGGTCCCACGAGCGCGGCGTCGAGGGCAGAATCCCACGGGGTGATGAGGTGCAGCTCGCGCATGGGAGGGGCGGTGCCGCGGATGCTCCATTCCGTGTTGACGGCGATGCGGGCGAGATGGGCAGATTCTCCTGGGAGTGTGCTCACGTTTGCGGGCCACTTGTTGGAGCCCATGGCGGTGAGTCGAAGGGGGATGGTGGCGTTGCAGCCAGTGCCGACGATGAGGCCCATGCTGGCCTTTTTAGAATGAGACTCGTTGAATAGGTAGATAAAGGAGATGAGGGTGGAAACGGAGTCGTTGGATATCGCTGCAATGCGGATGGGAGGGAGCCGGTGTGCGTCGCCATCATCGACGACGCGGGACTTTTCATATCCCCTGAGCAGCAGAGGACCGAGTTCGGCGTCACCTCCGATGCTGAAGCCCTTGCCCATGGTCATGACAGTGGCATCGGAAATGGAGTGCTGGACCATGGGAAAGCTGAAGGTGATGCCCAAGGGGAGCTCCTCTTGAGCGGGAAGCTGCCATTCCTCGCAAGCGGAGCGGACAACTTCGGCGATGCGGGCGCCGATCCAGTCGAAGAGAAGTTGGGGGTCGGCTTCGCTGTCCGTTTTGAGGCGATCATCAATGGGCCACGACTTCTCTTTGAGGCGGAGAGCTGGTGCGGTGGAGGAGGTGCCATTGGTCCGGGAGATGGCTGTGGAGAGTGCGTCGTCGGGGATTGTGGTGTCTTTGCCTTCCAGTTCGACGAATCCTACCCTCAGGTTCGTGCCTCCGCTGGGACAGGGTTAGTGATTCGGGTTTCCGGAGAGAAACAAATTGTTGGATATGTGCGAGATGGGTTAAGCGGAGGGGGCCTTGCAATGTTTGGTGAGGGCTGACATACATGTCGATGGCTAGATGCCTGTCAATTTCATGTTAGTTCCATCCATTGCACGTTGAGCAAACAAATTCTTCGTCTTCTTGTCTCGCACCGTCTGAGCACTTGCAAGCCAGATGGCGGAACAGGACCCAGTGAAGATGCAGCGGAGGCGATTACGAGAAGGAGGCGGGGGGGGGGGGGACATACCTTCCATGGCCGTTGTGGCTGACAGGTCTTAGAATGGACTCGGAGATGGGCGTCGCGAGGAATTGATCCTCGGCGTTGAGAGCAAGATGCTTGAAATTGGCATAAAAGAGGCGGGACAGTGCGTGAATCTTTTGACTGTCAACCCGGAGCGGCTGCAGGAACTGGTGCAGGGCGAAACCAGGATCCATCGCTCGTCTGTCTATGTTGGTCCTCTTTACAAATGCTTAGGGGAATGATAACGAAATGCGGCGTTCCCAGGGAGCGTGTCTCTAGCCTTGTCTGGCCTTGCCTTGCCTTGCCTTGTCTCGCCTCACCTCGCAGTCTCGCCTCGTTTTCAGGTGCTGCTGCTGCTGCTGCTGTTGTTGCTGATGGTGGTGGTGGTGGTTATGCGGTCTCTGGGATGAGGGGTACTTCCGTCGACACAAGATAGTTCCGGGGAAGAGGGCTTATCAGTTTGAAACCGCAATCATGGATGGAGAGACGGAGAGGAACAGGGAAAGAAAGTAAAGACGGAGTAGCTGTTCTCTCGTCTTGAGCGTTGAGTGGGAGAGAAGAGGAAAAAAAAACCAACGAGATACAACGATGTTGCAAGGCACGTTACACCCAGCTGCGATGCGATTTCATTACTTACGTCCAGTGTGGGAAAAGAGCGAGCGAAGACGGCGGTGGTGTGGATCAGCGACTGGATGCCACTGTGCCTGCCTGCCTGCTGCCTTCCTTTCTTAGAGTTCATGACAAGTACTTACCGGCTCGTCTTATGTAAGACAAATCCATTTACTCCAGGTAAGCGACTCACTGCGTCTCACCTCTCTCATCACTTCTGCATCCCTGGATATGCTTCCAACACGATCAAATACTATAATAAAACAAAACCAGACTCGCTAGCTAGACCCTTGCTACTAGCAGTACAGTACATAGGTAATTTCATCTCGCACTGTTGCATCGGCAATAAATGGTTCCCTTGTTGACGAATGCGACAGTAAGGATACGGAGTCATATATTGATAGGTACGTACCTTATAGAGGACGTAAGCTGCTGATAAGATAAGGTACATAGTAGCGAAGCCAGCCCACCCCAGCCCACCCCGCTATCGCCAGCATGTCGCGGACGGAGCTTTGACCAGACCAAGGCCGGGATAGATGTATACATCGTCTCACATACTGAAAAGCGCATCACCAAAGGTACCTTTCTAAGCTTACACAGCTATTCCCCTTCTAGCTAGCGTCAACGCACCAACGTCCGTCTGCCTGTCGTTCTTGATTGGGGCCTGAGGAGCCAGTGCCGTGCTCGTGCTCATGCTCGTGCGTGCTCCGTGCATGCTGCATCTCTACCGTGTCGCAATCCCATCGAACCCCTCGCGCCATCCCGTCATTACTAACCTCTTCTGCTGCTTTCTCCAGCTTCTCCAAATGGGTGCCCACCGAGCTTGTTCGGAACACCGCACCGTCTACCGCCAACAACGTGAAAACACCACACCACCGCTACCCCCCTCTGAGATCAACACCAGCGCCCAATCGTCCAAGCCGTCGCCGCGATCCCGATACCAATACCCCGAGCCCGATATTCCCTTTGTCATGGACGAGAAGCGCGCCTATCTCGGATACCGTGCTCCCAACCCTCCGCCACGTCCCATGGCTGCCTTCAAGCGGCAGATAAAGGGCTTGGTGCTCATAGTGCTCGTGGCATTGCTGTTTGCCTGGAATTATCGGGTCTACCTGGCCCACCCGGCTAGTACCGGCTCCATCCCGGGGCAGGCCCCGGTTGCCGTCGCAAAGGACCTGGTGCCTTTGGAGGCGCACATCATGAGCAAGTGTCCAGATGCGAGGGTAAGTCGTGATTGGCATGGGGTAGAGCATATACGGTCGGTACTGACACGGGGGGCCTAGGACTGCTTGAGAGATCTGGTCCTGCCTACCATGATGAAGGCCCAGGACAAGGTGAACTTTACTCTCTCGTATATCGGCACGTAAGTAATTTCCGTTTCAAGACGTGCGCTATCGTGGATGCCTGACGATGGAGTTTACAGACCGACCGAAAACGACGGCGTCGACTGCAAGCATGGCCCCTCGGAATGTAAGCCGGCATCCCGCTCCCCCTCCACTGAAAATTCAATGCCCTGACATTTTATGACAAGGCATGGGAAATATTATCGAGCTTTGTGCTGCCCACCTCTACCCCGATCCCAAGATCAACCTCGGCTTCACCATGTGCCTCACCCGCGAATACAGCTCCATCCCCGATCGTACTCTGGTCGAAGACTGTGCCCTGGAGCACGCCATTGATATCAAGGCCCTTAACGACTGCGCCACCGAGGACGATGGAGGCTTCGGCATTGGCATGCTGCGTGCTAGCGTTCGCCGGAGCAAGAATGTGAGTACATATTCCCCAGCCAAAACGCTAGGAGCCGGCCATGAGCCGCCGTCGGGTGAAGGTGTTGCTGACCATGACCCTGCCAGGCCGGTGTGACCAAGAGCTGTACCGTCAGGCTCAACGAGGAGATTTACTGCATCCGGGACGGTGGCGAGTGGAAGGACTGCCCGCACGGATCGGGCGTCAACGACCTCGTCATCGCTATTGAGAAGCTTTACCGTCCTTAGACCTCTTGATGGGCTCGTATACCTCCGTCCATAGCTCGCTAGCCTCTCCAAGTGTATAACTCAATGCAAGACTGTCCATGCCCGCCTCGCCGTCGCCTTCCATGACGGAGAGCGTCTCCACGATACTGTCGAGGCCGACAGCCTTGCCGACGGCCTGCGTCGCGCCGGCCTCGAGCTGTACGTGCACAATGTGAATGTGGAAGTGGTAGTAGGTCGGCTGGTAGTGCACGTAGAGCTTGAGCTGGTCGACGTCGACGTCCGGGTACTGGCCGACGGTGGCGGCCAGGAGCCTGGCCTTCATGCGGCGCAGCCAGGGGACGTGCTTCTTGCGCAGGTCGCGCAGGGACCAGATGTCGCGGCGCTCGACGAGGCCGAGGAGGTGCAGGGCGTCGAGCGTCTTGCGGTCCCAGTTGAGGTCCGGCAGCAGCAGGAAGCCCTCGTCGCCCTCGGCGCCGAGCGGGGTGCGGTAGATGACGTCCTCGACCTCGGTGCGGCCCTCGATGATGTTGAAGACCCAGTTGAGGCGGCCCTCGTCGCGCTTGCGCTGCATGTAGGGGCGGACGTGCTCGGCGTAGATGTCGGGGGTCTCGGTGACGAGCCGGACGCCCTGCCGGCTGTACTTCTTGACGTGGGCGTCGGTGCAGGGGTAGATGAGGTTGATCTTGAGGTCGGCGAGGAGCGAGGGGTCGGGCACCGCCGCGGGCGCAGGCGCGCCGCTGCTGGCGAGGTACCAGTGGTAGACGTCGTTGGCGCCGAGGTTTGCGATGGAGGCGAGGGAGGCCGGGGCGGTGGCGAGGTAGGCGGGGTCGGTCGGGAAAGGGGCGCGCTCGAGGATCAGGAGCGCGGGCTTGGCGCCGATGGTGCCCAGCAGCGAAGTGCGACGGCCGGCCTGGTCTGCGGGGGTGGAGGTATCGTCAGTTCTGGCCGCGGCTCTGGGCGGTGTGTTTTATGTGTGTGTGCGTGTGTGTAAAAGCTGATGGAACGGACCTTGGTTGAGGACGCGGTCGAGCTTGAACCTGGGAACCAGCGCCTCGGCGTCTGCTTTGACATCGGCCATGGCTTCTTCTTCTTCTCGCCCGTGGATTTGTCGTGGCACCTTTCTAGAACGTAGATTTCCTCTTCGGGGGTTCTCGACGAGACTGTATATCAGTAGACGGGGTACAGAATGGTAATGGCTTGCAGTCGGTGAAAGGGCTGGGTTGGCCTTGGGGAAAAAAACCTGGCGGGGACGGCGTTCCGGATTGAGTTCACCGAAAAGCAAGAGCAACCCCGCCGTTACCCCGCGGTGGGGCACCAGGTCATGCCGCCCCGTCGTCTGCCGTCCGGCGTCCACCGTCTCTGCAAACGTTCGGCTAATTACGGATACAGTCGCCCACAATCACAGGGAGCATCGAACCCGCGCACACAACATGACTATACTGGTTGACAGTAGTCGTCAGCTTCGATTACCTCTCGATGCATTTTGTCAGTCACTCTAGCACCCCCCCCCTTCGACACCGAGCAGGCGACGTCAACATCAGCAAAAGCCGACTCCATCTTGGGCTTCCGTCGAATGGAGCAATGCCAGCTGTTCGAAGCTTGCAGGACAGTAGGTAAATCAGGCCATGGCCCTCGAAGGATGGATTGAAGGACTGGTGCGGGGCCCAGGGTCGCCTTTGTTCAACGAGACGAGTGATTTCCCCAAGTAATACCAACCAACCTGTGCGTATGGCGGCTTCTTGGCAGACAATCGACTACCTACCGTAGGTAAAAACGTAACTAACACCGACCCGCACCTCGGGGGGGCGTTGCAAGCACTAATGATAATGGCGCCATGTTCGACCCACATAACTGACGGTACAAGCAAGTTCTATACCTCCAACATACGGATATACATATAAAGTATCGATACAAGAATGCACCATCACTTTACAAGCATTAATCCCGGTGTTGGATTCCTCTGGCATCACCGTAACAGGTATACATCCCCAGCCGAATCTTCACGATAACGCGTCCAGGGTGGATATCTCTCCTACCCATGCACACCTCGCCTCCAAACAACGTATACAATCCTATCCAATCAGCGAGGCAACCAGTCTTCTGGGCTGAGAACCAACAGTGCCCGTAAAAGCCAGCTAGGATAGATTCTCTGGGTATCCCCGTTGCCCTTCATTTCAGGAGGCCCGTGGTTTCCCGACGGCTCATCCCCGTCTGCAGCTGGCAGTGGTGTCAGTTCACTCAAATACACCAAGACTCGTTCTCGAGACTTTGTTCTGACTTTGTCTGAGAACAGCACAGAACAGAGTCCGCATCCAAGTTGGTTTTTGAATTTCAACCTCAGCTCGTACCTCTACCGGAGCAACCAGCATGACGACCGAGGAGGTCCCCATCCCCGAGCCATGGGGTCTGCCCATCCTTGGGCACATGGCCGAGTTTACCACCGAGAATACAATGGAAGATATATATCGATTGGCAGACACATTCGGTGTGTATACGACGTTCCATTTGCCAATCAATGGCACCGCGGCACGAGTCGCTGATCATCATACCAGGCGAGGTTTACCGTCTTCGATTCCCTGGCGGGAACACCATGTGCATGTTTTCTACAAACGCTCTAATCAACGAGCTCTGCGACGAATCTCGCTTCAAAAAGACACTGAACAACGTCATCGGTGTGAGAAAAAACACCCGTATCATTCTCCAGAGCAAACCTGATTCGACATAGGAATTGAGGACCATTGCCAATGATGGCCTCTTTACTGTGAGAGGACTGGACCATCCTCGCCCCCCCCACCCCAATTATTGACGTATTCTAGGCCGACATTGACGAGCCAAACTGGGGCATCGCCCACAGAATCCTGGTCCCAGCCTTCGGACCCGTAACCATTCGCGGCATGTTTGACGAGATGGTCGACCTCGCAAGCCAGATGGCCTTGAAATGGGCTCGCCACGGCCCCTCAACACCCATCATGGTCACCGATGACTTCACTCGTCTCACTTTGGATACCATTGCCCTGTGCTCCATGGGCTTCCGCTTCAATTCCTTCTACAGCGAAGAGCTTCACCCCTTCCTCAAGGCCATGTCAGACGCCCTCACGGAATGCGGAAACAGGCAAACGAGACCGGGCTTCGCCAACTACATCTTTTGGAGCACACAGCAGAAGTTCTCCGCCGACAAAGACTTGTTGCGCAAGACGGCGGAAGAGGTGCTGAATTCTCGAAAAGAGCACCCGTCCACAAGGAAAGACTTGCTGTCTGCCATGCTCAACGGCGTGGACCCCAAAACGGGCCAGAAGATGACCGATGCCAGTATCATCGATAACTTGATTACTTTCCTCATTGCCGGCCACGAAACAACTTCCGGCCTGCTGTCCTTTGCATTTTACCAGCTTCTTCGGAATCCAGCAGCCTATCGAAAAGCCCAGCAAGAAGTTGACGAGGTTCTCGGCCTAGGCCCCTTCACCATACATCACTTGTCCAAGCTGCCCTACCTGAATGCTGTGAGTTCGGTCCAGCCCTCTTCTTTCTACCGTTGTATGTATCACGTATTGGATAATACTCATTTTATTTCCTCCAGATTCTCCGAGAGACATTGCGGCTTTCTTCTACGGTTCCTGCCTTCGCCCTCGAGGCCAAAGAAGAAACACTCGTTGCCGGAAAATACCGCGTCAAGAAGGGAGAAGCTCTCGTAGCAGTCCTTGGCAAAGCGCACATCGATCCCGTTGTCTACGGCGACGACGCAAAAGAGTTCAAGCCCGAGCGCATGCTGGACGAGAACTTTGAACGCATACAAAACGAGTTCCCCAACTCGTGGAAGCCCTTTGGTAACGGCCTGCGTGGCTGCATTGGCAGGCCGTTTGCTTGGCAGGAGGCATTGCTCGCCGTGGCCATGCTTCTGCAGAATTTCAACTTCACCATGGAAGACCCCAACTACCAGCTCGAGATTATCGAGACGCTCACCATAAAACCCAAGAATTTCTACATGCGTGCGACCCTACGACATGGGATGAGTCCCACGGAGCTGGAGCAGAGGCTCATGGGCAAAGGCTCGAACAAGACGACTTTGCCGCTTCGACCGTCAGCGCAGACAAATGGCCACCCGACGAACGGCAGTAAGAAAACCGAAGTCGGTGGGATCCCCATGAGCATCTATTACGGATCTAACAGTGGCACATGCGAGGCGCTCGCCCAAAGACTCGCCACGGATGCGACGACTCGCGGATTTAACGCTACAACCGTGGAGCCCTTGGACACCGCTCGCGAGAATTTGCCCAAGAATCAGCCCGCAGTGATCATCACTGCCTCTTACGAAGGCCACCCGCCAGACAACGCAGCCCACTTTGTCGCTTGGCTCGAGAGCTTGAAGGCCCAGGAGTTGAGCAACGTTCCATACGCCGTCTTCGGGTGTGGCCACCAGGACTGGGTTCAAACGTTCCACCGCGTTCCGAAGCTAGTCGATACCATAATGGAAGAGCGCGGAGCAAACAGAGTCGCGCCGATGGGGCTGACAAACGCTGCCGACAGAGACATGTTTTCGGACTTTGAGGCCTGGGAGGACAAGTTTCTCTGGCCGGCGCTTACAGAGAAGTACGATGTAATCGAGGCACAAAACGCCAATGGTTCAAGCTCCGGACTTGTTGTGCAAATTTCCAACCCCCGCACTTCGACTCTGCGGCAGGATGTCGAGGAGGCCGTCATCGTCGAGGAGAAGACCCTTACGGCGGCTGGAGCGGCCCCGAAGAAGCACATGGGCATCCAGCTCCCGCCCGGCATGGCGTTCAGGGCCGGAGACTACCTGGCCGTCCTGCCCCTGAACCCGCGGGAGAGCATCGAGCGGGTCTTTCACAGGTTCCAGCTTGCGCGTGACGCCTGCTTGACCATATCTGGCGATAGGCGCTCGCTCCTGCCGGTCAACCGGACCGTCTCGGCGTACGAGATTCTCAGCGCCTACGTCGAGCTTGGCCAACCCGCCACGAAGCGCAACGTCTTGTCCCTGCTGGAGGCAGCCGAGGACGGAGAGACCATGGAGAAGCTGGAGCAGCTGGCCGGCGCGGAGTACCAGGCGGAGATCACCCAGAAGCGAGTAACGATCTTGGACCTCTTGGAAAGGTTCCCGTCTATCGCGCTGCCTATTGGATCTTTCCTCGCTATGCTTCCTCCCATGCGCGTGCGACAATAGTGAGCATTAAACCGTTCATCCCCGAGACCAACCAGCGACTGTACTGACTGACCATCACCAGCTCCATCTCATCCTCCCCGCTCCGCCACCCCTCGCAAGCAACCCTTACCTACTCCGTGCTCGGCGGGCCTTCCCTGTCGGGCCAGGGCCGTTACGTAGGCGTGGCGACCAGCTACCTCGCGGGCCTCAAGGCGGCCGACAAGCTTCATGTCGCCGTGCGGCCCTCGCACGCAGCCTTCCACCTCCCCCACCAGCCCGAGAAGACGCCGCTCATCCTCGTCGCCGCGGGCTCAGGCATCGCGCCCTTCCGCGGGTTCGTCCAGGAGCGCGCCGCCATGCTCACGGCGGGGCGGGCCGTCGCCCCGGCACTCCTGTTCTACGGGTGCCGCGAGCCCGGCGTCGACGACCTGTACCGCCAGGAGCTCGACATCTGGGAGGGGATGGGCGCCGTCGCGGTGCGCAGGGCGTACTCGCGCGCCCAAGCCGAGGAGAGCGAGGGGTGCAGGTACGTCCAGCACCGGCTCTACCACGACAAGAAGGACGTCGCGGGCCTCTGGGCCCGGGGGGCTAAGCTCTTCGTCTGCGGGACGCGGGACGTGGGCAGGGCGGTCGAGGAGGCGTGCGTCAGGATCATACTGGAGTCGGCCAAGGAGGAGGGCGGGCAGCCCGAGCTGAGAGACCTGGACTACGAGGGGGCCAAGAAGTGGTTCGAAGGGATCCGGAACGAGAGGTACGCTACAGACGTCTTTGATTGAGAGCGGTCGAGGGCAGATGGCAGTGTCAGTCCCCTCTGCGTAATTCAACACATACATCTACAAGAATACAAGTTGTGTTCATTGCAACCATGAGGGTTTTTCTTCTCTTCTTTTTTTCGGAGTAGCTGTAGCACATCCTCATCATGTATCATGTTCTTCCCTAAGGTAAAACAACGGATCGCCGACTCTGAACTCCGTAGACGTGAAATAGCGTTACCGTTTTGCTACATATACAGAGGGGTTAACAACCATGTAAGCCGATACACGTATTTCCTTTTTTCCAGAACCAAGACAACAGCTAGATGATCTGGCCTCCAAAGGGCTTCAGTCAGACAAGAACCATCGCTGGTGCGCCAGCATGTCGCCACAGCCCAGCGGCGCGCGCCGCCCACGCGTACCACCCCTTTTCATCGCCGTCCCGGTCTTCCCGGGCGGCGGCCCACAAGCGGCGCGAAGGCATCATGACAACCCCCCCCGCGAGGGCGTCTTCCGAGTCCCACCGGCGCCCGGCGCCGTCCGCATCGGCCATCTCGATCTCGTCCATGTGCCTTAGGACGCGCTCGTCGCGCTCGGAGATGGGGGTCGTCGCACAGCCCTAGGTTGGGATATTCGGGAGACGATGTCGGACGAGTGCGTCACTTAGTGCTGCGTGACGTCCCACCAGCGGTGGGTTTCCGGAAGCGTCGCGAAGGACGAGGGCATCTCGTGGAAGGCGGCGCGCTCCCCCCCTGAACCGTCCTGGGAGCACCACGACCGCTCAGAATAGTCGTCCTCCTGGCCGCTTTCGCTGTCCTCCCCGCCGCGAGGCTCCTCCGAGTCGTCCCGGTCCCGCCGCCGGAGCACGTCGCAGGACCAGGACTGCTGGATGAGTCGCTGGAAGACGTGTATCGCGTCCGTCTCGACGGCCTCGGCGCCGACGACGCTCCGGCCCGGGGGGCTCTTCTCCTCCTCCTCTTCCTCGCGCCGCCGCCGCAGGAGCTCGTCTATCATCTTCTTGCCGTTGTCGATGTGAGACAGCGCGGCCCCGCGGTCGCCGTACAGGACCTCGAAGCACACGAAGAGGAGGCAGCACACGATGGCTGCCTGGAGGCTGCCGGTGTCCAGCTCCGCCTTGCGTATCTCCCGGATGGCGCTCCCGTAGTACGACAGGGCGAGCGCGTAGTGCGGCCCGTTGGCGCCCATCTGGGCCGGGCTCATGGGCCCCAGGCTCTGCCGGAGGGCCTTGGCGATGCCGCCAACGGCCATGGCCGCGTACCTCACCGAGGCGTGCTGGTGGCTCATCCGCGGCACGGTCTCGCTCCACAGCGGCTCGTCGAAGATGCCGCCGCCCAGCCGGTACCTGTAGGCGAGCCAGTGTTCAAAGTACTGGCGTTCCGTCGGATCCCCAAACAGATCGTCGGCGACCTCGACCGGAAGGGTGTTGGGGTCGCCGGACGGCAGAAGCGGCTCGACCCCGTCCGCCGCGAGTTTCTCGGCCGGGGGAGATTCCGAAGCACGGGTTTCAGGTGTGCCGTCCAGGCCGCTGTCTGGCCCTGGTGTGGAGGCTGAACATCCGCCCGAGGTGTTGTACCCGTCACAGAACCCCTGCCACTTGACGCATCGTCGACACGAGGGCTTCGCCTCATCGCACTTGACGTGTCTCCGCCTAGTCCGGCGTAAGAAGCTGGTTGTACGTTTGTTCAAACACGGATCAAACTTACTTGCCTAATTTAAGTTAGCTGGAGCGGAGACAGAGAGAGAGAGAGAGAGAGAGAGAGAGAGAGAGAGAGAGAGAGAGAGAGAGAGAGGAAAAGAGACGCTGGGGTAGTAGGGGCGGCCTACAGGTTACACATCCGGTGCGTGCCTTACTTTTTGAGGCACGTTTGGCGCGTGGTCTTCTCTTTAAGGCGAACGTGAACACCCGTGGCCCATCCTCTTCTTTCCTGTAAGCACGCTTCGGTCAGCTTTCCCACTTCCACCGACCAGGAATGGTGTGCTGTCATACACGTTCTAGGGGGTAGGGGGGAGGGGGGTGTAATCATACTTGGGGGCTAGTGTGTGGCCCAAGGCCTCGGTCAATGATACGCCGGGGACCCGGGGCACGAGAAAGTTGTTATAGCTGCCGCCGTCGTTGCCCACGGCTGTTGACATGTTTTTGGATTCAGAAAGAGGACGAGGAAAAAGTGTAGAGTGATTAAGAGAAGTAGAATTCTTGCTGTCTCAAAGAGAGAGCAGGGCCGTTCTTTAAGAGGGAATCCTCCAGCTAAACAGCTAAAAGCAACTCTCAAAGTGAGTTGGGGGCCGGAAATAACCCCCAACTCCCCCTCCCCTCACCCTTTCAATGATGATGAAGCTATCGATACCCCCCGGGGGCCATCTTCGACTGCCATCATGCATCCGAGCGTATCATGCCCGACGAAGAAGAGCGCCCGCATAGCGAATATACGACACTGTCCCTCTATTGGTCGCCCCCGGCGCCTTCTCGTACTCTGGGAATGGATGTGACAAATTGGCCTTCGGGGCACGCCCTGAGACCCCCTTCCAGCCTTACCAGCCCTACCCAGCATTTCCCCGAGACTTTGGAGCCCGAGATACACCTTGCAATATAGGACGCCGAGACCCCTATATCAAGCTGCAGAATGGTCGGCTCTGGGGGGGTGGGCCAAGGTCTCCGCCTGTCAGCCTGCAGGTGCGCTACTCTGACAACCCTTGGGCCGGCTACGTTGCATTGGGATGCCATGGTATTGGCTACGGTGAAGAAGATCAGCCTATAGGGCTCCATTGTATCCATTCAAGGCAGAAGTCAAACCGGGGTTGAAATGGAAGAAATGAAACCAAAACGAAACCCCTGCTCTCAAGGCATGTTATGATGCTTGAACTTCACCACATTGCCGGAGTGGCCCGTCTGATACAACGCCATCGGCTAACGGTGTGGCTCCAATACCCGTTCGTCTTTGCTCCCACCATATACACACGGCACCGGCGCCGCTTAAAGGCGTGCCCTAACAAATTGTATAGCCACCGGTTGACATTGTCTGGAGATGGGAGACTCGTTTTGGTCTCTAACCACAAGGCCCCCGAGTCCTCGTCAAGAATCTAGACAGAAATCCTCGTCTTCCTCTTGGAAGGAAGCATGGACTCGTTGTTCAAGAAGTGAGAAGAGACATGTTTGGTGATTAGCAAGATCTTGTGAAATTCAAGATGCTGGCCGACTACCGTGGTAAGCTGGCCACCTAACGGATAAGCAGTTTGTGCTGACACTTCCTCGACTACGGTGGCCTCTTAAACGTACGAGAAACGTGAGTCCGCCAAGCGATTTCAAATGAGAAGGCATAGCGTCTCTGCAAAGCAGTTTTTACACTTCGAAAAGGCTCTGCGGGCGTGTCTCTCGCACCCAAGCCACGCCGTCTACGGAGCTGTTAACTCCGCAACGACTTCTTCTGGGCAAGTCAAATGGCCAGCCAATGTGTCGTGTCCTGGCAGGGCCTCGGATTGGACAGCAAACGAGAAGCCTTACAAAAGTACGCTGCAGGGAATGGCCGAGGAGTCATGCATGCTGCTGCTCGCCATGCCTGCTCACTGCCCAATAGACTGCTGACGCCAAGAGCATAGCTGGTTGCATTGCGCTTCGAATGGTTCACGGAACGAATCCCGGTTTATTAGCCGCCCCTGTTGTGTTGCGCGTTGCCAGCACAGCGAGAGAGTGCTGGTAAGAGGATTCCTCATCGGCTGCGGGGGGGACGAGAATGCACCCATGTTCTTCCACTCCAAGGCGTTCTCATTGGTCGTTTGATGCTCAGACACCCTGTCAGTATGAAAAAAGGCGCCTCGCCTTGACGCAGGATCACGACGTGCCCGGCTGCGATGTCGCTGGCGTCGAGACGTGTTCAGCCTCTGGCTCTCATCTCAACATCCTCGCAGCTACATCAGATAACCAACCTTGGCATACACGTGAGGCCTGTGGACCATGGGTGTATTACAGCGGTGAAGCCGCTCTAGCTCGATAACTACAAGCATCAGATGGTGTCAGAGCTATGGCCTTGTGTGGAGATGTAAATTGCAGCTGGATGGCGAGGAGCCCGCCTCCCCGGCGTGGGTCCGAGTCCCATGATATACAGGTAATATGATACTCGATCGTTCGGGCAGTTCAACGCCATCGGAAGCGGGCTGTGCTCCGGTCCATGATACGCCATCAGGGGCAAGGGGCGCATTAGTCTACCTGACTGATATCAAATTTTCCATTTGCGTCTTTGCGTCGACGCCAAAGAGTCGCCCGGATCACCCATCCCCGAGACTTCATATTGGTTTTTTGATCTATGTATGCCAGCAGGCTGCAAGCCTCCATGCAACACTGTCCCTTACCGTCCCCGAGGGATGTGCCCCCGTCACGATCCGGCTAGTATTTGGAAGCCTCCGTGACAATATGCCTGTGTACCGGCCGCTATCAAAAGGGCCATGGCGTGACTTCACTGACTTTATTATTGAGATTGAAAGCTTCCAGCGATGGGATACGACGCCTTTCAGAACGTAAGTGACTGTTGGTATCTCGTCTATAAAACTACGCCACGCGGTTTGAGACTCTTCTGTCAAACAGGCCCTCGCGGATGCAGGGCAGGGCAACGTATCCCCTGGCGGTCCCCGAAAACCAGGGCCTCAGGAGAACCAATCCTTGACACGACCCTTGAATGTTGTCGCTTTGGGCTTTTCGGGAACGTATTCCGATTCGTGAAGGCGCCCAGACCAAAGGTCAATCTCGTGCGCGCGAACAAACTGCCCCAGTCAGCGAAAAGGACTTCATTTCGTGAGGGATGGTAGTGGCAAACCTTGGTCTTGTGGTACAGCTTCCAGGCGACGATGGGCACGATGAAGATTGGGATACCGATGTACGAGGCGACGAAGTCCGCGGTCGACCAGTTGCCCGCAAGGAAGACGGAGAACCCGGCAACAAAGGTGATGATGGTCGACCCGATGAAGCCGAACCAGGCGGTGTACGGCTGGAAGGGTGCTTTCCAGGGCAGGGTGTCGCGGCTGACGCCTTGGACCTCCATGGCGCGATGGAAACGGATGTAGCAGAAACAGAGCGTCGCCCACGCGATCAAGCCGGCCACGGTGCTCAGGCTCAGGAGCCACTGGAAGGCATCCGCAGCACCCCCGGAGCCGAGACCTACTACCGTTAGACAAAGACGCTTGCCGTCGGGGGCTGTGGTATTGTCCACTTACTCAGATACGCCAAAGGGCCAAAGAGCCAGGCAGTGATGACGGCGACATAGGGGACACCGGACTTGGTGGTGCGGCCAAAGAACTGCGGCAGCTGTCTGTCCGTGGTCATGGCCACGATCATGCGCGAGCCGACCCAGCAGTACGAGTTGCCGGCGGACCACGCGGAGACGAGGATGCACGCGTTGACGATCGAGGGCAGGATGTTGATCCCAGCCTGGCGGATGGCGATGACCCACGGCGAGCTGTTGGCGTTCCCGGTGTCGGAGACCAGGCCCTGCTCGCGCGGGTCGACGATGAGGCCGATAAGGAGGGCGCCGAGGACGTAGAACAGGCCGATGCGCCACGTCACGCGGCGGGCGGCGTTGGGGATGGCCTTGTGGGGGTTTATGGACTCGGCGGCGCTGATGACGACGGTCTCGACGCCGATGAAGGAGAAGGAGGCGTTGACGAAGGCGGCGAGGAAACCAAGGAAGTGGCCGGCCGAGCCGCCGACGCCGTTGTACTCGACAAAGGCGCCCGGGTGATTCCAGTAGCGGAAACCGATGGCCTCGTGGTTGGGCCCGCCGCCGGCGGTGATGACGATCGAGACGAAGACGAGGCCGACGAAGCAGAGGACCTTGACGGACCCGCCGACGACCTCGGTCTCGCCGTACCAGCGCACGCTGAGGAGGTTGCAGGCGAGGATCAGGAGGAGCGAGACGGTGATGACGACGGCGGGGGTGACGTCCGTCCAGTACGACACGAGAATGGCGGCCGCGGACGCTTCGGCTCCGATCGATATAGTATAACAGTACCCATAGGAGATGGCGAGGGAGAACCCGACGGCGGGGTCGACGAAGCGGGTGGCCCAGTGAGGGAAAGATCCGGCAGTGGGAATCTGATAAATAGCACGGCGGGGGTCAGCTCATGCTCGTACTCAATCAGGGAAGCGCACGGCCAAAGGGGGGAGGGATAAGAGATAACAGAGACCATCACACGTACCAGAGTCGCCAACTCCCCGATGCTCTGCATGACGCACCAGAGAATGGCGCCGACGACGATGTATGCGAGCAGCAAGCCGGCGGGGCCGGCTTTGGCGTAGGCCGAGCCCGCGCCGATGAAGAGGCCGGTCCCGATACCACTGCAGAAGCCGATCATGGTGACCTGGTAGTCCCGCAGACGGCGCTGGGTACGGCCATGACCGCCGACGCCGAGCTGGGGCTCCAGGATGGCGGTCTTGTCGTGGTGGTGGTGGTCGTCGCCGCCCGACTTCTCGATGTCCCGGACGGCATCATGAGAGGCGTCGGCGGGCCCGATGGACTGCCGTGTGCCCGTATCGTATGCAGTCATTGCTGAACGCCGCGTCTTCTCCGATGCAATATTCACACAAACGCTCTGGGCTGTGAGACCTTGGTTGAATACCCGGTGTACGGATGACAAAATGAAAGACGGCTGTCAATGACAAAGACTGGGACTAGGGGACCAGGACCGGATTGATCAAATAGCCCCCCCCTTTCCCTCTGCAGGTTTTTTTTTTTCTCTCTTTCGCATGACAAGGCGCGAAAACGGAGAGTAGACGATGGCATCATGACCCTGGTCGCGGGGCTGGTGGGTTGTGGGAGCACGGGGATAAAGAGTGCATGCCTCCGATGTAAATGCGCAAGATGATCTTCTTTCACCGAGCGCAGCCGCAGAGTGACTCGGTCTGCTTCGGTCTTGGCCGATAACTCGATTGGATGCGCATTAAGAAGAGACTACCCGCGCTTTCAACATGCCATCAGCATTGAACCCATGATGATGCCTTACAAACCAACCGGTTGCCAAGTAAACCTTCAAAACCTTCTCCGGTCTCGGCAGCGAAGTGCGTATATACACTAAATAAATAAATGAATAAATAAAAAGAGGGGGGGAGGGGGACCGATCTCAATTTCTGCTACGTAAGATTCTTCCCAAGATGGCCGAGGCGGCGGGTCCGGGGTTGGGCTGATGGGTGATGTCCAGGTTGCAGAAGAGTCTAATCTGTATTATCGTTAGTAGCGCCTAAACCCTATTTTCCGTCTTTACGCTTACAGCCCACAAACGTAATCATGTATAACCCTAACCCTAGTGTCATGCTGTAGCGGCAGAGCTCCACGGTTTAAGTTGTCATGCAACGGAAACCCGGAAGCACAAGGAGAATCTGGCACTCTCTATTACCTGAGAACTACAGTAGTTAATAATTCTTCCGAAATTACTTAAAGAAATTACGAAAGAAAGAGCATCTTCTGCTTCAGGTCATACAACGCCGCCCCCATCATGTCGCCTATTCCCCTGCGCTTCACACTCCCATCAGCCCTCTTCTCGACAAGAAGAACACGACACCATTCCATATGGGGCTCTGATCTTCTTGCTGGAGAGTCCTTAGCTTCCATCACCATGTTGCCACCCAAACCAGGAGTGGAAAAGAGAAATTCCGGGAAGTATTCCTCCTCTCTGTTCCGCTGACCAATTGTGCACATGTTGAGCCTAGCAAGCTCCATATCTGCGGTCAAGCCAGCAGCTCCCAATGGTTCATCTAGAGCTATTCCGCCCACAACCTTCCCGGTTAGATTGAACACCAGTTTGCGACCGTCCTTTATGCTGAAGTGTGAGGCGTTGGAGTGAAGGGTTTCGAAACACAGACATTTGCTGAGGTCCATTTTGGGATCCAGATGGTCAGTATGCGATCGATCCAAGCACCTGCTGACACCTACTTTGGGGTAACGGGTTCTATTGCCAGGGTCAATAGGACGGACCCGGACCGGCCGTTCGTGTGGGACGTAGTCGTCGGCCTCCCACGCCTGAACCAGACGCTTTAGCTGCATCTTCCCATCATCAGTAGCACGGTTGTCCTTATCTACTATCCAGAAGTGGCACGTTGGCGACAGCGCCACAGGATTACTGCTCGGGTGATGCACGGCGCCCTTCCATCCTGCCCACGACCAGCTGGGGAAATCGGGCAACCTCTCCAGCGATGCACCATCCGTCGTGGTCCACAACAGCGCCATATCGAGCTGGTTTGCCGGCAGCCCAAACACCAGTTTGGTGCCCATTTGCCTTTCGTAAATAGCCCCAAGGCCAGCGAAGGCGTTGAGCTTGTCGCCCCAATATGTCATCTCCCGACTCGTGTATTCCTGAACAGCCGACTCGTACCTTGAGATGTGGTCATTACGGCCGAGGTGGTCGATGGATTCAAGACTTTGCAGCTCGTTGTGGATCTCTTGGAGCTCAGATGCACCGACGGGCAGCATCTGGGACCCGAACTGCGGCATAAAACTCGAGGACTTCGCCGGTTGAGGAGTGTCGCCTGGCTCCGTTGACATGTCTTCGCACCAAACTCTCTCACGGCATTCCCAAGTGACGTGACCGTGGTGGAAAATCAATAACCGCGGGGACAAGACAGCTTCCTGAGATGTCCATGCTCGTGTGTTCCACGTAGAAGATGCCTTCTGCTTGTCATCGAAACCCGTCATCTGAAGAGCAACCCATAGGCCCGGCTTTATTTCACCTTGAGTCTGTCTTGGCGGTGTCGAGTCGTCTCCGAAACCCAGCAGAGGGCATTTGCTATCCTGGCCGCTGGCCTGGACGATGGTGAGCTCTGATAGTCCGTAGACCGCGTCCATGACAGGAATCTGCCTTGCCTTATCGGCTCCTCCGTCACCCTCCTGGATGGTACACAGCGCGTCAACCCACAGATAGGGTATACCCATCTCTCCAGTGAGCCTGATTACGTCGGTAATGGTGTTTGATAGACCGGCAATGCGCAGCTGGCCCTCTTGCCTGAATCCGGGTAGATTGGCAGTGGTCATCATCACCCACGGCGGCTTGCCCCATACGTAGCTGAGTGCAGCGTATCTGCAGTTCGTATTCGATGCAAGACTCTCTGCTTCAACCAAACACCATCGTCGCACGTCGATTAGTCTTAGAATGAGACTCGCAAACGTTTCTGGAGACCAACTCTGCAGACATTTTTTGTGATGCCCCTTGCAGACCTCTAGCCGATTCAAGCCGACTCGAGAAATGTTCCTGTCGATAGAAATAGCTCTCACGCGCCCTGGAGCATCTTTTATTTGATTGAATACAAAGGTGCACTTTATGTCGCGGCCCGTAAAATTGCGTCTACGGCTAAAAGTAAAACTGTTGCCCAATGGACCAGGAGTCCGGAACGCGAGTTCTACGCGAGTCGTGAGATCTGGTTGCAGGAGGTCGGGGGATTCTCGTGAAATGGCCTGGTGCACTAAAGAGCACATAGAGCAGGTATTGCATTTATTCACCACATACTGCACATCTTTAGGGTCGTAAAATTCGAATATCCCGACAGCTTCATCAAAGGAACGCTCAAAGGGGGGCTTGAGCAGAATGTACAGAGAGGCATCGCAACAGAGCGTGGCCAATGTGATGTTATCGAGGTTATCGAGAAGAGAAAAGGTTGTCGGACTGTGTCAAATTCGCAGAAGAGTAAATGCCCCAGGGTTTATTACTACGTACTGATGCGGAATTTGCCCTTTACATATGCGTTAATGTCTAACAGACTGACAGAGCCCCTGCAATTAAGCATAACTTGCCAATAACGAGCTCATGATAAGCGCAAGAGACCTGTCAATCCACTTTTGTTCCGGTCTTGCTTATTCGTTCGTAAATAGACTTGACAGAGCAACCTATTTGAATGCAGTAATACTTAAGGGGAGTGCAGGTCACTCGACAGAGCCGACAAGAAGGTGTTTTCCAACGGCATGATTTCTCCCGTCATTCCTGTCCCCTAGATTTGCGGAGGAGGACACGGTAGCGCCCAGCCGCCGGAGCTCCATCTTTGCGAGTTCCGTACCAGGGCGGAAGTGTCACGTATTGACAAAACAATACCGGGCAGTAACCACACTTATATATCTCGTGACAAGATGCTTGAAGTGACACTGTTCTTGACAGCTGCGCGTAATATGTAATTGCATGTCTTTGGCCCATCATTCTGACCGACGAATGGATAGTGCTGCACATATCATTCGATATCTGTCCTATTGCGTGTTAGTGGGAGGTGCCCAATCATCAACTTTACTCTACTCCATGGCCACACTGAGCGTGATTACCCATTACAAAACGCATGTACCGATGCAAGGAATCACTCGAGAACATAACGTGAGAGTTTGAGTTGCAGTCCCATGTTGCCAAATTCTGCTGGTTAGAAGGAGATGTTGAAGCTGACTTCAGAAACTGAACAACAGACTAGACAATAATACAGAGGCAAGTGGACGAATTAATGAACTAACCCTAATCTCAGCCATAGATTGTATGTCTCGGCAACCCTGGCTCGTCTGCGACAGTCCCAAAATCAAATCCTTGATCCAGATACTCTTTCGATATCTTGGACTCAGCATCGACTGCATTCAGATTACGTCCCGACCAGGCACAGTCCCAAAATGTAATGCATGCCCACAGTTTGATAACAGAATGGACATAGGCAAAGATAATCTGACAAGTCAGCAGAGGAATATCAGCAGGGTGACGCAGTATATGCGGCCAAAGCTTGATTGTTTTGGACCACAGAATCCAGAGAACAAGCTTGAATACGCTCACAGAGAAGAGCCCGTCGCTCCAAGTCGAGCGGGCGAGAGAGAGGATCAACGCCGCGTCCCAGAGCAGGGCAAAGTTGAACAGCGCGGCCCCGTACACTGCAAAGTAGGTGAATGGCATGCGCCAAGTGGAAAAGTCCGAAACGCGAATCAGCATGCAAGGGTTGCTGCGGAACGTCGTCCTAGCCCAGCGGATGAGCTGGCCCCTGAACTTGACCGCCGACTCGTCGCCCAACGTCGTCTCGATGGTGCAGTCTTTGGTTTGCTGGAACTTGATGTCCCACCCGTGCCTGTACGCCTCGCGGGTGAGGAAGTTGTCGTCGTCGGGGCCGAGGCCCTCCTTGCCGCCAAAGAGCCCGAAGAAGAAGTGCTCGTTGCAGAACCTGCGCATGAGGCCGCTGGACCTGAGGAGCCTGGTGCGGTAAAGGGCGGTGCGGCCGGAGACGACGAAGACGCCGCCGTCGATGGCGTTGGAGGCGCGGAGCTCCCAGTTGTGGCGGAGAAGGTAAAGACATCCGATCAAGTTGATAATGGAGGACATGGACCACTCACCGGGCGTTGTGCGGCGGACACGCTTGTGCGTCGCTACTATACCCACGTTCACATCCTCGAAGGGAGCGAGGGCTGAAGGGAGGAAATCGCGACTGGGCCAGAAGACGTGGTCGTCCGCCAGGACGGTGAACTCAGTTCGGACATGACCTACGGCGTGGGCGACCTGGCGGCGCTTGGAAGGGTGGAGGATGGCGCTGACACCGATCTCGGTCGACGGGTATTCGCGACGGTAGGCCCGGGCGGCGGCCTCGGACCGCGCCCGCATTCCGGCGCCAACGGTCACGATGAGGACCGCAGCGGGGCGGTTCTCGAGAATGGAGAGGATGCACTCGTCGAACTTGGGGTTGTCCACGTCAATCGTGGGGAGGATCACGGTGACGTCGCGGCGGCCCCAAGTCGGGTGGCGGCTGACGGGCGTGGCTGTGTACCGCCACGAGCCCCAGATGTTGATCATGAGCCTGGCATAGCGGAGAAAGAACAGGGAGACAAACGCGGAGGTCCAGAATTCTGGCGTTTTGCTCTGGATTGCCGAGGCCGCTTCAGAGATGTAATGGCTAAGATCTGGACCGGTAAGCTTCCACGCAAATGACAAGAGAGTGAGTATCGGATGTGCGAAAAGAAAACGCAGAGTTGCAGCTATGAAAAATCTGAGAGAAACCAGAACAGAACTAACGGCTCTAAGGGCTCGAGGTTGAGCTGGCTGTGCTTCGGTCTGGTTTTCCGGCATTGTGTTGATTCTAGGAAATGTGTCTTGTTGCTTGATTCTTTTGGAAGCAATGGTGGGCACTTTGGCGTGTCTTGTATATGGTAAATCTCGCCTTTTTTTTGGAGGAATATAAAAGTTGGTTAAAGTCTGTAAACGGCTGTGTAAGTTGAAGTTGTTGCTGGATAGTAGTCTCCTTCAATCAACGGCACTGGTGCTATTATATGTCGAAGTTTTGACCGTTTTCCTCCGTTGCCCTTAACTAAGCCTACCTACTCGGAGACAACAACATTGTTTTTAAGAACCAAGAACATCTGCAGTATTCTCTGAAAGGTCTCTTTTATTGCTTGAACAAGCATTGCTTGGCGGACTTGGGCCTCTGGGGAGAACACAATGCGTCTTTGTCTCCAAGTTCACCCAATCACACATGCCTTTGTTTGAAGACGTGAAAATACTGGTAAGGGTTATCATCGCAATTGAGACATCTAAGAAGATAAAAGTCCTTTTTTAGGGACTTCATAATATACAGTTACACAAGAGGGAAAAGGTCTCCATATTACCTAAAAGCACCTTTACTACTATAGAGGATACAATCTAGGCGTAATGTCTGTTGAAAAGTCTAGATACTGACCAAGTAAATAGTCAGGTTGAATCCAGTGCATCTAAATTACCTAGCGAGGCCAAAACTTGCATATAGGTGGGCGGCAAGTCTGGCGAAATAAGTGATGATAATGGTGGTGATGATGGTGTAATGGGTGATGATAGTGGTACAAATGTGGGGATGGTGCATAAGTAGGATATCTGAGTTAACATAAACGAACTTCATACTCTGCCTCGCCTCCTATTCATTGCTCTAATGTCTTTGAGTGGTGACCAGTGATGAAAGGCGCATCCCTGAGAGCGTCTGCCTGTATAGACCAAGCGCGTTTCCCCAACCGCACAAGATCCTCTCCAAACTCTCGTAATATTTCTTCCGGCGATGGCTCCTCTTCATCCAACTCCTGTAACATTGTACCAGTCCCTTCTACATCCAGCGTAGCAGCTCGCCATACCTGCTTCCACCTTTCAATCGCAAGAATGGCCTCTGGGTTCTGGCTCTGCACGCCTGTAGCGACCATGTAGAACGACGAGCGCTTCGTATGCCCCTTTGTCGGTTTGAACAGAAACAGCTTCTCACAGAACTTGCTGAACCGATACAGTTGAACTACCGTTGTCCAAGCCTCCACTTTGTGGAATAGCACGACCATTGTCCCGCCAGGAATCAGCCGCTCAAGGCCCAAGGCGAGCTGGCTTGTCGTTAATCGTCGTGGCTCTGTTATTTTCCTGTACTCGCCCACTTCGTGCTCGCGGACGACTGAGCTGCTGCAAATGACCAGGTCAAACTTCCGACCTGGCTCGAATTGACGTGGCAAGAACTTGTCAGCATCTGGATGGTCTGCTGGGATATCCTCAAAGCCGAGGTCTGCCGCTAGCATTGTCACATCAAGGTATCGTAAGTCAATGTCTTCGCGTTCCGGGACGAGACTTGGGTAACCGCCATTAGCAATTGGTAGACTGAGTCCAAGAGCCTTGGCACGGGGATTTAGCCTCATGGCGGTCGCGAGAAAGCCGCCAGGTGCCATTCCCATGTCAAGTATTCGCGGGAAGTCCGAGCCTGGAGACTTGGTTTTCAGAGCGCCTGTGATGCGCTGCATCTCGTCGCCAATCCGCTTCATCATCTCGTAGAAGTATAATTTGGTCTTCTCTGTGGGATTGGTGGCTTGGGCACGCTGTCGTTGGAAGAAGCGATCGCCGTCTGGATTTTGCCATCCCTATCAATCCCGATGGTCAGCAACTATCCTAGCGAACGAGACGTGGAGAGCCATTGTGATCAACGCAGCCGACGTACAATTTCTCGGAGCTTGCTAAGTTCAGCAAACTCTGGCGAGTGCTGGGTCAAGTACCGCACGATGACAGCGCCAGGAGTGACGTGTTCTAGACCATCGGAGTCAGGTGCAGCAATACGAGCGCTATCCATTTCTTCTGTCGGCATCTCGACTTTGGTCATGCTATCGTCAGCGGGGGAAAGGTTGACATCTGACATGTCGGGAGAACCTGGACTATCCCAGTTATAACTTATACAAGAGAACCCGACAAACATTTTAATCTTGGTCTCCCAACAGTCACGGAAGAAACAGTGGCAAAAGGGGGTGTATGTCAAACGACCTGCAGGCTGCGTTGGGCCTGCACGCATAAAGCCAACCAGTCGCCTCAAAGAACCCCAAAGATCAGTCGGCCTCCTACGTCTACCAACAACCAATGACATGGGAACGCCTTTGAGTCTGAGTATACTATGGCGCAAAAGAAGAGTCTGAGATGGGGTTTCGACATGATAATGCACCAACTAAAGGCAAGTCGATGTCAAGATGGGAGTCGTGAGGTTGAAAATGCCATCTTGCAGCAGGTACGTTATGTAGCGTCCCTTTACACGAAATTACAACAGAAAGATAGAACCAAAGAAGAAACTAGCAACAAGCATGAAAAGGAAATTGTCATCCTCTGATGAAAGCAGCCTTCTCCAGCGCATCAGCTTGAGTCTTCCAAATGTGTTTGCCTAGCCTGATGAGCTGATCCCCAAACTCATCAATCAGCTCCTTCGCACTAGGTTCCTCCTCGCGCCAATTGTGCTTCATCTCTCCGTTCAGATCGAATGTAGCAACCCTCCAGACCTCCTTCCACACCTTGATAGCCGCAGTAGCCGCCGCGCTCAGACTCTGGACTTTGCTCGCAACCATGTAAAATGATGAGCGATTTACATGTCTCTTTGTAGGCTTGAAAAGCCGGACGGTTGAGAATTTGCTGAACTTCCACAACAGAAGTACAGTGTCCCATGCCTCGACCTTGTGCAGCAAGACAACCATTGTGCCGCCTGGCTCAAGGTGCTCTAATCCAAGAGCAAGCTGGGTGGCAGTGAGGCGTCGCGCTTCGCATCTCTCTCTGTACTGCGCTCTGAACTCCTGGTGCTGGCGAAGAACCTGCCCGTCACAGAGAACAAGATGGAATTTGTCTTGTGGGCCTAGCTGCTGCTGCCGGATGAAGTGGTCAGAGTCTGGATGGTTGGATGGAATGTCTGTAGCCCCCATATCCTGCACCAGCATCGTGATATCCATGAACTTGACTTCCACGTTCTTGCTGGGTGAAAGTAAACGCTGAAAACCGCCTTGTGAGACCGGGAGACTGAACCCAAGAGCGTGTGCACCCGGGTTCTTCTGAAGCGCTATCGCGAGGAACCCTCCAGGTGCCATGCACATATCTAAGATGCGCTTCTGTCCCAATGGGGGCCCTTTGATCGTGAACGCATAAAGCTTTCGATGCAGTTCTACCCCTATGTCTTTCATCATGTTGTAAAAGATCGCGGACAGCTTTTCGTCGGCGCTATCCGCAGCCTGGCGTTGCTTGCGGAAGTACGTGTCGCCGGCTGGGTTCTCCCATCCCTAAGAGCACACTGTCAGCAGATGTGAAGCCTGAACACGAAGAAAACGAGGTGAGGAATGCCTTCTTTCGAACTGCGCTGAGCCTGGCGAACTCAGGCACGTTCGTACGGAGGAACTCAACGATGATATCGCCCGAGCGCTCGAACATCTCTGTCTCGGCATTTTGAGGGTCGGAGTTGAGGCTCAAAGTATTTGTCTTCTCGCAGAGATGAGCAACAGGCACCTCATCTGCTGGGATGTCTCTCCGGAGGGCAGATATTTGGTCTAGGTCGCTTTGCATGACGGGCAAGGTCTAGAGTCGATTAAGGCATGGTTTTTCTGAGGACGAAATGCTCAAGCGGCGAACAAACCCCAACATATACAGTTTTCGATTGATTTCATCAAACGACTGTTTAGATTGGGGTGGCTGTTCGGATGCTTTACACTTTCCCTTTCAGAGGCCGCTTTGGCGACCCTACCAACCAACCAACGTTGCTGGGCGGCCTCCAGCATATGCTGGAGGCCGAGATGCAACCCACACCTGTACTTCTTCTCAACGAATCATGATTGTGAGATGCCACAAAGTGGACAAATAAGCATCGAGCCGATCATTTTCTGTGGATCTGTTATTGCTAGACACGTTGGTCTAGCCTTGCTTTAAGTTGATGCCCATGCGGACAAACGCAACCATCTTCAGTCTCAATGTTCTCCGACTGAGATTCACCAACATCCTGGGATTCAAGCCCAACTGTGCTGGAGCCCGTTGGCTTTTTGACTCATGCAGTCTGAGACCGAAATTCCCGACTGCTGAAGTCAGCCCCGAACACTCGGCCCCGAAGATCCCCGGCTACCGTCCGGACCTAGGCCGTCTTCAGACCACCAAGTGGGGAACCACCTGACCCGGGTCCGGGAAGGATTCGGGCCTACATACGGAGTATAAACACAGCCACCGATCGAATCACCAACCATTTAAATCAACCAGACCCCATCAGCGTACCGCAGTCAGACTTTCCATTCTTCCATTTCAACTCCAACCGCCAACAGTCACTAAACCAATCATGGCTTCTCGCCTTCTCCACCCCGGCGCTTCCCCTCTTGTCCTCAACCCCCTCCTCTCCTCAACCTGCGCCCTTCTCTACCCCCACGACCGGCACTTTTTCTTACCCTTGATTCCTTGTTGAATCATCCCACAGTCCGCGCCCACTCAAAGCCTCTGATAAACCCCTACTACAAAGAATTTGACACGTAACAAAACGATACTGTTAGCTACATAGGCAGTAATAGTGGCTTATATATCGTGACACACCTCCCGGATTTGACCTAGAAAGTCAGATCTGACACTTTTTTGCAGTAGAAACCTTGTTAGGTACATCTCGCCAACCATAGGTGGTGTAGATCCTTAGACTTTTATTATAGGACTTTTAGCCAGGGGACCCGGGACCCTAATAGGAATCAAACCGATGGTGCTTGAGACCTTTTAGCTAGTTATTACAGTTAAATTAACACTTATACTATTATGGCATATGGCAGGTAGGAGCTGGGCTTATAACTGCCACGTAACAAAATGATACCGTTAGTTACGTGGGCAGCAATAGTGGCTTATATATTGTGGTAGAATCCCCCCCCCCCCCCCCCCCCCCCCCTGCGGGCTCCCAATTGTGCTTAGCCTCCTCGCGGTCTCTGCTAGCACGACTCTCGCCAACTTGTGGGTAAACCAGACCTTGCTTCTAACCAGGGGCAACTTTTGGTGCTTCATTCGTTGTACAAGTATCATCAACACTTTTCAATGCCATTTTATGAACTAATATGCCTACTAATTTACTGCATCATAGGACGGGCGTCCTCGACCATCTCGCTGGATCCAAAGTACTTGTCCAACTCGTTCTCGAGCTCCCTTCCCTCCACCTTGCGCATCTCCTTGGCGCGCTTGACGGGGTTGACCTTGTCGGCGTGGGCGCTGGCGAAGATGACATCGAGCTCCTCGAGGCTTCGGCCCTTGGGCTCCGGGAAGAAGAAGTACACGCAGGGGATGATGACTGCGTTGAAGACGGCGAACATCACGTACGTCCTGTAGCCTAGGTTGGCAAACGCAGGTGGCGTGATCATGACAATCAAGAAGTTGGAGAGCCAGTTGGAGCAGGTGGAGAGGGCGTTGGCCTGGATGCGGATACGGAGGTTGGTGATCTCGGCGGGGTAGAGCCAGGTCATTCCGAGCCAGCCTGGTTTGATGTTAGTTCAGTTTAGAACGTGCGATGTTATAGAGAGGCAGGGCAGCTTACCGATAGCGAAGAAGGAGTTGAAGACAAAGAGGAAGACCGTGGCAGTGATTCCGTACACGGACTCGAGTTTGGGCGCACCAGTCTCGTCAACCGTGCCAGTAGACACGGTCCCAGCCAGAATCGCCATAGAGGCCATCATGCCGAATGCGCCGAAGAGCATGAGCTTTCGGCGACCAGTTCTCTCAATCAGAGGCAGAGCGACAAGCGAGGCCAGGAAGTATTCCGTGCCGTTGAGCGCGGCCAAAAGCCGGGACAGTTCGGGGCCGAAACCGAGGGAGTTCTCGAACAAGAATCCACTGTAGTAGGTAATGAGGTTGATACCTAGTCATCATGTGTCAGCAACTAGTTTCCACGAATACGGAGGCATAGAGACAACCAAACGTACCGCAAATTTGCTGGAAAAACTGCGCAAAAATGCCGAGGAGGGTGCGCCTCAAGTTCTGCGAGGGGCCGTTGGTGAGGAGCTCCTTGAACTTGAAGCTTCCGCCTTGGCTCTGGGCCTCGAGGGCCTCTTGAATGGCCTTGACCTCGATGGTGACATCCTCGTGGTCGATGGGCTTTCCGAGAAGACGGGACGTCACTTCGCGAGCCTCCTCCATGCGGCCCTTCATGGCTAACCAACGGGGCGAGTCGGGTAGGTAGAGAAGACCGATCATGACGATGATAGTGAAGAAAGACTGGAACGAGACAGGGAATCGCCAGCGGATTGACCCCTCGAGGAAGTAGAACCCGTACTGCACGCTTGTTAGCGGTTGTACATTATGCTTCGTTTTGGAGAAAGGGGTCACTTGCATCAACCCAGTAAGCAATGGCGATACCGCAGCTGATGAGGGCTCCGGAAAGGGTGATGAGGAAACCTCTCTGATGCGGTCGTGCACACTCAGATTGCCATGTGGGAATAGCTGCCAACATGATTAGCTAGAACAACAGGGAGTCATCACCAATGTCGACTTACTCGACGTCACCATGCCGTTCCCAATGCCACCGACGATGCGGCCCGCAGAAAAGAGGCCGTACTCGTGTGCAGAGGCCTGCAGGATGGTTCCGAAAATCATGATGGCGCTGCCCCAGAACGTGGACGACTTGCGGCCCCAGCTTTCTCCATAAAACAGAATGAGAACCGCGCCCAAGAAGCAGCCGATCTGGTACACGGCGACCGCGGCGGCTTGCGTGTTGGGGTCTCCGGTGCACTGGCTGTAGTCACGCTGGGTGTTCTCGGGGAAATCGAGCCAGCAGAGCGAATTGGACTGCTCCAGCGGCGTCATCAGGGTGATGCTCCGTTGGAAGTCGTCGAGGGTGAGCAGTGAACCGAGGACACCTAAGAGGAACGATGAGCATCTGGAACCGTCCAGGGTTTCTGCTACACTGGGAAGCCGAGCTCACTCACCCTGGTCGTATCCAAACATGAGGAAACCACAAGACGCGATGAATCCAATGGACCAGTTGAGCACCTTGCCCTGAAGGCGCTGGCCGCGGAAGCCCCATTCGGGCAAGTCGCCCATGCGCGCGAGGAATCCCTTGGATTTTGGTTTCTCGTCGGCGACGCGTCTGCGGTCAACCGGAGAGGGCGTCCGGCTTCCGCTGTCGCTAGGCTGCTCGCGCTTCTCCTGCTTCTCGGACATGTTGGGCTCAGCCGCGGCGGCGGCCGTGTTCTGGTCGGCCATATTGATCACCGGCACCAAGCTTCTTTGGTAGTGAAAGAGGTGGTGTTAGGGTGATCCCACTAGGTCTTGGAAGGGGATCTTGGGTGAAACAGTGACGGCAGGATGCAGGCGCGCATTTGTACTCACTCAGTTCTCGTCCCGTACCAATTTCTTTCACCGACCTCATGGGTCGCGCTAAGACCGCATCCTCGATGGAGGAAGACTTGGCTGAGGTCATGTGGGTAAAGCTGAGAGTTGGACGGGCAATATCACCATAGAGCAACACCCCATGCGGCTCGGAGGGGTCCAACACTGTCCACACTTCTCCCCAGACATGCGGTCTTGGTTGTTGGATGCATTGGGGCCGCGTTCTCGGAGAAGGACCGAGTTTGGCCCATGGTTAGAATCATGCCAGCAACCACATGATTTTGTTTGGTATGAAGGTTGCCACAAATGCCCTGCTGATTTTAGAGACCGCTGCTTTCATCTACCGGACGCATGAAGCCGAATGCTGCGAGAAGCATGTAATACAGATACCTACTACACGTTACGCCTCCCTGTTGACAGTCAGCGGTTAAGTTAACGCGGCAACTGTGTACAAATCAATATCCACCTTGGTCCAACAAACAAACAGACTTTCCAGTCATCAATTTAATAACGAACCACGCGACCGGAGGTGGATCGAGGAACTCATCGCCCAGCCCGTCTGGTTGAAGGAGGCAGCGGCATCCTCCCGCACGGAATGCCTAATAAGGTAAGCCGAGGGCTGGGCGGTCCGAGCCATTTTCGGGCTAAAAGAGAAGGAAGAAGAAAAATGATGTGAGCTGAAAGCGCCGAGCCTAGGGGAGGAGCTTAAGACCCTTTTCCTCTTGGTGTTTTCTCGGCGAGCATGGGTCGGGCATTGGCGATGACGTTGGCCAAGTTTTAAGCTTAAATCTCTAGTTGGCTGCCGTCGGGCTTTTCGATATCCACGGGTTCTTGGTTCCTCCACTTCCAAGTCAGATTGTGCGGAGCCTCCATCTTGGCGAGTCTTGGGAGGCCGTCTATGAGCTTTTTGTGTGGTTCCTCATGAACGTTGTATTAGACCGAATACCGCCCGCATGTTTTCTGTTGGTTCGGCTCGCGAGACGGGGGAAACCGGCGTGGTCGGCGCGAAGGAAGAGAGAAACACATAACGAAATGCAGGTTTGATGCACGACGATGCGCGCGTGACCTGCGTCTGGGTGTGTTGGAGGGTTGGCCGTAAGTATGTGCTGGAGACCCTGGATTATCATGCACCGCGCGCAGCTAAGGCATTGAAAAGCAACTCTATCGTCAGACAATACACTTCCAATGTCTCCAACCTTACCTGTGCGGTCCACATTTCTCCAAGCCTCGAAGGAATGGGCATCATGTTGGAGGTTCCGTGGGCGTCTTGCTCCGCTGTCAACCGTCATCCGGGGTCTGGGGAAGTCGAAATAACGGCACGTAAACTCGCATATATTCCTGTGGATATCCTCCACTTAATTCAATCCTTCTGAAAAGTGGACGGTCTCTAGTCCAGCTCTTGTGACCGGAACTGCTTCTGGGCAGATAAAGACTGGAAGGTAACTGTCCTTTTGCTGTTTTGATCTAGCCCAGCGCGTCGAGCACATGATGTGCTCCTTGTCATCAAAGCTGTTCATCCGCAATAGCCGACAAATTGATGGACAAGTCCGTGATTGGCTGCTATGGTTTATCGACAGCTGCCGTATGTTTATCGACTTGTATAAGTTGATACAACATCTCGCTCTCTTCCCCAGGTCTTGCACACTCTTCAACTTAGGGCCTACGGGGTTATGTAACCCTCTCTTCGCCAATCATCGAGCTGGCCATTCCTTAATGGGGCACTTTACGCGGACGCCTCACCGGTTGTACATAATGACACTAGATCAGCGAATGCCGTATTCGTAACCACCTTCGTCTGACATCTGAGTCAACTTTCTGCCATCTAGCTTGGCGCAACTAAAGTTTTTATTGAATCTCTCCCGCGCTCCTTTTTAGCTAGAAACCCAAAACACTAAACACGCGACCCGTTTATTTAATCTTCAGCACAGCCTTGCCAAAGTTCTTGCCGGTGAGCATGCCGATGAAGCCATCCGGGGCGTTGTCGATACCCTCGGTCACGGCCAGCTTGGCCTTGACACTGCCTTCTGAGAGCCACTTCTGCAGGTTCTGCTGGTGTTCCATAAAGTACGCAGGACCAAACTTGGGGGTACCGACGAGGAAACCCTGCAAAGTGATCTGTTTAGCAATAAGCTGTGTCAAGCCTTTGATGCCCTTCTGCTGGTCCGCCGGGGTGTTGTATTCGGAGATCTGTGGCACGGATTAGCTCCCGTTTCGGCGCATGCACGTCTACGTTCCTGATCGGGGTGCTCACCATGCCGCAGAGGGCGATGCGTCCCTCGAAGTTCATGGAGGCGAGGGCCGCCTCGAAGTGGTCTCCGCCCACGTTCTCAAAGTAGATGTCGATGCCGTTGGGGGCCAGCCTGGGAAGAGCGTCGGCGGGTTTCTCGTTCTTGTAGTTGAAGCCGGCGTCGAAACCGAGCTCTTTGACGATGAAGTCGAGCTTCTCGTCCGAGCCCACAGACCCGATGACGGTGAGGCCCTCCCGCTTGGCGATCTGCCCGACAAGCTGTCCCACGGCCCCGGCAGCGGAGCTGATAAAGATGGTCTCACCCGTCTTGGGCTGTCCGATCTTGTGGAGGCCAGACCAGGCGGTCAACCCGGGCATGCCAAGGGGGCCGAGAAAGAGGGCCAGGTCGAGGTTGAAGGGGTTCTGGACCTTGCGCACCTTATCCAGAGCGGCGGACGGCACGTGGGCGTACTCAGCGATAGGCGTAAGGCCGACTACGAGATCGCCCTCGGCGAAGTTGGGAGCTTTGCTCTTCAGGACCTTGCTGACGGTGAAGTTGGTGACGGGGCCGTCAATCTCGAAGGCGGGCGAGTAGGACTTCTTGCTGGAGTCCCTCATGCGGCCGCGCTGGTAAGGATCAAAGGACGCGTAGACGATCTCGACGACCAGGCCGTCCTCGGGCGCGGCGTCGAGGTCAATCGGACGGTCCTCGACGGCGAGGTGCTCCCCCGCCACGGGCAGGCCGGTGGGGACCTTCTTGAAGATGAGAGTCTTGTTTTGCGTCATTGTGAAGAGACGAGTTTTGGGTATTGAGTCTTGAGTGAGAGTATTGCCTTGGCGCTGTAATATTGGAACTGTGGGTTGGTTGATGGGTTCACAATGAGGACACGAATGTATGAAATAGACCTCGGTTTGAGCTATATTGACGTGGTTTATGCGGAGACGACCCCGCGCACACGATCCGCTCAATTGGGGGCCGGGGGACAATGGCGTGCTGTTGATTATTCAGCACACGGAGACGCTGTCACGACTCATACAATATTACGTTAACGGCAGCAATCCCTTTTACGAGTTGTGGTTTTTGTTTTTCGTTTTTACAATTTTTATAGGTCATAAGTGTGAGGCTATTCCGAATGGCAGAGTCAGCTTGGCTTGGACACAACTGTTACATAACAATTATCAGACAGACTCTTGGCAATACAACATGTCAGCAATATGCCGCATGTCTAGCTCATTGAACAGCACCTTACTGGCACTAAGAACAGGCAATGTAACGCCTCCCATCCACTAGGTAGCGGTCGGCACCGTCTTTTACTTCTTTTCTATCCCGTTAAGTCGCAACAGCCGCGTAGCATTCCCATCCTGTTGTCAGTCAAAAAAGAGGAGGCAATCCCGACTCTGGATGACTTTGGGGCCTGCTAGATACCTCAGCACTCTAGTACCTGTGCTGTATGCTGACGGCTGACTGCGGGCGTAAAGAAATATCGGAATGGATAGCCGATATGGTGCCGGTATATCCGGAATCCGAGCAGACAGAGATTCTGCGATTTAACTCAAAGGCGGTCCATCGTCAGTGGTTCGTTTTATCAAACCCCGTCTTCAATCAACATCCCTATGTGTAGTGATTGGAGATTATCAAGTCGCCATGAGGGGAGGGGTACTCCTTCGGACTGGCCTCAGCTCTGGGGTCGCTCTCTACTAATAAGGGGTAAACGGGCGGCTCCCTCGCCGCATACCTCCCTCTCATCTTCAAACCGGAAACGTCACTCTCTCTTCTGCGTTCATTGACGTCGGGCCGACGATCAACCTGAACTGGCTTTCCGACCCCGCCGATGCCGGCTTGGCCGTGGTGGCTGCCATGCGTGTCCGTGCGGCCTGGGCCTCGCCCTTCACCAATACCCCCGGCTTCAAGATCGATCCCGAGGGCCGAGGCCGTCCCCGGTGACGCCGTGCAGCCGACCAGGGGTCCTGGAGTACGTGAAGACCAACGCCGGGCAGTTATGGCACCCGGCCTCGACCGTGGTGGCTATGGACAAGGAAGATGATGTCGCATCTGGCAAGGCAGTGGTCGACAGCCGGTGGCGCGTGTTTGGTGTCCAGATGCTGAGAGTGGCTGGTGCAAGCACTTTTTCCTTTGCGCTCCCGTGGCATCCCTAGTCTGCTGTGTATGCGCTGGCGGAGAAGGTTGCGGGCGACATCATAACAGGTCGTCAACGTGACGTGACACAAAATCAACACAAAAGTGCTTCACATAAGTATAGATGCTTGTATGCGGATGTGCAAGTCATTATTCCCAGAAAGAGGGTAGTATTCACTCAACTCATGGCCCCTTTGCTGCCACCGTAAACCTCAACTGCTTCGATTTATCATCAGTCTCTTCTTTTTAGAGTCAAGCAGACTTTTCAGTCCAAGGGGGACATGCGGAGACGGGAACCGACCGCGATCCACCCTCCAAACGGAGCGTACTTTGAGGGCACAGTCCTAGACAACCCATGTGGCACGATGTTGCGCGGCAAACATTCACCGCTACTTGTAACTAGACGGCGCTCGATCCCTTTCTGTCACCGCTATTCGATCGCGAAAACCCCTGCCGCGACTACACTTATGCGCATCGTGAAGCACGCGCATAGATTCGGGTCGGTGAAGTTGCGAGGACGAGCAGAAGAGGGCCACAATTTGCCGATCCAAAGTTTTCGTTGTTGGTGGCGGGGTCGGGCTGCGCCGAACCGGGGTGCTTGCACGTGTTCCGGATCTGGGTCTTTGATGGTTGGTAAACGCTTGTTTTTTTATTTATTTATTTATTTATTTATATATTTACTTTAACTAGAAATGGAGGCCAAACCATGGGATAAAGCCTGTAGACCGGGCCGTGGTGAGGCGAGGCGCATGATATCCGGATCGATCCGAGATGAGAAGCTTGTGCACGTACTACAGCAGGTACCTAGTGCTTCGAGAACTAAAGAAGAAAATGATTTTGGTCTGTCACTCGGGGACAAGACAAGATGAATTGAGTTTAAAGGAGACTTGAGGACGTGAAGAGGTCATCTACGGGATCATAACACAATATAGCCAACATCGAGATATGCAAACTATAATTCGGATATTCTGGTCTTTGACCGTTTATGCCGCTTATCGGTCCAACTACTTGTCATTGAAGCTGGCATGCTCAGTCATGAGCTTTGTGGAGCATAATCTTGTGCCTTAATCAGTATTGGCTTTATAACGCCTGATGCAGTGACTGTGCTACGAGTCATAATATGTACATATTATGTATTTGCAGGCTGGCCACTGAAGTTGAGCTTGCATGACCAAGCCTGCATGGTCAATACAATTTGTGCTCTACTGGAAGACTGAACCCCATCAGCTATCAGTAAAGGCGTTAAAGACAATGAGTTTGTGGCCATGTCCCTGATGTTGGACCTCAGCCTTGCCTGCTTGGCCAGACATGCGAACCTAAGCAAAGTCCTTGTCATTGCGTTATGAACCTACTAATACCCCTGCGCCGCCTCAAAATTGCGAAAAGTGACAACATTCCAATCACTCAAGTGAATCTCCCGCCGCCATGCTTACCGTTGGGCTGCGCCACTCATCTCCTTTGGGCGGCAATATCTGCATGGTTCACGGGTACCACATACCCGTGGGAGACCAGCCTTTCCTGTACTGGATTGGCGATGGGGTCAAATGCCTTCTCGCTACCCCGTTTTGGGAGAGTATCGGCTCAGGGACAACCTGCACTTAGAACATATGTCTCAAAAGAGTTCTCTCCTTGTTGTCTTGAGAGATAATAACCAGAGCTAATGTTGGTGAGCGATATACTGGTCTCGTACAACTGTTTTTTTCATCTCCAAGTTTTCAAAGCATGATAGACTGATCGATTCGAGAATAATGCGGGGATCGAAGCCGATTATTGTTCTGGTAGGGAGAGCTGGACAAAAACGATGAAAAGGTCTGGACCCCTTTTCTTGGCTAGCCCGGAACCGTGAGGGTCCAATTATATGACTTGTGGTCCCACGTGTATGGGGGCCAAGGGTGAAAGAAGAGATTTATATCACCCATGACCTCCGTCCATCGTCGACTCCTCCTGGAGTCCAGGCCCCTGGGGAGCCGCGCCATCCACATCCACAATAAGGTACATTATTCAAGGCGGCCGCTCTTAAGGTTGTATACAATGATACATGGTACTCCAACACAGTAACATAAGCATCATGCCCGGTACTCAACAGCATGGTGATAGGTTTGTAGTCAGAAACACAGTACCATGGAATCATGGCATCCGAGCCAGACTTGTCGTTCTCGATGAGCCGGTTGCAATTCGGCAACATCCTTGAGAATGTAACCCCTAATATGGCACATATTTTTAGCTGTAGACTCTCAAGCCCTCTTTGATTGGTCAAGCTTGGATGACGCCAGGCTACAGCGAATCGGGTGTTTCCGCGCAGGGATCCTGCGAACCACACCACCATGGAAGAGCAAGTCGGCTGTGTAGGATCTTCGGGATGGCTATAAGGCGATTCGGGTCTTAGTTTGGACCTTTGTTTCCATCTAACCTTCGGATATATGATCTGTGATTTTGACCTCTCAAGCCCAACTACCCCAAAGGCAAGGCAAGGAATCGGATGGAAGGAAAGCCGAGAGCGGATGACGATGTGCACGTAGCTTCAAGTCTCCGAACACTGGCCAGCCGAGGCCGTACCAGGACAAAAAGGGATATCCCTGCCGGAAGGCAGCAGGCATCCCCGATTCTGTTATGTAATAAGAAGTCGGTGCCCTGACGAGTCCCCTCACACACACAAGGCACGCTGGAGCGGTTTCGGCCCAAGTGGGTGTTTTTGATGGATACGTGGATACTAGCAAGCATTTTCCTGTTGCGCGAATGCCTTTTTTTGTATGGTTCTCAGGTGCCGGAGGGCCCGGGAGCGAGGCAAATCTGCCGGATTTCGCGAACCACCGGTCCGGTTCACTTATAAGAAAAGCGACCTCCCCCATACTTTTCCCCGCGATCCACTTCTGCCTCCCACGAGCTCGACAGAATTCTGTGATATCGTTGCCGCCCCCCCCCCCCCCCTTTCTTCTCTCTTCTCTGTCCTTTCTCATCTTCTCCCCTGAATCACGGCATCCTACCGCTCTGCAGACGAGCAACAGGAGAAAGACGCCCAAATCCCTTCTGACCGTCGATGCAATGGTCGGATCCTCGCAGGCTTCTCCCGACGATGACCCCGGCCCCGAGCTGGACCCCGGCGGCTTTGGTGCAGCCACAGCGGCAGCCACAGCGGCCGAGGCCGTACCATCTGAGTCAACATCTGAGCCAACTTCTAGTTCCGACACGGCCGGGTCGAGCACCGAGGCCGCAGCTGCAGCCGCCTTGAAAAAGGAAAAAGGCCGCGTTCGGTTCAACAGCAGCGCGGCCGCTGTCAGGCACTCATCACCATCACCCCCCCCGGTCCCAAACACCCCCAAGCTTTCGCCGGCACCGCCTGCCAGGCCGTCTATCCTGCGCGGTAGCTCAGGCAGCTCTATCCCGACCGTGGCTGCCCTGGCCAAAGATGAGCCTCGCTCTTCTCAGGATACGGAGCGCCAAGAGGCCAAATCCGCCGCCGCCGCCGCCCAAGAACGAGCGCGTCAGATGGCTGCCAACGTCCGGCTGGGCTCGCCGGCCCGCGAGAGCCGAGACTCCATCGACTCGGCCATCACAACGGCGACCAGCGAGCCCGAGAACGGCCCCAGGGACAGCACCGGGGAGGACATCGCACTCAACGACCTCCAACCCCGTCCGTCTCTCAACGGTGAGAAGGCCGCCGAGGAACTCAAGCTGCACGAGCACCAGGCCGCCCTCAACGAAGAGGCGTACAAGATTGTGAGAGCCCACACCTGGCGCCTCGCCGAGAAGTCCGACGGCGAGCCCGGGCCGTCCAACGCCCAGGATGCCGAGACGACAAAGGCCACCGACCATCTCCTCCGGGAGGTCAACGACGGCCAGTACGACGGGGTGTACTCCGTCCCGGCGCCCACGCAGTATCGCGGCAGCGTCCTTTCGCAGCTCCTGAAGCTGTACAAGCCCGCCGAAGCGGGCGGCCAGTACGGGCAGACCAGCGGCCAGGGCCGGCGCAACTCCTTCTCCTTTGGCGGGACGCTCTCGGGCACCAGCACCCCCGGCTCCAATTCAGGCACCGCGACGCCGACGACGCCCAGGAGGAAGTGGTACGAGGCGGACCGCTCGCAGGAGACCCTGGTCAACCTCATCGAGGCCTCGGCCCGCCTCGCGAACCCCAACATCCAGAAACGCGCCGAGTCGCCCGAGGCCAAGGGCTCCAAGGACGCCGGCAAGGCGGCCGGCAAGAAGACGCGGCACAAGAACAAGCGGTCCCAGAGCAACTCGCGCCTCAGCGCCTACCTGCAGAGGCAGGAGGAGGAGGCCAAGATCACCATCCACATCGCCGAGACCCTGTCGAGGCAGGAGTACATCATCACCCTCTGCAGGGCGCTGATGCTCTTCGGCGCGCCCACCCACCGCCTCGAGGAGTACCTCAGCACCACCGCCAAGGTGCTCGAGATCGACGGCCACTTCCTGTACCTGCCCGGGTGCATGATCATCTCGTTCGACGACCGGTCGACCCACACGACCGAGGTGCGCATCGTCCGCGTCGCCCAGGGCATCGACCTCGGCAAGCTCCGGGACACGCACGCCGTCTACAAGGAGGTCATCCACGACGTCGTGTCCGTCGACGAGGGCATGGAGCGCCTCGACACCCTCATCAAGGCCAAGGACAAGTTCCACGCCTGGGTCCGCGTGCTCGTCTTCGGCCTGACGAGCGCCACCGCCGCCCCGTTCTCCTTCGGCGCCCGCCTCATCGACCTCCCGCTCTGCTTCTTCTTCGGCTGCCTCGTCGGCTTCCTCCAGCTCATCGTGGCCGCCAACTCGTCCCTGTACAGAAACGTGCTCGAGGTCACGGCCACCGTCCTGGTAAGTTTCCTCGCCCGCGCCTTCGGGAGCATCATGGGCGGCAACCTCTTCTGTTTCTCGGCCATGGCCCAGGGCGGCATCGTCATGCTTCTGCCCGGATACGCAGTCTGTAAGTGATCTCTAGCCCCCCCCATTTCTCCTAAACCGTGCTCGATCGATCCAGAGCTGTACCTCCTCTTCCTCTGCGCCGCCACGAGCGCACGTGGTGGAGCTGCTGCTGGCCCGCGGGCACACCAAAGTGAAATATGAAAAATGAAAAAAAAAAAAAAGGACAGACCGCTGATGGCCCAGTGTGTTCCGCCCTCGAGCTCCAATCCCGCGCCATCGTCCCCGGCTCGATCCGCATCGTCTACGCCATCATCTACTCCCTGTTCCTCGGCTTCGGCATCACGATCGGCGCCTCCATCTACGGCATGTTCGACAAGAACGCCGTCTCGACGACCAGCTGCACGGACCCGATCCCCAGCTACTACACCTTCATCTTCGTCCCCCTCTTCGTGCTCTGCATCAGCATCCTGTACCAGGCGAAGTGGCGCCAGATGCCCGTCATGCTCGTCGTCGCCTTCGCCGGCTACGTCGTCAACTACTTCAGCAGCCTGCGCTTCAGCGCCGCCCCCCAGGTCGCCAACACCCTCGGCGCCCTCACCGTCGGCGTCCTGGCGAACCTCTACTCCCGTCTGAGGCACGGCGTCGCCGCCGCCACGCTGATCCCGGCCATCTTCACGCAGGTGCCCGGAGGCCTGGCGTCCACGGGGGGACTGCTCAGCGGGCTGAGGACGGCCAATGCGCTCACGAACTCGACCCACGCCGTCAACGGCACCACTTCCGTCCACTACTCCGAGGGCGAGTCCCTGAACACCGTCGTCTTCAATGTCGCCGCCTCCATGATCCAGATCGCCATCGGCATCGCCGTCGGCCTCTTCATCAGCGCCCTGATCATCTACCCGCTCGGCAAGCGTCGCAGCGGCCTGTTCAGCTTCTAATCGTATGCCATGCTTCCAAGGCATGGCATATGCTATTTCCTCCTCGTAGACCTTTGTTCTCCTTCTTTGGCTTTTGTTTTCTTCATGGCGTCATGTCTAGCATCGCTTTCATCGTATTCACTAGACTACTACATGGGTCATGAGCCAGCAGATAAAAGACCTAAAGTGAAGGCCTCGGCCTACTTTTGGGGGGGGGGGGGGGGGGGGGGGGTCTCGTTGGCATTACTGTCAGCACCAGCTCTTAGAGCGAAACAACAGTAAAACGTATTGCACGTATCTAGATTATGAAATTGGTTCGGGGGAAGGAAAAAATTGAAAAACTGCGAGGCGTTGGGGAAATTTGCAGAAAGGAATACAGTCAGTATAGATTCAGAGTAATAAAAGTCTACTGTTAAGGCTCATCTACCTGCACGTTGACAGAAACCTGACTGAGGGTCACAGGACCAGTCTCGACTATAATGTCTAACACGGAATAATAAGACTGTCGTTGAAGTTGAGCGCGCTTGGCTGCCTCGTGATTCTCTCATAATGCATAGCGGTATTAGCCAGGCAGTTCTGAGGCATGTCGGAACATTCCCGACAACGGACGCGGGATCGGGTCATATAGCATGACGGGCTTTTCTGCAGACGGCCTGTCAGCTTCAGCAATGGAAACCAAAAAGGAGATCAGGATAGGCGGGGCAGAACCATTCCAAGAGACTAGGAAGCAACATATCCTTGATGATTGTTTTATCAAGTACGGCCTTCGGAAGCCTACGTGGCTCTTTAACGGTTTCATCAGCAGGCCCAAAACTGGTAGCATGGCTTATACTTCAAGGTTACTAGGATAACGTATAGTTCCATCATTACTAAATTTCTTAGCAATATTTGGGAAAGAAATCGTATTCTCATTGCGAAATGTTATACCCGAGCTAGGAGTAATACATGCCGTCGCCGAGGTATTTGTTTATAATCATTTCAGTGATACCCGCTCATGTACCTGCAATAAGCCTCTATTATGATCTGCGCCGCTTGTTCCTCGAAAAGCGCCCTTTTCACGCCCAGCCATCCTCGTATCATGCGGCTTTGAACCCGCAGCCCGTTTTACCACTTGTATTCGCAACGGCGACTGCCGAGCACACGCCCTTTGGGCCAGCGCAGCATCCCGAGGCGCAGTCCGCATCCGAGAGGCACTGGCCGGTGATGAACTGCTGTCCGTTGCCCTTGCCCACGTTCTGGGAACCTGGTGCATCTTATTTGACGCCGGGCGAGCCTCCGCCAGCCGACGGTGGGGTCTGAGGAGGCGTTGCTGGCGGCGCCGCATTTCCGGCCGCGCTTCCTGCGCCGGTGAAGCCGCAGCCCGACTTTCCGTTCTCCTCAGCAACGGCCCTGGCGGCGCAGGCCCCCTTGGGACCGGCGCAGCATCCCGAAGCGCAGTCGGCGTCCGACAAGCACTGTCCCGTGATGAACTGCTGGCCGTTGCCCGCGCCAACGTTGGACGACCCGGGAGCGCCCGAGCCCGCGGGTGATCCGTTGCTTGCCGCAGCCTCCATTGACGGCGGTGCCTGGCCGGCTCCCTGTGGGGGGGCGGGAGCCGCGCCGCCGTCGCCGAAGCCGCACCCTTGCTTGCCCGCTTGCATCTGAGCCCCGAGTCCGGAGCAGATGCCGGCGCCGTTGAGGGTTGCGCAGCAGGCCGAGGCGCAGTCTTTGCTGTTCAGGCAGGCACCGCCGATGAACTGGGCACCACGGCCGTTTCCGACGTTCTTGGCGCCAGCAGGGTCCGGCATGAGGGGGCTTGGGATCGCAAGAGCTGTGGCAGCGACTGGGAGATTATTAGTGATTTACGGTAAGGTGGTCGAGTTTGATGGCTAATACTCACACAGTGCTGCGGCAAATGAGAGGCGAACCATTTTGACAAGTGTCGAAAGAAGAAGAGAGGAAGAAGGGAAAAAAAAAGAAGAGTATTATCAAAAATAATTCAACAAGTTATTGCCACATAGAAGGAAGATGCTAGGCGAGGTGATGATGATGCTTTTTGGGTTGGCTTCAAGCTTCATCTCGCGGAGAGACATGCCGTCCTAAATACTGATATTTCACTCCGTCTCAGGAAGCACCGGCATCTGATCCGAACACTGTTGTAAGTCTGTTACGACCGTCCGCGCTTGCTGGAACCTCCCGTCGGTCAACCAAGTATAGCTGAAAATGCGATGCATTTCTGTCACAGCGGCTGAGCGGTGATACATCAGGTCGAGGGCCGGTGACCGAGTGGGAAACGATTTTTTTTTAAAAAAAGGCAAATAGCTGGACCCCGCCACTTGGCTAACCCTGTCCGTCGAAACTTGAAGAAGACCAGATGACGGCGAGCATGGTGCGGAATCGACCAGTGAGGTTGTCGAGGCTGCTGTTATAGGCTGGGCCTCGAACAGGGCCGCCCCTGTTATGCTGATGTTTCGGATGGACAAAACATCGGAGAATAGCGAACGGGCCCAAACGCGATCAAGCCCCTGGGCTAAGGGGGGGGTGTCCTCTGATATAAGCCGAGTACCCGTATGCCTCTCTCGATTACACTACCTATTTGTCGCATATGCCATGTGGAGTGGACTCTGCCGTAAGCGCGTCGAGCGCATGCTTTGCATGCCATCTTCCGACGATCCAAGTTTCCCCATCTTCGCAGAATCTCAAAGCTGGGAGCGGGCGCCGGCTGCTCATTCGCCAGTTGCCTTGTTTCGGCCGAGGCAAGCATTGCGAAACAGCGCAAACTGTCAGCTCGGTAGGGTCTCCGATGTTAGCTCGTTTTGGGCTGGAGCGTCGTCCCTTATTCGCGAGATCCCAACATGGCTCCAGTCTTGACCGAGGAGAGGCAGCCAGCCCATCTTTTCAGGGGGACATGTGAGAGAACGCGTCGTCTGAGGATATGGTGCGGACGGGTGTTTTGGCCCGCCTCGCATCATTAATTTGGAAGACGGGCTCCCGATTTCCCAAATAGAGATTCCGTTGCCGGACCAAGCCTCGCTTGCAGGTATCGAAACCCCAAAGACGCGGCCATTCGCCACCTTGACGTGATCCTTGAAAGGAGTCAGTGGTCTCCGGGAGAGAATCGGTCGGGGCGACCATTAAGCCGAATTGCCTTGCATTCTGCTCGAGTTCAATATGTAATGAATGAGAATGGAACTGGTAGTCGGGGAGTTGCCCCAAAGATGCGTCGATGCATGTCGTTGGACGTCAAAGATGAACAGAGTGTGTGAAGACGCGGGAAGTGAAGAATTGACTTTCCTCGCCGTACAGGGGCTCCCTCCTTCTCAATGCTTCCGTCCAGGGGATGAGGGCCTGGGAATGGCTTATCTAAGCCATTCAGCTTGTTATATCTTTATCCGGTTTCCCATCGATCGGAACCAAGACATGACATCCCCCCTCCTTTCCCCTCCTCCACGCAAGCCACTTCCTGTCGTACTATTCCTCTTCTGCTGGACGGCCACGCATGCCTCATCGTCCCAAGATGCCCGGCTGTCAATGCGAAGGAGGGCGTTTGCAAGTTCGCCTTCATTTGAACTTGCCCGGGTCCCATTGCTCGCATCCCGTGAGACTCGCCCTCAATGTCCTCAATTCCTAATAAAGACAACCCAACCGTGGTGCGGCAGTTGGCCGGCACATGCTTTTGCACGCAATGATCCCGGGCCATGACTGTGCCAGCACCCAATAGTTGGACAGTTGTTGCTTCCCGTAGCTCCCGACCTGACTCCTGGCACACAGCCAACAGTCCAACACGCGACCAACAAGACCTGTAGGATGTGCTGATCCCTCCGGCCACTGGCTCTGCGATTCGGTGATGCCTCTCCGTCAATAGTCGACTGGTGTGCGGCCGACATCCAAGATATGCCGATGACGCAGGGGGCTTCCCAGAAGGTACCGAAACAGTGACCATCAGCATGTCTCCTTTTCCTTCAAAAGGAACCCCGCTTGCTCGTCGTTGGCAATGGCTGTCTATCTATCTATTCGTCCGGCAGACCACATCTCGCCTCCTGCTGCGGTGCTTTGTTGATCCTCGCCTGTTGACCAAACCTACGCAGAAGAGGTCTTCCTTTGACGGCAAGCTGGGGTTGTCCCCGCCCAACGTCAAGTTTGAGGTCGACGACATCGAGGACAGCTGGACTTACACGCGGCCGTTCGACTACATACACAGCCGCATGATGAACAGCAGCATCTGCAAATGGGACGAGTACCTGCGTCAATCATACAAGTAGCATCCGACCACATACTTGATCCCCTTTACCCCGAATCGCACCTAACACCCTTTTTTTTTTTCTTTTTTTCGCAGGCACCTCAACCCCGGCGGCTGGCTCGAGCTCCAGGAATTCCACCTCCCCGTCTCGGACGACGGCACGCTGGCCGAGGACGGCGCGATCCACCGGTCGATGCGGCTGCTCGGCGAGGCGGCGGCCAAGACCGACGGCGCCTTCGTCGACCTCGACGCCCTCAAACCCATGATGGAGGCGGTGGGCTTCGTCGACGTGGCCGAGGTGCGCTTCAAGTGGCCCAGCAACACGTGGCCCCGCGACGGCCGGTACAAGGAGCTCGGGTCGTGGAACCACGAGAACATCACGAGGGGCCTCCAGGGCTTCCTCATGGCCGCCTTGACGCGCGGGCTGGGCTGGCACGCCGACGAGGTCAACGTGCCCGCGGCACAGGCGAGGAAGGACATCGGGGACCGGAGCATCCACGCTTACTGGCCCATGTAAGTCATTTCTGCTGCCGATGTTCATTTATACAAGATAAAAAGAAAAGAAAAAAAGGGGGCACCTTTTTCAGCCAGCCAGCTGACTCACTCGCGCAGGATCGTCGTCTAGGGAAGGAAACCGTCGGCCGCGTAATGGTGCATCAATCGGCGCCGTGGCCGGCGGGTATGAATCCCCTCTAGATCGGGACGAAGCCGAGCCAGACGGAAGGGGGAGAGAGGAGAGGCCCGGGTGAATTCTTTCGCAAAGGGACGGGCCTCCGCTCCTCCCTCCCACTCGGGAGTGGGTGGGGCGGCGAATGTTTTGTTCAGGTTCGGTCCACATTATTCGGAGGGGAGGAGGGGGGGGACGGACATTTGGAGGAAATTCTCTTGGAACAGAGGAAGCCATCGAGATTTCTCCGACACACCGAAACTACCCAAACCCTACCTCCCGCTCCACTCGCACATTCCAAACATGAGACCACAAACAGGTCGTCGTCTTCAACAATTCAAAATACAATAACCCGCCTTGCTAGCTCAATCGGTAGAGCGTGAGACTCTTAATCTCAAGGTTGCGGGTTCGACCCCCGCGTGAGGCTCAAATCCTCACCGCGATTGGCACAGCCTCTCTACGGGTTACGGTTTTGTCTTCCTCTTCCCCCCCCCTTTTTTTTGCCATTTTCATCTACACTTGCTTCGAATCACGAATTGCACCGACGATTCCCTTGCCGTCTTTCGTTTGCATACCCGGTTGTGACCACGTCGTAACATTGTTGGTCGTCTGCAGCAGACACCATGGGAAACAACTTGGGCGCAGTGTCGGAAGACTGGTTGGGTCCAACTTCACCTAATTCGCGTCTGCTGGATCAAACCCATGACACTAATGGAGGATTTCATGAGCGAGGAGCGAGGGCGACGTCCATCCAATGAGAGAAACAAGGCGGAAGAAGGCGGAACAATCAAAGGTGGTATCATTTTGCGGTGCGCTATCCCAGTAGGTTGATGAAAGGCTCCGGCCACTTGCCCATCAGCAGCGGCCGGTCGCCGAGCCGGCCGCTCACCGGCGCCAGGATCCTCAGCTTGCGCTTCTCCTTGTCGACGTCGGCGATGTACACGTAGCCCATGACGTTGGCCGTCCTGATGGTCTCGGGCGGGTCCTTAACCGACGCGTAGACGATGGCGAGGGTCCAGTGCGCCATGAGCTGGCCCGCGTCGACCCGCATGAGGCCGTCGTCGCCGTTGCCGTACATGGAGTCTGGGTGGGTGTCTTGGGATCAGTACGGGGGGGTTTCTGACGATTCCACGAGACTGGCGGAGGGGAGGGGGGATGTGGCTTACAATCGCCTATTCTGAATATCGCCAGGCTGTCGAAATCGACCTGCTGCGTGGCGGGGCTGAGGGTCTGGCCGATACTACCGAAGAAGTACTCCTTGATCGATGCCTCGCAAGCTTGCTGTGTGAAGCCCACGTCGCGCTCGGCCACGCCGTCTGATTTGTCCAGGAGGAGGATACTGTACTGCTCCCCGAGGCTAGTCCGCTGTGTCGAGAACCGCTTCGTCAGCTCGGTGTGGAGATGTGACGAGCCCAGCACGATGATGATGTTGACTAGTAAGTGTCAGTAAGAGGGGCAACAAGGTATTGGACGGAAGGGGCGATTCGGAGGTATGAAAAATTTAAAAATTAAAATTAAAAAAGTTTAAAAAAATTTAAAAAGAAAAAACCTGCAATGGGAAAGCAAATACCTGACAGCTCGTCCACAACGTGGGCGAGGATATCGACGCCGTCGCTGCTCTTCTCCGACACGGCCGGAGTGTCGATGATGATGCCGGAGCTCTTGATCTCCGGTTCGTGGCCGAACCTCGAAGTGACGGCGGCGGCCATCTTGCTCACGAGCTCCTGGTACTTCCTCTGATCCTCGTCGGCGGCGGCGTGGCCGTAGTAGTAGACGAGCGGCAGTTTGACGGGCACGTGGCTCGGCCCGCTCGTCGGGGTGGTGCCCCAGCCGTCGACGGCCTCGACGTCGAGCACGGTGGCGACGACGCTCGCCGTCAGGGTGCCGGGCAGGCTCAGCATGCCCTCCTTGGGGTCGGCGTTGACGACGAGCGGCTGGGCGCCGACGCGGGCGGCGTAGCTCGCCAGGGTGCGGGCAAGGCTCGTCTTGCCCGAGGCGGGCGGCCCGCAGACGGCGACGCGCGGGCCCTCCCTTCGCTCGGCGGCGGCGCGCTGGCGCATGGCGGTGAGCTGGAAGTGCAGGTTCAGGACCGAGTTGGCGGGCGAGTCCTGCGGGCGGGCGTACTCGGCCACCGACTCGGCCGCGAGGCCGCCCTCGACCTCGAGCTCGCAGCCCTGCAGCGTGAGGATCTTGGACCGGACGCCGGCCAGGGTGTAGGCGTGCTGCAGGGCGAGCTCGGTGCCGTCCTTCTCCGCCGTGCCCGAGAGGAGCTTCAGCTTAATGTGGGTGTCGAAGGCGACCTCGAATCGCCACTCCCAGAAGGGCTGGAGGCGGATCGTGCGGGTTTGGTTCGCGGACGTCGGTTGCTGCGAACGGGGCGGTTCGTCAGTTCACACGCCCGAGGTTTTTGAGGTCGGGGGGAGGGCCTTTCGAGAACGTACTGGCGCCACAAGGTGGCCCAAACCGGGAATCGACATGTTTGGCTATCTGTTGATCATGGGGGGTTTTATCGGTGGGATTGGGTTGCCGCCGCTTCCATTAAAGTCCCGCGGAGCGATGGAAGGATCGAATAGATAAAAAAAGAAAGAATAAAAAAAAAGACGACTATGGAATCAGCGCGTGGAAATGCTCCGAGACGCGCCGCCTAAATGTTGGAGAATGGAGCTTTGACATCACAGGGTTTGGAATGGTCTGTGCAGGAGCCTTTCCACTGTCTGGCGGGGGCGGGTTAATTTGGCGGGGCTCGGGTCGTCACTGTTGTACCTAGGTAGGTATACATAGTAGGGGTTCCTGCATACGAGGCTCTCCTGTGTGGCATCGATTCATATGTTGTTCAGTCTTACTACTGCGGAGAGTTTGGACGGCGTTGAATCGGAATTGTTTCCGCGGTGGGTGGCCAATCCAATCCGATGAAGGAGTACGAGAATATCGAGAGGTTCAACTAAACAAACTCTGCTCCTTGTGTTCCTGTACTAGCTTGTCTCACAACTACCAGAGTTCTTGCTCACTGTCTTGTCCGTCTGTATCTCAACGTGGATGAGTCGGGTGGAGGGATAATGGCAATGGCAGTAGCGAAAGTTGAAGAGATAATATGGCAGAACCTATATTGCAGTTCTCACCAGACCAATTATCTGCAAAATTAGAGTGAGTACCTATCTACAGATATAACAGCAAGACGATGCAAAGCTTGCATGACTCCAGAAGCAAAGTCCAGAACCATCCAGCTGCACGGTCCAAGAACCCACCCTCTACCGCCCCAGGGACACACACTTCTTACCCCAGCAAGCCTCCACTTCGGCTGTAAGTTCCCCCGCTCCGCCCAATCACCATCGCCCCATGGCCTCACCCGAGCCCACCATTACCCATTACGCAAGCTCCCCAATGCGGTCCCAGCTCCGCCACAGCTCGCTGCCTGCTGACCTCGAACCGGAGGCCGTTTGACCCCCCCCCCCCCCCCCCCCAAACGTCACTTTTGCTATCGCCTCACCAAAGCCCGTCTTCAAAAGGCAACATCCCACACACGTAAAAAAACACGCATTTCAACACCCCTCTTCAACATCTCTACGAGATTTATTCCACGCAGTCGTTGTCGCAATGTGTTCCGCAGACATCTTCCTCGGCCTCCTGGCCCTTCTCTTCCCACCCCTCCCCGGTACGTTTACTCGAACCCCACCCCGCACCGCATTCCACTCCGGCGCGCGCGCCCCTCCGTCTGCCTGCGACGGCGTCCCACCAAGAATAGAGAGGAAGAAAAATTAAACACTTGCTAACATGAGAGAACAGTCTGGGTGAAGCGCGGCCTCTGCTCCGCAGACTCCTTCATCAACATCCTCCTCTGCCTCCTAGGCTACGTACGTCTCCCGAGCCCCCTCCTGCCTTTCTCTCTCTCTCTCTCTCTCTCTCTCTCTCTCTCTCTCTCTCTCTCTCTCTCTCGCCATCGCTAATATAGAACTCCCCCTCTCCGTAGATCCCCGGCCTCATCCACGCCTGGTACATCATCGCCAAGTTCCCCGACCCTGAATACGAGTACGAATCTATTCCCCAGGACCGCGAGGGCGGCCGCGTCACCTACGTCTTCGTCCACGGCAACGCCAACGCCAACGGCCACGGCCCGCACACCCAGCAGCCCCGCCAGCAGCCCCGTCCCTCGCAGCACAACACCACGGCCAACGTCAGTTACGGCACCACGAACAACAACGGCGCTGCCGCCGCCGCCGGTGGCTCGAGCAGGCCCCAGCCCCAGCAGCACCAGAACCAGGGCGCTGGCGAGGGCAGCAGCGATGGCGCCGTGCCGCCCAGTTACGCCGAGGTCGTGGCCGGCGACAACAAGATCCAGACTCGGGATTAGAGGAGCCCGGAAGATGGGGACAGAGGGGTGACATCGAGCTTCTCCGAACCCGAGTTTCGACTCCGTCCCAAGACGCTCTCTTCCCCTCTCTCCCTCTTTTATCCCGGCTGATTCTGTCAAACATCTGGCCGTTGTTGTTGTACTTGTTCGTGTAGATTGTTTTTTGGGGGGGTTTTTTTTCCCCCTCCCGGGCGGAGTTTGGATTTCATGCAACAAGAGGCGACTTGACCCTCTGCAGTCTGGAGGGATCTTGACGAGTTAATGCGTTGTGCAACGAGTTTACTAAACGCGAGACGTTGGTGCGAATTATTCACTGCACCATTCATATAGTTAGAATCCCAGAATTCCCTTCAATTATGGAGGGCCTCTAGATCTAATCTTTCTTAAACCCCGGTCTCTCCTCCTGTCCCATGCTGTCTCGGCAACGCCAGATCCCATTACCCCTTTTGAACGCCCGTCACGAACCTGCCGAACCCTCAAACCTATGACGGCTCTCGGCAATCATGACTCTGCCGACACCCGCTTGGCCGCCTTGGCAGGACCACCTTCAGCCTCGGGCGCTGCGGCCGACTGAGGAGGCCGGTCATTCGGCACGGGCTCCTTGAAATGCAGCATGAGATTCTGCGGCAGAAAGGTGTGCCATTCGACGAGCACGAGCCGCGCCTGCTTGATGAACCTGATGCCAATGTTGAGCTCGCAGACGCAGAGCTGCAGCTTGAATCCTGGCTCCAGTCTCGAGAGGATAGCGTCGTCCAGGAAAAAGGTCTCCTCCTTCTCTGACAGCTCAAAGTGCTCTCCACGATCGAAGCCGTCTTCAATAAGGCACGGCTTTGCGACTATCCAACCGATGGGCGCGAATGGCCCTCCTTGGTCTAACGCGACGCTGCGGACGAGGTTGCGTGACTCGGTGCTAGGGCGGTGGACGGAAACGACTTCCATGCTGCATTCCTCCTCGCTAACGACCTTGACGGACTTGCTGGCCAAGCCCTCCATCACTGCTTCATACTGCTTCTGGCTCCCCACTGTTGATAACGCAACCTTGAAGACGTTCTCGGGTGCAAAGTTTGCGGGCCTTTGAAACTCGCCCTCCCCGAAGAAGTAGTAATCTTCGCAGAACAGCTCCGACAACGCCAGGTTGAACTCTCCGGGGAAGAACAGGAGCGCCTGGTGCGTCTGGGGCAGCTCGACCTTGGCTCTCTGACAGACAGCCAGTGCCTCCTTGACATTGGCATCATACTCGGGGCAGACATCGTGCTGGAGAACGTATGTGAGAAAGTTCTCCAACACGCCGACGGCCTTTCCCATCTGGGGGTAGTCCCAGGCGGTCATCGTCGGGAGGTTCTCAGACAAGAAGCCCGCAGCGACGCCAGCAAAGTCAACGTCCCAGCCGGCCCGCTCGCTGTCGTTGTAGAAGCGGCTGCCGCCGCCGGACACGTGGACGGTGTCGACGGCAGTCGCGGCCCGCTTCTCCTCCGGGCTCATGTCTTGAAAGTCGGCATCGACGTGGCCACTAAACATGCGCGGGGTGGAGTCGATGCCGCCAAGGAAGAGGTATTTGTTGAAGATCTGGTCCGAGGCGCCCAGTCGGCGGCGGGCGCGGTAGCGCTGGATGCACGCCTCGATGCGCCTTGCGCGCGGGTTAGCTGGGATGGACGGACCACAGGAAAGGAACGGCTTACTCAACAAAAGGAAGATCTCTGCAGGCCCATGTTAGCATACGCCCAAGGGAGGCGAAGGCAGGATGATGATGGGCTTACGGGTGGTAGATGTTCTCACGCTCTTCTTGGGCTTCGGCAGGGGTCATTGGAGGGTCGGCGTAGAACTCTGGGAGGACGTCAGCAAGAACCAGCCGCGATCGAATGAGACGCACCCTCGAATCCCGTGCCGCAATACTTGTGCAAGGCTGTTGGGCCGCGGTCGGCAGTACTTTTCTTCTTTTTGCCTGCCATGTTGGATGCCGGACTGCGGTGGATAGGCTGAGCAGAGAAATTAGCGTTGGTCGGAATCCTTGAAGCTTTTACCTGCAGATCTTCAGTTGGGGCAGAACATCGTCGTATGGCAAAGGAATGATGTTATGGTCCAAAGAGCAAAAGAAAAGGACCAGGTTGGCTCAGGTGAACAAACGCCCTAGGTCTCTCTGTTTCACGATAAATCAAGTGAAGTAGAAAGAGCCTCTTCGTCGCTGATTCCTTCCTTCCTTGCCAAATGTTGAAAGTTAGCTTCGCACTTACACAGAAAGTAGTATCAGGTAGCACTTTCCACTTCCAACGTTAATTGAGCCACTGACTTCTCGAATTCTGCTGCCCAGTCTCACAGATGCAATACAATACACATTTCCATGATGAAGTCAAACGCCAACTGTGCAATTGACAGCGTGCTGTTTCCTCTGTGAAACAAAGCACGTATGTAAGACTGGCTGGGGCTGGCTTGTTTGTGCAGATGAGGCATCAAATCCCGATGTCGCCAAATGCGCCTTCTCGCGCGGACCAATCGTACAAAGCCGTCGCATTCATCGGAGGCCTGCTGCAGGCAATCATCGGGCTATCACTCGCAGCAAATCAATTGTGATCCGAAATTCCGGATTCGCTAGGAGTTTGCGATGCAGGCTTTTTTGGCGATTTGGCGGCTATTGGATGCGCTTGTAAGACGACGACAACGGACACCTGGCAATGGAGCTGTAGACGCCTCCAGATCCAAGCTGACCTCCTCGAGACAAAAGCCGGGGCGGAGTGATGCTGCGCATGAGATGAGGTGCACTCGTATAAGGCGTGCTGCAGGATTGGATGAGGTCTGACGAAGCCCACGGGCTGCATACGGCTCAGCCGGGCGTTGCCGTGCTGGAGGGAAGCACCAGCTGACCCGATGGGTCCCGACAGGAGCATCTGGCGTGTCGGAGTGCATGGGGAGGTGCTTGATGTGGGAATTGTTTGCCGAATGTCAGCGGTGAGACGGCATCCAGAGCGGTCAACCAGACATGGCCCCGGAGAGAGCCCAGGTGATATCGCGAAGCGCAAGTATCCGATACGACCCCGTCGACCTCGCAAGCGTGGCAATGCAACACAACGGCATGGGACGGGCTGTCGCGATGCACCTGTCCAGCCAACAATTCTGGTCCAGGTCTTGAACACGGCGAAGTCCAGACGAAACGTTTGTTCCAACGGTTATGGTCCGCCTCAACAAGCGCGGATGACCTTGCCAGCGGAAAGTCTTGTGGTAACCGTCAGATCAGTTTTCCCGGAAAGACGCCGTCCGAGACCCGATCGTGGCCGGCTGAGCTGTCACGGAGGAGGCCTGATGCATTACCCTACAGTGTGCGTATTACCTCGGGTCGCATATACATAGTAATAGAAGGCATGGGACGACTGCGCGTGCTCAAAGCCTCGATTTGCCGTGTCGTGCAGATAAAAGAGAATGCGATCTACGTCCCCCGCCCATACCCCGGTCAGACATAGAAGAGAGAGGTTGGACTATCAGAGTACCAGGACAGGGAAGTTGAACAAGGTGCTCGGCCAACGGCGGCGGCGGCGGCGGCGACGACGACGACGACGACGACGACGACAACGACGACTGCGGTCGCTTGGCCCCAAGGCTCAGGGGAGACCAACGGTTCGTGTGCGTCTAGAACGCGGAGGAACGACAGGGACCAACAGCTGGACAAGGCGGACTCGGGTGACAAGCAGGGCTGAACCAGGTTTGATTGGACCAAGGGCAGAAAGTCGCTGGCTGCGAAGTGCCCACGCTTAAGACTGGTCTACCTACTCTTCCGTACTGGCTTTGCTGAATGGAGGGGGTATTGGTGTCGTGGCTGAGTGTGTGGTTAGTAGCATCCGCCACCTTCTTTCCGAGCTTCATTGGCCCCTGTGACTCTTACGGGAGAGAATAGCGCCCTTCATGGCGGAGATCCCTCTCTTATTCATTCTCTGCCCTGCCACTCGTCCCGCATTTCCCACGCCTCTTTTTTTTTTTTCTCTCTCCAGGTACGGGGCACTTTGTCCATCCACGTGTGCGGAATAGAGGAAACGTCCTCAGGCCGCTTTCAAAAGTCCAGCAGGCTTGAGGGCGCAATGGCGGCCGGCCTGTTTGACTCGGCGCGCTGATCCGTTACAAAGGTTCGCGTTCGCTCCCAAGTGTTCTCAATGTACCTTTAGGTGCAAGGACAGTATGGGAGATACTTGCGAGCAAAGACTCGCGGGGAGGAGGGCTACTCCTATGTACCTATACTTGCGCCTGGTACTTCGGCATATGGGCAGTATACAGTAAGTACGGAGTACCTATATAAGTATACAAGTACCACGGTACCTCAAGGTGGGGTGCTTAGCGATTAAAGTACGTACCGCTTTTTTGTAAATGGCATTTTCAAATTTGCTGCCGCGCCCCCAAAGCAATTTGGCCTTATTGGTGTTCAGATATGCTCATCGTGACTACGCCTCACACTCCTTCCTCTCTGTCCTCTGTCCTGTCCCGTCCTGTGTCCCGTCTTGTCTGCATACTGCTGCATGCCCCTCCTCTTGTCATCGAACCTTGTCACGCCTACGTTCACATCCCCCCTCTTCCTCTTTGACCGACAGGCTCTCCCAGCCAGCTCAATTTAATCCCTCCTCGTCTCCCTCTTCCGCTTTCCCTCTTGTGTCTTCTCCTAATTACCGGTAGTATACGGATACTCCGTACCTACCTACCTAATTTAGACTGTCGATCCACTGCTTCCATAGGTACTTCCCTCCCTTCCACACCCCTTGCCAAGCCATCCCGAATACCGCTTTCCCACAAGTCGACAACTGAAAACGACGCAGGCACAGATACGCACATCAGACCAAATATCGCCACGCCGCTCGCCCATCTATCTAGGTAGCCAGATCAGATCTGATACAAAATTGTCGCTCTGTCTACCCCAGCTTTGCACGCGCCAAACTTTTTCTGGGATCTCCCCTGAGTTATGCCTTTCAGTCTGCAAACACTGTAAACAGCCGCCCGTCCAAGTCCTCTCTTGTTCTTGTTTTTGGCCATTTTTCGTTTTCCCTCCAGCGCAGACACCATGGGCAAGAAGGAGATTCCTGACCGCGCTGACCTCGTTGACTACAACCATACCGTTGCTGGCCAGTAAGTAAATCACGCTCCGCTCCAATCCGTTTCGCCTGCCAGATCCCCCCCTTTTCGCAATTCCGCCCGCGATGCGCCATGTCACCCGCCCAACAAACACGCTCGAAGATTTCTAACGCCATCTCTTCACCCCTTAGTGCAGGAACAATGTGTGACGCCGATGGCGAGCTATTCATCAAGCCCTGTACGCAGGCAGAAATCGACTTCTACAACTCGGCCATCGAGAACCACCCCGACTTCGCCGACCTGATGCCTCTGTTCATGGGCACCCTGATGCTCAACGACCCTGCCGAGCTCAGCTCCATCGAGGATGGCGTCCCGGGCCCCGTCTCGTCAGCTGCCGCCAAGGAGGAACTCACTCAGGCCGTCACCGGGCAGCCTTCCGCCGCCGCCGCCCCAGACTCGCACACCGACAAGGACAAGTGGGTGCAGAACAAGTCCAAGAGGATCAAGACGGACCAGGCCGTTGTGCTCGAGAACTCCGGATCCGGTTTCACCTCTCCCAACTTCCTCGATGTCAAGCTGGGCGAGCGGCTCTGGGCCGACGACGCTCCCGCCGAGAAGAAGCGGAGATTCGACGAAATCACCCGCAAGACGACGCATGCTCCCCTGGGTTTTCGCATCGCCGGCATGAAGGTATGGCGCGGCTCAACAATGAAATCGGAACTGGACCACGAGGGCTACAAAATCTACGACAAGGACTACGGCCGTACCCACGTAAATACCGAAAACGTCGTTGACAACTTTCGCAAATTCATCTTCAACAAGACCGCCGGCATCGACGACGATTTGGCCCGCGCCGTCGTTCAGGCCTTCCTCCGTGACCTGCGCACCGTAGAGCGTGTCCTCGCCTCCAAAGAGAGCAGAATGTACTCAGCCAGTCTCTTGTTCGTTTTTGAGGGCGATGGCGACAGGTTGAAGGACGCCATTGCGCAAAACAACTCGGCCGTCGAAAAGGTCGAGACCGAGCTTGATTGGGAAGACAAGCCCGGTAGACCCGCCTTGAGAGTCGATAGTGGTATCGAGCTGATCGATGAAGACGTTGTCACCATCGACGCTGCCGTTAACGGGGGCGATCAAGACGACGAAGATGATGACGATGATGACACTCCGGCCTTGCCCAAGATCTACTCGCTCAAGCTCATCGACTTCGCTCACGCAAAGTGGACGCCGGGCCAGGGTCCCGACGAGAACACGCTCAAGGGCGTGCGGAGTCTCATCAAGATTTTCGAGGAGATGGCTCAATAGCGACGGGCTTTCGCATGGGCCGCCTCGACAGGATGCGGGGAGCGTAGGGATCCCCGGGCCTCCGGTTCCGGCAGTGCGGCGACGAAGGAAAAAAACCCTACGGGGCCATGATGGTCTTGTGCGAAACACCAGATCAAAAGCATCCATCAGCAGGCATCAGACGAGCACATTTTGCTTAAAGATTACAATACCCATATACAATGCGCGGGCATGAGTTGTGGGTTAGACGTCGCTCCTCAGAGGACAGACGGTGGGCTCAAAGCCATGATAATGACCATGGGATATACAGTATCCCAATCGGCGTCGGGACTCTTTTTAATTCATACCAATACCATTGCATTTTTTATGCTTTTGCCATTTTCCCTCGGTGATCCGCAATTAATTGCAAGAACCAGCAGGGTACGTCTACATTGCCTCGTGCCAACTACCTATGGGACCGACCTGCATGGAGCCAATGCAGGTCGACTGCATCCAAAGATGCGATGACACGGACGAGAACTGCTAGGTTGCGGCAGACCCCACACCGACCATGGGAATAATACTAGTACGTCTGTATGCCGTGGTACTCAATGTTTTGGGAATGGGAAAGGGAACAATCGCTCGAACAAGTCTGGGAGTTTCCCCTGGATTGCATAGGCCTTTGCAACTCATAGACCGTACTCCGCAAACAAAGACGGAATTAGAAAGTCATACGCATAGAGGGAGAGTATTTCAAAAGACCATACCTACGTCATCCAGCACCCAGTAGTACAATTCACATGAAGACTCATAGAGCTTTCCACTTATTTTATCAATAGTGGAGAATATAGCTTCACAATATCCCCCACTCTTCGGGCTGGAGTAGAACCTTGAGTGCACTTCCGAAGGACAAGTGTGAATGAGTCCGATGCCGCTTGTGATTAGTGTACGGAGTACAGTGACATTTTCGGTCGGACCGTTGACGGAGCTCAAGTGGATCCACTTCGGATCGGAATATACTTTATCCGACTCATACCCTGTCGGAGCTGTCATGTCTCGTCGCGAAGTGCAGCAGCCCAAACTTTCTGAGGCCTCAGCGACCATCACACTTTGAGGTTCTGAATCACCACCAGGACGTCCTCTACGCACCCGCAACCATGGACGACCTCTTGAACCTCGAGCTTCTTTCGCTCGTTTCAAAGGTGACGTCTGAGCTGCAGAACCATTTGGGCGTCTCCGACAAAACCCTCGCCGAGTTCATCATCGCCCAGCGGGTCGACGCCGACGACTACGATGGTTTCCAGAAGAAACTCGCCGCCATGGGCGCCGACTTCCCCCCGAGTCTGGTTGACAGTGTCGATCGCCTCGTCTTGACCATGCACCCGAAGATGAAGGGTAAGGCGCAGAAGACCGGCGGCGACAATGGCAGCAACGAGGACCGTCACCACCGGAGCGCAGCCGAGAAGGAGCAGATCTTTAGGGGCCTCGCCGTGCCGGACAAGCCGGTGGCATACGACAATATTGGAGACGGCATCGACGCCATCGATGACACCCTGGCCTTGCTCGAGGGGCTGGAGGGCAAGGCGCGAAGAGACAACCGAGACACGCGCAAGCGCAGTCGCAGTCCAGACGACGGTCGCGAATCGCGGCGGAAACGGAGAGGCCGGTCGAAGTCGAGGGAGCGGAATAAACGAGACAAATACCGGTCGCGGTCTCGGTCACACGACGATTACGAAAATGGGCCCTCGCTGAAACAGAAGAGCAGGCGGCGCAACTACGACGACGAGGACGACGGCCGTTTCAGGAGGGCACCCGAGCCCGAGGTCGACGACGCACCACAGCTGCACAAGATATACGGTGGACACGTCACGGGCATCAAGGATTTCGGCGCCTTTGTCAACATACACGGCGTTCGCGGCAAGGTCGACGGATTGGTTCACATTTCGAGGCTGGTCGACGGTCAGCGGGTCAACCATCCTTCTGACTTGCTGACCAAAGGCCAGGAGGTCTGGGTAAAGGTTGTCAGCATGGAAGGCAACAGGATAGGCCTGTCCATGAAAGAGGTAGACCAAGAGACCGGTCTGGATCTTCACCCAGAGGTCAGAATATCGTCCGGCGCGAACATGGAAGAGCTGGGCGGCCGTGGTCGTAACGGGAACATGTTTGACGAGTCGCCGATGCCGCCGCCGCAACACCAGCCTCGCCGGCAAAAGAAGCGCATGACCTCGCCCGAGAGGTGGGAGATCCGACAGCTGATTGCATCCGGCGTTGCCAAGGCCTCCGACTACCCCGACCTGGAAGAGGACTACAACGCGACTCTGAGAGGCGACGGCGAGCTGGAGCTGGAACAGGAGGTCGACATCGAGGTCCGAGAAGAAGAGCCGCCGTTCCTGGCAGGCCAGACGAAGCAGTCATTAGAGCTGTCGCCTATCCGCGTCGTCAAAGCACCAGACGGCTCAATGAACCGAGCTGCCATGTCCGGCACCTCACTCGCCAAGGAGAGGAAGGAGCTCAAGCAGCAAGAGGCAGAGGCTGCGGCGGCCGACGACTCCAAAGTCGACCTTTCTGCTCAGTGGAACGACCCGATGGCGGACCCGGACAAGCGCAAGTTCGCCAGCGATATGCGGAATGCCAGATCGCAGATGGCGCAGAACAAGCCCGATGCCGTCCCGGAATGGAAGCGAGCGGTGGCACCCAAAGACCAGGCCTTTGGTAGGCGGACAAACATGAGCATCAAGGAACAGCGGGAGTCGCTGCCTGTATACGCCTTCCGACAAAAGTTCCTGGATGCCGTCAGGGAACACCAAGTCATGGTGGTTATCGGAGAGACCGGCTCCGGCAAGACGACGCAGCTGACGCAGTATCTGGCCGAGGACGGTTTCGCAAACGACGGAGTCATTGGCTGCACGCAGCCCCGACGCGTGGCCGCCATGTCCGTTGCGAAGCGTGTGGCTGAGGAGGTTGGCACCCCGCTGGGTGAGGCAGTCGGCTACACGATCCGTTTCGAGGATAAGACGAGCCCGGCAACCAAGATCAAGTACATGACGGACGGTATGCTTCAGCGAGAGATTTTGGTGGACCCAGATCTGAGACGGTACTCGGTCATCATGCTCGACGAGGCCCACGAGCGTACCATCTCGACCGACGTCTTGTTCGCGCTGTTGAAGAAGACGATGAAGCGGCGTAAGGACTTGAAGGTCATTGCGACATCGGCGACCCTGGACGCCGACAAGTTCTCGTCGTACTTTGACGGGTGCCCCATCTTCACCATCCCAGGTCGAACTTTCCCCGTTGAGATCCTCTACTCTCGCGAGCCCGAGTCCGACTATCTCGACGCCGCGCTGGTCACGGTCATGCAGATCCATCTCACCGAGCCGCCCGGTGACATTCTGCTCTTTTTAACGGGACAGGAAGAAATCGACACGTCGTGCGAGATCCTGTACGAGCGCATGAAAGCGCTCGGACCGAACGTGCCGGAGCTCATCATCCTGCCGGTGTACTCTGCACTCCCCAACGAGATGCAGAGTCGCATCTTCGACCCTGCACCCCCTGGCTGCCGAAAGGTGGTCATCGCCACCAACATTGCCGAGACCTCCATCACCATCGACAACATCTACTTCGTCGTCGATCCCGGGTTCGTCAAGCAGAACGCCTACGACCCGAAGCTGGGTATGGACTCCCTGGTCGTCACCCCCATCTCGCAAGCGCAGGCCAACCAGCGTGCCGGCCGCGCCGGGCGTACAGGGCCCGGAAAATGCTTCCGCCTCTACACGGAAGCCGCCTACCAGTCGGAAATGCTGCCGACGACGATTCCCGAGATTCAACGACAGAACTTGTCGCACGTCATTCTCATGCTAAAGGCGATGGGCATCAACGACCTGCTGCACTTCGACTTCATGGACCCCCCTCCCATCAACACCATGCTCACGGCGCTGGAGGAGCTCTACGCCCTCAGTGCGTTGGACGACGAGGGTCTGCTGACCCGCCTGGGAAGGAAGATGGCGGATTTCCCGATGGAGCCGTCGCTGGCCAAGGTGCTCATCATTTCGGTCGACATGAAGTGCTCGGCCGAGATGCTCATCATCGTGGCGATGCTGAACCTCCCCAACGTCTTCTACCGGCCCAAGGAGAAGCAGTCGCAGGCGGACCAGAAGAAGGCCAAGTTCCACGACCCGCACGGCGACCACCTCACGCTGCTCAACGTGTACAACTCGTGGAAGCAGAGCAGCTACTCGAGCCCGTGGTGCTTTGAGAACTTCATCCAGGCGCGGTCGATGAAGCGGGCCAAGGACGTGCACGACCAGCTCGTCAAGATCATGGAGCGGTACCGGCACCCGATCGTCAGCTGCGGGCGGCACACGCAGATCGTGCGGCAGGCGCTCTGCTCGGGCTTCTTCCGCAACGCGGCGCGCAAGGACCCGCAGGAGGGCTACAAGACGCTCATCGAGGGCACGCCGGTGTACCTGCACCCGAGCTCGGCGCTGTTCGGCAAGCAGGCCGAGTGGGTCATCTACCACACGCTGGTGCTGACGACCAAGGAGTACATGCACTGCACGACGAGCATCGAGCCCAAGTGGCTGGTGGACGCGGCGCCGACCTTCTTCAAGGTGGCGCCGACGGACCGGCTGTCGAAGCGGAAGAAGGCCGAGAGGATCCAACCGCTGCACAACAAGTACGCGGGCGAGGACGACTGGAGGCTCAGCGCCCAGAGGAAGGGCGGTCGTGGTGGAGGCGGTGGCGGCACATGGGGCTGATGTTGTCTCTCGGGGGCTCTCGTGTACAGATATTGACTGGAGGGGGCGAGGAGGCTTAGATTGGCGGGCGGACCAGCGATGGTTAATCCAGGTTGTTGTTATAAAACCAATGAAATATACCCAAGATTTGACACATTGAGCACACGGGGCGTACCTCGCATAACACCCCTTTGGCTCAAGGAAAAGGCATCGTCTGCCCCCTCCCAGCACAGGTCGGGTGAGACCTGTGTTATGCAATGAGATTCTGCCCCGGCAGCTAGGTAGGCTAGCTAGTACGGCGGTGCCTCCATCGCATCTCCACGGGGGCGGAGGGTTAATGGGAGGAAATGAGACCTTAGATTTTACATGAAAGATGTGCGTCCTTCTACCCCATCTTCAGTCATAAGCTTTCCCCCCTCCTTTACCTTGATAGGTGAGTAGGCTGCAAAGGTGTAAACAAGTCTCTAGTCTTTCTCAGTATAACTTCTCTACCTCAAGACTTGGCCTGCCAAGCCAAGCCCGCTTCGGGAGCCAAGATACCACGGGACGCTCGACGTATTGAAGGGGGCGGGGGCCAGCCTCCCGCCCCAAGGAAAGGGGCGACAAGGAGGTGTTTGATTAAGCGTCAAAATGTACAGACGACGTCGTCTTGGCATCGCGACTTGGCGCTGTGTTAGCCTGAAGCCGGGACGTGAACTCGGATTTCAAGCCTCCTTTTCCCTCCACCCCGGGAATCGTCCGACAGGCCCTCTCGCAGGGCGCCTCAGCCCCATGCCGGCAGTGCGCGGGTACACCGGCATTGTCCCTTGGCGTGTGATGCCTGTTGTGATGTCGATAGTATGTGCCATGTTGCGACTTTTTTGTTTTTGTTTTTTCTTTTTTGTCGTGTCTTTTCCATCATCTTCTTCTGCCAGAGTTGCGAACGTGTGAGAGGTTTTGGCGGAGTAACTTGTAACATGCTTTTTTCCTTCTTTTCGGAAAAGGGTGGGTGGTGGTGGAATTGGTCGAAAGACAGCGTGCCACCAGAGCATACGAAACTGCCAGGGCACCACCACCCCTGAGCGATGATCAATCGAGCCCAATCATGTTTTCTTTGGCGTGGCCATGTACCCCGGCAATTAGGTTTTTAGGTATTCATGGGGGAACGTCACCCGGGGTGTCCTTCCCGCTGCAAGGCGGAACTCTATCTGATAGAGAGGGCTTAGGAGCGAGCCATATGCGCCACGATGAGCAAGCCAATCTCAACGTCAACACCGGTTCTGGCGTGAGCCTGACGTGCGAGAGATGCGAGTAGAGTATTTCCGGGTCTCTTTGAAAAAGGGCCTCTTGGCGGTACATGTTGAGACGAGACGAAGGAGGAAGGATTCGCTATTGTAACATTGTTTGGCTTGGTGTTTCCGACCAGCAGATCATATATGCGGGGCGAATAGGCGGGTAGTACGGATATGCACCGTTTTATCACCGCCACTACCCAGGACTTTTTCGAACGTACTGTTTTTTATGCTTCTTTTTTTCAGGTTGACCAGGAGGGATATCTAAACGCAGATCAACATGGTTAATATATGGAGTCCTTTCCCTCATGGGTGGGACGGTTTCGTGAGATGCGTTTTCCGATGACACGGCTGGTTGGACTGAAACTTGGTGTTTAATCCCTTTTTTATCGACGGCAAAGAGCGATACAAAACAAAAGAAACTTTGTATGTTATCTGTCAAGATTTATTGATAAGACGAAAATCCGACAGAATTTTGTTTGGGGGAAAGGGACACCGCTTGTTCTAAGCCGACCCAAAGCAAAGAAACACCACACCCCTAGCGTCGACGACGACGATGAAGATGACGCGCCGCCATCGGAATCTGAAGCTGAATCAACTCACCGTCCTAGCCGTCCTATCGACGGCGGTCCTTCCCGGCGCGACGGCCATCGAGGACCTCGACCCCGAGGACGTGCCGCCCGAGTGCGCACTGGCGTGCGCGCCCATCACGCAGCTAACGGAGCGGTGCGAGGCGGCGGCGGAGCAGCAGTTGGGCGCGGAGGCGGTGAACCGGCGCTGGGCCACCGGGAAGCAACGGCGGGCGAGCGCCGTCGATGGCGGCAACGGCGGCCCGGACAGAGACGTGCGGCGAGGGCGGCGGCGGCAAAGGGGGGCGAGGAGGTCGCTGCAAAGGATGTCGGGTTCGCGCCTGGATCGGCGGCAGGAAGAGGACGACGGCAAGGAGGACGGCGAGGACAGCAGCGAGGACAGCGACGATAGTGATGACAGCGACAGCGATCAAAGCGACGAGGAGGAGGAGGAGGAGGAGGAGGAGAACCCTCCGGTGTCTGAAAACGCCGCAGAGACGGGGGGAAGCGAGGAGGCGGCAGCGGAGGCGAACCAGGAGGCCGCCGTGGAGGCGATGCGGGCCTGCGTCTGCGAGGAGACGGGGTTCGACGTCGCCGTCGCCGCCTCTGGGTGCGCGGCCTGCATCGCGCAGAACGCGACGGCCGCGGATGCCGACGAGGGTGAGTTGTCGCGGCCGTCGAATGCCGTTTGTCTGAAGGAGTAACTCACAGAAATCCCTAGATATCCGACAAATCATGGCCGAGTGCGGCTTCATCACGACGGCGTTCCCGTCCGGTGCGGTGCCCACTCAGCCACCGATCCTGGCACCGGCCGAGTCCGGCACAGACACGTCCCCGCCTCCGTCCCCCGCTTCGCCGACCATGACATCCTTTCCTCCGGCGGTGGCAACGACAACGACGCAGGGCCCCGACCTCGAGTCCATCACGCCCGTCACAGTGTTCGAGACGCCGTCGTTCTCGGCGCTGCCGCCTCTCGTTCTGCCCAACGACATCTCGTCCACGCCGCCCGTGCTGGAGCAGAATGAAAACCAGCTGAGCGGCGCGGCGAGGGGGCTGGATACCGCTTTCGGCGGGTGGCTGGGGCGTGGGGTCGTTTTTGCGGTGGTTGTCGGTTTGATTTCGTCATGAGATGGCCGGAGCGGTTGTTCCATCATTTTGAAGTGATTCCGACTGGGCTGATATCGAAAGAGGGATTGGGAACGGATGGCGTATGAAAGGGGGAGTGATGAAAACGGGGAGAAATCAGGAATGGATCAACATTAATCAACTGGACATCTTCTTAGGGCAATGCAGTAAATACAATAGAACTGCTGGTGTCATGGGACATCCGACCTGATGGGTTGCTTAATACTTGGAAATACTGATTCGACTATGTGTATGAACAAGGTGAAGGATGAGACGAATGATGAGGTACGTAACAGTATTTCTCATGTCTATTAGACTTGCTAATCTCCAATCAGTCGAAGAAGGTGGCCGTTTCGACGTAGCCCTCACGCTTCAGAAGCGCAATGGGCGGGATGGTCTCTACCTGTGTGGCATTGGTGTAGGCTCCAAGTCAGCTACTCATAGTCGTTCTCCGAGCTTATGGGTCGTGTCATGTTTTCAGAGCTTCTGCCCGTGACGACTTTCGTCAGTGTAGAGTGATCCAAGGCGCCAGGTTCTTCAACGGCCTCAGCGGCAGAGTTCAATGGAGCCGCCGCATGGAAGATGTGTCAAATACCACGTCATTTCTCAATAGAGATGTAGAAGAGAAGAACAAGAGGGCGGTATGCGAGAACGGCTATTTTATTTCACTCATGCTCTTTAGACAGGTCACTGTGTATAAAGCCATGTCGCCTGCCGAGCGCTATTACACCGCCAACCACTATTAGCACGACCTTCTTTACACTCTCGGTTTCACTGAGGTAGCTATAATAATAATAGTAAGGGTAGCGCTAGCAATAGTTTTGTCATTCTCTTTGTCTAGGATAGATCCAGTACTGACAATGCTAACTACTTATGTTCTTATAACCGGAGACAATCGTAGAGGACAAGAGGAAACCGAGAAGTTTCCACATTATGTTGCAAAATGAGTCATGTTCCATCGCAAATCTCCATCATCTGCCTTTTTAAACGGTATGCACAGGAGACGGTTGAATGTGGTGTATTTGTCGTGAAGCTGGGAATAGCTTCATGTGGCTAGTACCAGTTGATTTAGGGTTCCCATAGAAGTAGGCGGCTTAATTACCTACAAATGTGGCTGGCAGGACACGGTTTTGATTTAGCACGGCTTGCTAGGTGGCGCAAATGCCAAACTGTAAATACACCAATGGCAGGAGGTGTCAAGGACGGAATGAGCAACTTCACAGGACAGACACATGGGATCCCCAGGACCGTTGGCATAATAAACAGTCAGCTCGCCGCTGTCATAGACGAGTTATGTCACGAGTTGGAGCACACAGCAGGGCATAGGATATTCAACGTCCAAAAGGCTTGGTTCTATATAAGTGAAGGATAGAAAATAGAGATCTATATATAGTTGAATGAGGGTGAAACACCACGTGATAAAGCACATGACAGTGCTCTTACATAAGGTGGAAAGTGTATGAAGCTATCGTGACAAGTTACGTGTTATTAGCAAAAAGTTCCCCTGTCGTGCATCGAGTGCCTCCCTTTAAACTATACATGGTCGGTTTCACCGCACAGTAAGGGAGGACAGGGAGCCTCATCGTATCATCCATGTTAATTCAATCTACATACCTAGGTAAAAGGAGAAGAAAAGCCAGCACTGATAAGGACGCTGGATGACCACTGATCAGTAAATATCTCATTCAGGGACATAAGAAGCCATCTCGGGTTGTTCTTCTTTTTTCCATCCGTGTTTTCGACTTCTCACTTTCGACTTCTTTATCTTCCCTGACACTACTAACCGTGTAAATGTTAGCCCACTCAAGATGCCTCGCGAAACGCCTCTCAATACCTACTGGTTCACAAGACGTCTTATACCACCTCTAACAATGTGTTCCCAGAAACACTTCCCATGCACCGTCGACTTCTCCAGAACGGCAACCCCGCTTCATTTTGGGCTGCCTGTTTCATTACTTACTGCTCTATGCCCTATAGTATCATTATTATCAACCATTAAACAGCAGCAAGCCCACATAGAAAGGAAATGTGACGTTAAAGACAGCTGAAATCAAGGCAAGAGTCGATCACTGCTGGAAATGGTAGATTCCTAGAGCAATGCCGCGTCAAGGGCCTGTACTCTCTTTAGGCGAAAGAATAAGACCCACAGGTGGTGTGACCTGGGCACACAAGCAGCGGATGTGCTTGCTTACGGAATAGAGCCTGGAGGGATCGATGTGCAGCAAATCCACTGCGATCGTCACCATAAGGGCGTCGACGCAGGCTCAAAAGTGATCCGGCTGCATCTGCGGACTTCACCTGGGAGGGGAGCTGAGAGCTTATTGTAATTGCGGCAGCGGAAGTTCTGCTGCTCTGCAGCAGATGGTTCGGTTAGAGACGGCAACAGCATTCAGTTGAGCGCAACTGAGTTTATTAGCATCTTAGACATCATGTTTGGTGGTGAGCATATCCGGTGTGACTAACACAAACCGTCTGGTGTAGCTGAAGGTGCTTGAGATATCATCATATCTTGCATGCAGCATGTCTTTAAATTTTGTCAAAACCCGAGAGAAAAAAACAAACAAAAAACCATTAGTTATCTGACAAAGCAACACGCCACATCCCAGAATCTCTCCTCATATAGAACTCAACGTCCCTGTCGCAGGGGCGCAGCCTGATGCAACATTGCCAATGACAGACAATACGCCAAAAGCCAGCGGTTTTCCAACCTCAAGTTTGATCGTCCAAGGTGAACGAGATGAAAGGACGCCAGAATTAGTACGCGGACACCAGGGACTGACGGCTGCTCCCTGCCCTCGTTCCCCAATGCGGCTTATTAGCCGCAGGGAGTGGAGGGGATACAATGTAGCCGAGGCAGGGCGGAGAAGGGAAATCATCAACTAACATCAAGCGAGGGCTGTCATCCAATGTCGGTCGGTAATAATATCACAAAACTATTAAAGCGATTCCCGGGTGGTCGGATGAGGCCACTTGAAGGCTCTGGATCTTTTGTCTAGCCTTGCGCATAGTTTCGTTGCGGAGAACCCTAGAATAAAGCCCACGAGCCTCAAGAACTGGGCCGCTTCTTTATTTCTCTCGCCCGTTCTCGTATGCTCCACTGAGCCAGCTCTCCGCTAATACATATTGGAATACGAAGTCCGCTGCTGTGCCGTAAAGATGCAGAGCTCTTAGCCATATTCGGGCCGTAAGCTCTGGGCCCTTGAGCGGAGGCTCGAGAGTCTCGTGAGACGTTTATTCATTCATGTCTTCTTTGTCTTGCGCATTTGTGTCTAGTGGGGGCTTTACGGTGATGGAGCAAACAGCCCGTATGACGCAGCAGCTACCATAAGACCGGGTGGTATTGATGTCGATTTGCGATCTATCCTTTTTCCCTTCTTTCTTATTTTTCTTCCGCGAGCGATAGGCGGAAGAGGCTCAACGGGCCTGGACGGTCTCGAGAATCAATGCAACGGTACAGGAGACCCGCCGCCAATCATGCCTCGAAGAGTGGCAGCGCCATCAAGATCTAGGCGGCTTCAGAATCCCTGTTAGCGCCGGCGAATTGCTTGGACGGGAAGAAAAGGGGGCACGGCGGAGACCAAGTAAGTGTGCCCACATCCATCCAGAACCAGGCAGAACACCACCGCCAGACCCGATCCGGAGCTGATCAAGGATCTGTTCCTGGATACCGAACCAAAGTACCATGTAGTATCAAAGTGGGCTTACATGTCCCTCTAGACATCATTGGCCTCGATGACCTTCCTTCGCGCGGACTGGTGTCAGCGGCGCCAGCCAACCGCCGTCCCGTCCCTGGCGTCCAAGTTCGAGTGGTGCGTCCGTTGGTGTGTTTGAGAAGTCGGAGACTCCTGTGGATCTGCAGTGAGCTGTCCATTGCTCCCACCGAAGAACATGCGTTCACGCAGGCACAGAGGCGAAAGGGTGGAACCACGAGTCCCTTACGTATGCGGCCACACGGCGCAGCAAAAAACAAGACATAGCCAACCATTGAGAACCGGGCAAGACTTTGTCAGAGAGGCTGTGTTCTAGTCTCCTCCACGTTGAGCCCCGCTGAACGAACCAAACGTTTGGAGCCGGCTCACAAGGCCTGGCCAGAATCCAAAGATCCAATGGGAACGAGATTGCTGGAGAATCAGGCAGGTGGTCGAACCCCTGAGGGATTTCACCCCGTGGCCCTGCAGGTGAATCTAATGGCCAGGAGAGCCTCTGGGTCGAGCGTCTTGCCCGGTTCGATATAAGAAGTGACGGGCGACCCCCATTGAACAAGTGTACTGCATGTAGAGGGCCCTCCTTTCCATCTCGCTTTTCAAGATTCCATCCTTTGGTTTCTTAGTCACTCTTTTGTTAAAACACAAGCCTCCGAGACCCTCTTCTATTCACACTCTCTAGTTTAGAAGATCTCATACAGTCGTTATTGGAAGTGTTTTGTGTTTCTGGTTTTATCCTTTCCCCGTTTCTGTTACCGCACATTGCCGAATATGGCGCCTTCGATTATCTCCACGCTCTCTTCCGTCCTTCTCCTCACCTCCTCGGCTGCCGCCACAAAGTCCTACCAGGTCGTCGACAGCTATGACTCCACCAACTTCCTCGACAAGTTTGGCTTCTTCACGGTAAGTATCTGGCTGTGAAGCATACATGTATCGGGCATACAACTGACATCGTCTTTTTAGAGTGACCACTCAACCGGAAACTACAACGATGTCGATCCCACCGGCGGTTACGTTAGCTACAAGTCCGCTACCGAGGCCCAGAACATGGGTCTCATGAAAATGGTTGGCCAGGACTTGTACCTCGGCATGGACTCCAAATCTGTCATTGATCCCAACGGTATCGGGAGGAGCAGTGTCAGAATCGAGACCAAGACCAAGTACAAGCAGGGTCTCTTTGTCGCCAGCTTCTCTCACCTCCCCAAACCCGTTTGCGGTGCTTGGCCTGCATTGTGAGTCGTCCATTGTGTTAGTCTCATAGTCGGAATATCCCTGATGGCTGACTGAAACTAGCTGGACCGTCGGTAACCCTTGGCCTTCAGGGGGCGAAATCGATATTTACGAGACTTGGAACGAAGATAACGTCAACAAGGTAGTCTTACACACTGATGAAAAGATTGGCGAGTGCCGAATCGACGGCAAGAACATGTCGGGAACTGTCAGCAAGCCCAACTGTGCCAACTTCGCTGCGGGCCAGTCCGACAACGAAGGTTGCGCCGGTCTGGATGCCGCGGCCCCCTTCGGATCTCCTGAGGGCGGTGTCTACGCCATGGAGTGGACCGATGACGCTGTCCGCGTCTGGGGTTTCACCCACGCCGACGTCCCCGCCGACTTGAGCAAGCCTGAGACCTTTGGCAACCCCAGCTTCACCACCAGCACCTGCGCCGCCGACAAGCTCTTCGGCGAGGCCTCTCTTATAATCAACCTGGACCTGTGTGGCGTATCTGGTAATGAGGGCATATGGGATGCCCCTGGAGGCTGCGCTGCCAAGACAGGAGGCGCCACTTGCAAGGAATGGGTTGCGAAGAACCCTGCCGCCTTCGCCGACGTCTACTTCCAGCTCAAATCCATCAAGATTTACAGCCTCAAGGAAGGTGAGGCAGTCACTTCTGTGACCAGCCAGGTTGCTTCCACCGTTGCGTCTACCTCTGTTGCGGAGACCGCTGTCAGCTCTGTTCTGTCTTCCGGCATCACCTCCGAGAAGCCGGCCGAGACTACTTCCGGTGCCGTTCCCACTGCTTCCGTCATCGCTTCCGATAAGCCCGCTGAGACTGCGGTTAGCTCTGTTCTCTCTTCCGGTATCATATCCGATAATCCCGCCGAGACCGCTTCCGGCGCCGTTCCCACTTCTGCCCCTACTTCAGTCATCGCTTCCGACCAGCCTGCCGAGACCCCTGCCGAGAGCTTGACAACTCGCTTGGCTACGTCCACTGTCTACGAAACCAGCATCAAGACCATCACGTCGTGCAGGCCCGAAGTTACCAACTGTCCCGCCAGACATACCCCCGTCGTCGTCACCGAGACAGTCGCCATTTCCACAACCATCTGCCCCGTCTTCGATATCTCGACCGAGTTGACCGTGTCCAAGACCGAGGTGGTCACCGTTACGTCTTGCGCCGGTGCCGGTACCGCCAACTGCGCCGCCCAGACCTCTACTATCACCACGCACGAGGTCATCCCCACGACTACTGCGATCCCCGTCGAGAGCTACGTCCCTCCCAAGCCCACCGGTGGCAAGCCCGCCGGCGGCGTCACTACCGAGCTCATCCCCGCATCCACGACCGAGGGACAGAAGCCGGCTCCCGCCACCACGGATATGCCTACCGTCCTGACGACCTACATGACCAACATCATTACAGTCACTTCATGTGCGCCAGAGGTTGTCAACTGCCCGGCTAGACTTTCCACTGTCGTGACCAGCCAGCTCATTTCCACCACGATCCCAGTCCCTGTTCCGGGCGTCCCTGCCATTCCCACCGGTGCTCATCATAACCCTCCCGTTCCCGGTAGCGGCGAGCCTGCCACCACCCCTGGCCCTACCACTCCCGGCTCCGGCTCTGACTCCGGCAAGCCCTCCGTTCCTATCGTCGGTGTTCCTCCCGTTGGTGCGCCTTCCGTTGGTGTCCCTACAGCTGGCGTTCCTACAGCTGGTGTCCCTCCCGCTGACGTCCCTACCGCTGGCGTGCCCCCATCTCTCCCCACAACTCTGGTTGTCGCGCCTTCGTCGCCTTTCAATGGCACGCTTACCAGCGCCCGAACCCCTGTCGGAACCGGCTCTTCGTCTCCTTGCATCGGCGCCGCGTGCCCTGCCACTACGACCGGCCCCGTCCTCGCCGGCGCTGGCAAGCTCGGCACCGGGTCGTTGCTGTTGGCCGCTGTGCTGGCGGTCTTCGTCATGTAGGAGTGTCGTTGAAACAGGATGAATGAGTTTCGTTTCTTTATCAGAGGTTTTCTTTTTGTATTATACATGGTCCATCGCAGAGCGTCTATACCCTTCGGTCACCTAGCATACATAGGAAGGGTCGAAAAAGCGTCCCAAATAAATCGTTCAAAATTACTCTCCTATCTCACTTGAACCATACGTTCCATCGTGTTATAACTCTGTATCAGAAGAACCATGTCGCTGGCACCGTGAACGTCTTCCAGAAGGGCAATGATGCCGGCGAGACTGACAAAAGGCATCAAGGGACCCTTAGTACTGGTATCAGACCGCTCGGACAGTTCAGCATTCGTATTTGTTACGACACTCATGAAGAGTACTCGTGGTGTTGATCCTTCTGCCCTGGCTTGGCCTCTCACGGTCGTATTCAAATCTTGAACGGCTGAGTGGACGCCACAGCTCTCCTCGGCTACCCCGATGCATGCATGCTATGCCAAGACAAGACCACGATCACTGCATCAGAAGCTGAAAAGCAGTCAAATGCACTGAAACATGACAAGATTATCATGATAGGATACGGCTTGTCCGTGGCAGTAGCCAAATCAAGATTTTGGGAGGGGAACCCAGGAGATTCATTGTGTATAATTCGCTTGGCGCTACATTATAGCTACAGTCTGACAGTGCAGACTCTACGACGTGGAAAGATTTTGACATTTACGGAAAAGTAATACATTCTGCAGTGTCCTTCATAACCATGCAACGTTTCCTGAGAAGTGGGTAGATAACCTACCTACTCCACTGACGAATAACCCCCGCATCATCCGAACATCCCAATAAACTCCTCTCGTGGGACGACACAGGGACGTCCAGCTAACGTTCTTCCCCCTCGAGACACTCTTTCTCAAATATCAGAGAACAAATCAGCAACCTTAGATAGTGTCGTAGTGGTAGAGTATACATACAAGCTGACAACCCCCCCCTTATCAACCCTAGAGTACCGTGCGCGATATACCTCACCTGATAGTGCAGAGACTAGCAAAAAGCACAGTACTCTCGGGCTGACAAGGGTTGACAAAGGTAGCTTGTCTGATCACTCTGGTAGAGTGATGAAAGATGATAACGACAGTAATCCGATAAGCCGTTAAAGAAAAATAAGCTTGAAAGATGAAGTGGAGAGGGATGGCAGGCGACACGTGAGAGGGTGGGTTGGTGCTGAAGAGTGTGGTTGTCGGGGAAGAAGAGGGGAGAAATGTAAGGAAACGGGAAGTTCCGTCGGCGGTCAAAAGCGACATCTGCATAATATGTTTAAGATTAACCAACAGAGGAGCGCCTTGTTGTTTTGCTCCGGGAGTTTCGCTGACGGGCCTTATTATTGCTAATAATCCTTTATCGTCTAACGTACCCTGGGTACTGGCAGCATCATTTAGATTGAACGGTGACATGGAAAAGCTACCTGGATCACCAGTAGCCGATATCTCGCTGCTTTCCGGCCACATACTCGAGACAAGTAATTATAAATCGATTGTTGCAATATGACGGCTGCTATACGACCACACCCAGCATCCACGATGCTAAGCCCACGGCTGCACCGACATGTGCGCAAGTACATGGGCATGTAACTCACACAGTAGTTGCAGTCCTAGGTGTGTACATTTCAACGTGACGGGCAATCTCACGATATCTCTCCTCTTTCCATCCGGCCAGCCCGCTGCACGTTTATCTGCAGTCAACGGGCTTCAGTCAATGAGGAGGACAGTTGAAGAATGAGTATTATTGCTTACGCTTAGCTATTAGCTTTTGGCTGAGCCTGTAGGGCTTGTACTCAATGGGGGGCGTGGCTTGAGGATGATGACGGCTGACTTCGTGGTCCGCTTACTCCTAACCCTCGTTTGCACATGTGTCTTAGGGCTGACATCATACGATATGTCTCGGCCGGGGAGAAACCAAAAGCTTCGAATGCTTATGTGTGAGATGCGACGAACAGTGTTCGTTGCCAAGTCTGATACAGCAGCTGAGATGGCAGGATCTCATGGGCCAAAATACACACCTGGGCTCGAGTGTGTGTGGATTACATCCCTGGTCCACACCAAGCTGATCCAAGGTGTTTGCAAGTAGGTGAGCCCTAAAAACCGTCCGAACGGCTAAAAGTCTGACATTTTTCCTTTCATGTCTCAGCCCTGCCACTCAGATGAGAGCGATAGCCTACTGCAAGTTTGGCATGCTATACCCCAGTCCACCCCGTAATGTGGCCAGCAGGAAGCGTTGAGGCGAAGCAGTCACTCCAGCTGATCCTGTAACTGCAGCTGGGACTCACGCAGGCGTGCGGACATGGATGATGCTCTCTCAAGATGACGACAGCACTAGGTGATATATCCTCATCTTACTGGTGGGCAACGTGATCAATGTAGCAGTGCAGCAGATGGAAAAGTCCAGAGCCCGACTGTGTTTCCCTCGAAAATGGTGTCAAGAGCTTGCTGCCCAGCCTTTAAAATGTGTGCTGCCAAAAAGGTCGAATAAGTATGTTCACTCCCCGGACTACTTCAGCTCATGTGCAGTATCCTCGCGTCATCTACTCTTTTGTTGTCTGTCCGCCTCAACTTGTATAACCTAGGCAATTCTTCATTAATCTGCAGTTTCTTTCTTTAGTTATCCTGTATTTGCTCGTGCTCTGTTGGCACCAAGGAACAGTGCCTCGATGGCCTTCTCGATCCTACTGCTGGTGGTGGCCGGACTGGCACGGGCTCTTCGTTATGACCCGGCCTTTGAGGAGTGGAATCTCAACACTAACCAGCAAGCGACAAATCCTTTAGATTATACAGGGACGCGACCGGGGCACGACTACACGGCATCGCCTGATAATTGGCGGTTTCCGTTCTACACAGTGATGCTGGATCGGTGGGTCAACGGGGACCCGTCTAATGATAACGCGAACGGCACTTTATTCGAGCAGGACATCTTGGGTACACAACTACGGAATGGTGGAGATGTTCAGGGTCTGGTCGACAGCCTGGATTATATTCAGGGTTTTGGCATCCGAGTAGGCTCTCAATCGATGAGACTAAGCTTTTGGCTGCGTGTGCTAATACAATTCAGGGAATATACCTCGCCGGATCGCCGTTCATTAATCAACCATGGGGTTATGATATGTACTCGGTAAGAAACCTGAATTTCGACTCCCCAAGCACCATTCTGCGACCCCTGGGAAGCTGTTCTCACCATCTTGCCAGCCACTCGACTTGACACTCCTTGATGCCCACCTCGGCAATATCACAATCTGGCAAAATGCTATCGATGAGATCCACGCTCGGGGAATGTACGTGATAATGGACAACACAATGGCCACTATGGGGGACTTGATCGGCTTTGAAGATCATTTGAACGTCTCAGCTCCATTTGAAGAAGGGGAATACAAAGCGCTCTGGAAGACGGAGCGCCAATACCACGATTTCGAATTTGGTAACGACTACAACGAAACCTGCGAGTATCCTCGCTTCTGGGGGGCCGCGGGTGACCGCGTCCCGGCGGCCGACATCACCGCCCTCAAAGGCTGTTTTAATAGCGACTTTGATCAGTATGGCGACGTTGAAGCCTTTGGTTTCCACCCAGACTGGAAGAGGCAGCTGTCCAAGTTCGCTTCCGTCCAAGACCGCCTCCGGGAATGGGTCCCTTCTGTGCGTAAGCGCTTGGAGGTATTGTCGTGTCTGCAAATCACCATGCTGGACATTGACGGGTTTCGTTTCGACAAGGCCGCCCAAGTCACGGTCGATGCCCAGGGCAACTTTTCAGCTGCGATGCGGGAATGCGCTGCTGGCGTGGGGAAGAAGGACTTTTTCTTACCCGGCGAGATTACGGCTGGAAATAACCTTGGGTCCATATATCTCGGGAGGGGACTAGAAGCAGATTCGAAATTCATTCAGCTTGACGAGGCCCTCAATGCGACGGGTAATGATTCTCGATATATCCGAGATCCGGGACAGAATGCCCTCGACGCCTCCGCATTTCACTACTCGGTGTTCCGTTTTCTCGTCCGGTTTCTGGGCATAAGCGGCCCAAGCCTCGAGAGCGGCTACGATGTTCCCACGGATTGGGTCAGCATGGTCAACCAGATGTTGCTTACCAACGACCTAGTCAATCCAAACAACGAAAGGGTAGACCCGCGGCACATGTATGGCGTCACGAACCAGGACAACTTCAGGTGGCCTGCTTTGAGCCAAGGCATCGAGAGGGAACTTCTCGGATTCTTCATGACCACGCTATTCATGCCAGGCATCCCACTGCTCTACTACGGCCAAGAACAAGGTCTCTACGTCTTGACCTCCACGGCGGAAAACTACGTCTACGGCCGTCAGCCCATGACACCCGCGCCCTCGTCCATGCTCCACGGATGCTACGCCCTCGGCGCCTCTTCCTATGTCGACTTCCCTCTCGGACCCGCCAGGAACGGCTGCGAAGACGAAGGTGTGTCTCGCGACCACCGCGACCCTAGTCATCCCATGCGCAATATACTCAGAGCCATGTACGCTATGCGAGAGAACTACCCCACGCTGTCTGAAGGCTGGCTCATCCAACCACTGGCGAACCAGACCGAGTACCGGCTGTTAAACGGCAGCTCCGTGCCCACAGAGTTTGGCATCTGGAGCGTCGCTCGCGCACTCTACCCAGGCTTCGTGCAGGACCAGTTCGCCAAGGACCCGGTGTGGTTTATCTACCACAACGAGAACGAGACGACCGAGTACAGCTTCGACTGCAGCAACAACTTGACGGGCTTCTTCGCGCCGTTTGATTCCGGCTCGACGGTGAAGAACTTGTTCTACCCGCACGACGAGCTCACCCTGGCCTCGTCGCCGCAGTTTCTCGGGTTTGATGGATCCGAGAAGGCGTCGGGGTGTATTTCCGATATCATCCTGGACCCTTTCGAATACCGCGCCTATGTACCAAAGGCACAGTGGAAGGAAGCGCCGCCCATGATCACCAAGTTCACCCCGGGGCACGACATGTCCATCGACTCGGCGGATTACCAGGGCGCCGCCAACATCAGCTTCTCCTTCTCCCAGGAGATGGACTGCGATGCCCTGACGAAAGCCATCTCGGTAACGTCCACGGTCGAAGGAAATGGCGGCGATGCCACGGTCGACGAGACGAGCGTCCAGTGCACGAAGCTAACCGAGGATGAGAAACCGCCCTACATCGGCGCCATCGGCTCAAAGTGGCGCTGGACAGCCACGCTACGGAATCTCGCGGACGGCGTCCACTCCATCAAAGTGGTCAACGCCTCCGCCGTGGCAGGGGCCTCGACCGGATCGACAGACAAGTTTCTCCTCCGCGTCGGCGCCCCCGGAAACCCCATCGCCTTCCCCATCTCCGCCAAATACTCCAACACGCTGCTCACGAAGTCCGACAGCGACCTCTTTGTCAACCACCAAGCGGCGGGAGCATCGTCCTGGCGGTACTCGACGAACTGGGGGTCGAGCTGGAGTGACTGGACGCCGTACGCGGGCGGCAAGGACAAGATCGACAGGCTCCCGTGGACGGGCACAGCACTGCAGAGTTGGTCTGGAGACCACGTCATGGTGCAATACTGGTCCGCCCCTCTCGGCTCTAGCAGCCTCATGCAAGAGGGCGACGTATGGTCAGACACGGGCAAGGTCAAGAGGGAGACGGGCATCACCTCCACGAAAGCTCGCCGCTTCCCGCACGTCTTTGTTCAAGGTGACTTCAACCAATTCGGCTTCGACGCCGGGATCAACAACAAAATGACCCAGCACAGCACCGACGACGGCATCTGGGAGATGCACTTGATGGCAGAGTGGCCCGAGTCGCTGCAGCTCAACATCTGGGGCATCAACCCAGACGGCCGGCCCGATGCTACTTACGTATTGGGAGACGTCAACGGCGACGGCGTCGGGGATCGGCTGCCGCCGAACGCGGTACAGGCCAACTTCTTCAACGCGAGTGTGCCGCCTCCGGGCTCGGCATTGAGCTATAAGCTGCGGTTCGACGACGCCACGTTGAAGTTTGAGCTGGTGCCGCAAGGCAACTGGCGGCAGCAGTTGCTGCTGTTTATCCTGCTGGCTACGGTGCCGATCGTGACGGGGCTGGCGGTGGTATGGATCTTTATGGGATCGTTTTACAAAGTCAAGATCAATAAGGTCGGGTTTAAGCGCAGGAGCAGGTCGCCATTTGGTAGGGCTGCGAACCACTTGTCGACGTTATCGTTTGATGATTTCCGGAAAAGGGATGTCGCAGAGATGAGCAACTATGGCGGAGTTGGCGCTGTGACAAAGAGGCGGACGGTTTTGATTGCTACGATGGAGTACAACATCGATGATTGGAACATCAAGATCAAGATTGGCGGCCTGGGTGTGATGGCTCAGCTGATGGGCAAGGCGCTGGAGCATCAGGATCTGGTGTGGGTGGTGCCGTGTGTTGGTGTAAGTTCCACGATGCTGTTCATGCTCCCCGGATCGCTCTAGCTTGCCGATACTCGGATTTCGATTGATGGATAAGCTGCTGATACTATACACTAGGGAATCGACTATCCCGTCGACGAAAGGGCATCGGCCATGTATCCGGTAATTATGGTAAGTCTTGAGTTGAGCTCCCAAACCAACATAACCACACCACCCTTTCCCCTCGAGGGTCTAGACCTTGCTGACCACATCGTTGCGAATAGGGAAGAGAATACGAGGTCCAAGTTCAGTACCACAAGGTGAAGAACATCACCTACGTGCTTCTTGACGCCCCCGTATTCCGAAAATGCAGCAAAGCCGACCCGTACCCACCACGCATGGACGACATGGACTCAGCCGTGTACTACAGTGCATGGAATTACTGCATCGCCGAGACAACCAAGAGGTACGTACGCCTTTGAAACTCGTATCCCGCTCCATCGAGACTTGTCTCTCTCTCTCTCTCTCTCTCTATACGGATAGCCAGGGAGGATATGGGCCATGCTAACTGAGGTGTGCGGCAGATTCCCCATCGATCTCTACCACATAAACGACTATCACGGCGCAGCCGCGCCCCTCTACCTTCTCCCCGAACGCACCATCCCTTGCGCCCTCTCCCTACACAACGCCGAGTTCCAAGGTCTTTGGCCGATGCGCACGCCCGCCGAATTCGCCGAAGTCGCTTCCGTCTTTAACCTCGACCCGGCCATCGTCAAGGAATACGTCCAATTCGGCTCCGTCTTCAATCTCCTGCATGCCGGCGCCTCGTACCTCCGCCTGCACCAGCGCGGCTTCGGTGCCGTCGGCGTCAGCAAAAAGTACGGTGACCGCAGCTTCGCGCGGTACCCGATCTTCTGGGGCCTGCCCAAGATCGGCCAGCTACCGAATCCGGACCCGGCGGATACGGCAGACTGGAGTCTCGAGGAGACGGCGCCGGATCGGGGTGGCAACCAGGCGGTCGAGGTGGACGAGGGAAAGGAGTCGAAGCGCGGCGAGCTACGGAAGCAGGCGCAGGAGTGGGCCGGGCTCGACGTCAACCCGGATGCCGAACTCTTCGTCTTTGTGGGACGGTGGAGTCTGCAAAAGGGCGTTGATCTCATTGCTGATATCTTTCCGTCCATCTTGGAGAAATACCCGAATACGCAGCTCATCGCCGTTGGCCCTTGCATCGATCTCTACGGAAGGTTTGCGGCGCTGAAGCTGGAAAAGCTGGCGCTGATGTACCCCGGAAGGGTGTATAGCAAGCCCGAGTTCACGGCCCTGCCCCCGTATGTCTTCAGCGGCGCCGAGTTCGCGCTGATCCCTTCTCGCGACGAGCCGTTTGGACTCGTTGCTGTGGAATTCGGAAGTAAAGGAGCCCTCGGCGTCGGGGCGAGGGTTGGTGGGCTGGGACAGAGTGAGATCTCCCCTTTGAATCTTTTCTACGTATATATGCCCGTACCAGGGAACAAGTAAACGCAGTCCACTGACCCATGATCTGTTCATCTAGTGCCCGGCTTCTGGTACACCATTGAATCTACCGCCACAAGCCATCTCCTCCACCAATTCCGCAGCTCCATCGTCGCCGCTCTCGGGTGCAAGCGCACGACGCGCGTGCTCATGCGCGCCTGGTCCGCCAAACAGCGATTCCCTGTCAAGCAATGGCTCGAGGACCTCGAGACTCTGCAGTCCGAAGCCATCCGTCTGCACAACAAGGAGGCATCCAAGAAGAAGCGATCCACGCATAAGCCCCTACTGACTGTCCCCGCGCGCGGACGCGGGTTTAACTCGGCTGAAGCATCGCCGCGGTCGTCGTTGTCGTCGTTTCTTTCTCGGCCATCAAGCCCTGCTGGCACCTTGGATCGTCGTCGATCGAGGGAGTCGACCTTATACCGGGATTCTCCGCCGGGCTCGCGCCTGCGAACGGCACGAACGCCAAGCCCGTACTTGGAATTGCCGCTTGTTGCGGCTGATATTCGTACACGTGCCCGATCTGCCTCTCAGCCTCCAGAGCTACGAGTTGATGGGCCTGCGGCAGGCCAAGATGTCGAAGATGGCTTGCTGCTAGTACCGCCGAATCCGCTCGACGCGAACTCGAACCCGTTCTACACAGGTATCGGGAACAACTCCTCTTCAGACAGCTTGTCAACCATGATGGCGCGCGACAACGGCACGCCGGGCAGCAACCCGTCTGGCCTGCGGCTCGCACCCATGCAGCACCGCAACTCGTCACTCCTCTCCGTCAACGAGGTCGTCGGCGCACGCAACGACTACGCCCTACAAAAGGTCGATCCGTTCTTCAACGACAGCACCGACGAGTACTACCGGGCCTTTGAGGAGAAGCTGTCCGGATTGACGGCCAAGAATAGCGAGAGCGAGTTGTGCATCGAAGAGTACCTCGTCGAGAGCGAACGGGATTGGAGCAAGCGCTTCCGGGATGCCAAGCTGGGTCGGTCTAAGAGTCCGCGGGGACGTACAGGCATGATGGATGGTTCAGGACGCCCGGGTCATTCGCGCAACTCGAGCTACAATAGCATTGCGCCTAGTGAGGCGGATAGTGGTGATGATGGGAATTATCCCGCTGGTGAGGACCCTTCGGATGATGAATTCTTACTAGGCAAGGCGTACAAGGCGCCGACCGGGCTGAAGAAGTACGTGCTATTTCATCCTTCACCCCTCACATTACATCTGAGCCTGACTACTAACCATTGTCCAGGTTGCTTCAGATCCGTCTCGGCGACTGGCCCATCTACTCATTCTTCCTAGCTCTCGGCCAGATCCTCTCGGCCAACTCGTACCAAATTGTCCTCCTCACAGGCAGTACCACTCAGAGTGAAAACAAGCTCTATCTCATTGCCAGCGTCTATCTCGGCACTTCGATCTTCTGGTGGATTATTTTCCGTCGCTTCTCGGCCCTCTACACTCTCACGCTGCCCTTCCTTTTGTACGGCCTGGGATTCCTTCTGCTCGGCATATCGCCGTTTATCCCTCTTCATGGCGGCCGTGGAGCCGTCCAAGTCGTCGCCACGTGCCTCTACGCAGCCGCGTCGTCCACGGGCAGCTTATACTTTGCAGTCAACTTTGGCGACGAAGGTGGCGCGCCCATCAACATCTGGCTCTTCCGCGCGTGCATCATCCAGGGAATCCAACAGCTCTACACCGTCGGCTTGTGGTACTGGGGCTCCGTGATAGCCGGTGCGTAGACTGGCGCCAGCAGCCTGAATAATAAGACTATCGCTGACAGCCCTGTACCCGTGGTCCTCGTCATCGCGGTCCCCATCGCACTCATGCTGTGGGCCGTGGGCCTCGCGCTGTTTTTCGGCTTGCCGGATTACTACCGCCAAGCGCCGGGGTATATCCCGAGCTTCTACGCGAGCTTGATCCGTCGGAACATAGTTCCATGGTTCTTCCTCACGGTGGTTGTGCAGAACTACTGGCTGAGCGCACCGTACGGACGGAATTGGCAGTTTCTATTCGCCTCGAAATACGTCCCAGGTTGGTCGGCCGTCTTACTCGCCGTGGGCTTCTTCGTCGGTGTCTGGACCCTTCTCCTCGTGGCATTGTCGCGCTTTAGCGTCACGCACCCATGGCTTGTCCCCATGTTCAGCGTCGGCCTCGGCGCCCCGCGCTGGGCGCAAATGCTCTGGGGCACATCCGGCATCGGTCTCTACCTGCCCTGGCTGGGCCATAACGCTGTCGCGAGCGCGCTCCTCTCGCGTGCTCTGTGGCTGTGGCTGGGCGTGCTGGATACCATCCAGGGCGTGGGCATCGGGATGGTCCTGTTGCTCACGCTAACGAGGCAGCACGTAGCGGCGGCACTGGTTGGCGCCCAGATTCTGGGGAGCGTCGCGACAATTCTGGCACGCGCAACGGCCCCGGATAAGATTGGGCCGGGTGATGTGTTTCCTGACTTCTCAGAGGGGATTATGCCTGGGGTGTCAAGGGCGTGGTTCTGGGTGGCGTTGGGACTGCAATTGGTTCTGCCATTCGGGTACTTCAAGTTTTTTAGAAAGGAACAGGTCAGTAAGCCTTAGATAGGCTGCATTTTAGCTGCGGAGAGGAGGTTTAAGCGGCAAGGTCAATGTATTGAATATGGCACACTGGATTTCAATGTGACAAGATGAGGCTGGAGTCATTTGAAAATAGCTTCACTATATAGAATGCTTATTTATTGTAGGGGATATTTCAATTGTTAGAGGCTCATCGCGATTGCCTCCTCATTGTAATCCGCCGGCAACCGACAGTAGTACGCTTCAGCAAGTCTATTGAGTGCTCAATCAAGCAGCACGTCTGTTCACATCGTCCACAGCAGAAAGCCTGGGGGCTTCAGCACCAACATGTGTTGAATGGGATGCTCTGCTCGCCAGTCCATCGGTTTCATACTCGCCTTGACCACGGGGGTGGTTGCCCTCAGAATATCTGTTGCTATTGTGAGAGGAGGTGTGTGTAAAGTCATGGGTGTAATTCTGACTGGTTGAATCGTTGGAGTTGTGTCCCGCATCTCCGAAGGCGGAAGAAAGGATTCCCTGAGCGTATCCGGATGCATTGGAGGCCTTGTCTGTGGCTTGCGAAGACAGGTCGGCCGCAGTCTGCTTGCCACTCTGAGCGGCGTTTGAGACTTTAACTCCAGCGTCCCCAGTGTTGTCTGCGACGGCTCCAGAAAAGCCAGAAGCGGTACCTTGAGCTTTTGACGACAGGTCGGCGGCAGTCTGTTTTCCATTTTGCGCTGTGTTGGAGACAGCTTGGCCGGCATTTCTAGCAGAATCGACAGCGGATCCAGAAAGGTCAGCAGCAGTGCCCTTGGCTTTCGAAGTCATGTCGGCAGCGGTTTGCTTTCCGTTTTGCGCTGTGTTGGAGATAGTTTGGCCAGCATTCCTAGCAGTGTCGGCAGCAGATCCAGAAAGGTCAGAAGCGGTGCTCTTAGCTTTCGAAGTCATGTCGGCGGCAGTTTGCTTTCCGTTTTGAGTGGCATTGGAGATGCTCGTTCGAGCATTTCTGGCCTTCTCGGCAGCGGATCCGGACATATCCGAGGCAGAATCTATAGCACGCGAGGTAAGGTCGGCGGCTGCTTGCTTGCCGTTCTGCGCCGTGTTTGACACGGTGTTTCCTGCGTCATATGCGGCCTGTTGCGCCTTGGACGAGAGTTCGGAGGCTTTGACCTGGCCATTCTTGGCGAGGTCTTGGGCGCGCGCACCAGCATCCTGGGCCACCTTGCGGCCCCGAGGCGAGTTGATCAAAGGTGCGATGAAGATGGAGGTCAAGGCCATAACAGCTAGCCAGAATGGAGAGACGACCTTGGCGAGTCCGTATAGTAAGCCAATGCCGATGAACGCCTAAATATTGGTTAGTCAAACTTATGTGATCATCCCAGAGTATCATCACGTTGGAGCCACATACGCCGAAAGCCTTCTCAAGATCTTCTCCATAGAGGATTTTTTGCGCTTGGATCACGCCGGACTGAATGAGATCATGAATGTCCCTCAAAATAGCGTTAAGCTTAGCCTCGTCCACAGTGTAGTATTGCTTAGGGCGGAGGCGTGTCGACAAGGAGTCGGAGCTGAATGATCGGCTGGCGAACTCCGTAACAGAAACCACTCCAAGAGTAGTCATTGCGGCCTTGAGCGTCCATTGTGTAAGAGGCAAGTAGTGCGCTCCGAACAAGATGCTCAGAGCACCTAGATATGTGCCCAGCGTACGAGCTGGCTCTTCCCACTACGAGGAGTGTCAGCAGTCTTATTGAACATGATTTATTGCGAGACACTTACGCTGATGTGTTTGTAGAGACCGTCTTGGTTGGCTAAAAGACCGCAGTTGTCAGTACAGTCATACATTACCTGTCTGTGTATATACTCACCAAGAACCTGCTTCAACGGGCCATCCTGTTGTGTCGGATGCGATCTTTCTTCAAGCGCACGTTGGATAACTACACAAATGTATTTGCTGTGAGTATATAGACAACACATATTCGACAGTGTAATCGTCGCTGGGCTCACTCTGTGCCGTGTCCTCGCTACTGTGCTCATCGCCTGGGTTATTCAGAATGACAACGGTTGGTTCACCCATGACTATGGATTGGTTACGTGGTATTGGTGAGATGCTGTCGGTGCGATTGTTGGAGTTGGCTACGCGTACGTATTGAATTGAGAAAGCTATCAATCCGATGTCGATTGTTTGAGAAGGTATACCACATGGGGAATACAATTAATCGGCAACAGCCTCTTTTTGTTCTCCGAGCCAGAGGCTGACATACGCCAATATCCCATCCTGCTCCCTTCAAAGGCGTCTACCATTGCATCATACTGACACGCGTCGACATTGTTGGGAGCCTAAACTTCGTGACGTCGCTTGGTGGTCATCCCAATGCTTGGCTCCCGCCGTGCGATGATGACGAGGCGGCGGAATGTTGCACGCGAGCACCAACGAGCGCTGAATACGCATTTGGATTCCTGTTGGCTTTTCTGCCCAGATGCGTTTCGTGTCGGATTGCATGTGTCTCAGTGCCTGCGCTAGGGCGGCGACAAGGCGTCTGCACGTCATCCAGAGTGAAGGGAATTCCGCCCTAACAGTCGTAGACTTGGGGTGGGCATTGCCTGGTCTGCGTTCCATCATGACTTTAACAAGTCGAAGATTCTCTCGCAACACAGCATCGTGCCATGGATCGCTTGATCACAGGGCGACGGTGCTGCTATGATTGTGTACCTGTGCGAGCTTGAGAGGGGACTGCCTTGGCAACGTATCTCGGCTTCGTTACAGGGGACGCAATTGGACGAAGATCCTATTACAGTCATGGTTGACATTGGCATGGCGATCGTCGATGCATCCCACCATACGACATCACTTCATCATCGGATACGGGGAGAGGGGCACTGAGGGGCTGGCTATGACGGTCCGATCCGCTGGCCACGGCTCAAAATGCGGGGTGTGTCTCAGACTGTTCCATATGGTTTGCCCTTAGGAACGTATTTGTCCTATTACAGATATTAATTTATTATTCAGAGATGAGTATTCGGATGTACGAGAGTGAATATGAACCAGGGCAAGGAAGAAACGATGATGACCAGAGATCCAGGGTATTTTGAATACATAGTGCAGCTTCTTACGTCTTATTTCTTCCGAGAAGCCTTCCAAGCGGTGAAATGATCATTGAGGGTCGTCTCAAGCGGCCGCAAGTTGAGGTCCAACTCATTGACAGTCCGACTATTGTCCACGCTAAAACGTACCCCTAGGTTCCTCGAAATCCATTTTTCCGTTAGGCCAAAAAACATAGGCCCTAGCACACGAACAAAAACGTCGGGTAGCTGGTGACTGGGAATGAGCGGCGACTTGCTCATCTTCCGAAGAAGCCGCGAGATGTCCAGGAACGTGGCCATCTCTTTGGAAGCAACGATATAGCGACCCTTGGCAGCGGGCGTCTCTGCCGCCTTGACGTGGGCTGCTGCAACGTCCCGGACGTCCACGGTGGCAAAGCTGAGGTTGGGCACACCAAAGAACAGCTCCCCGCGCAGGAGTTCGTCCACGAGGTACAGGCTGCCAGAGTCTGAGCCTGCAGACAACGGCGGGCCAAAGACCAAACCCGGGCAGATGGCGACCATGTCCCATCGGCTTTGTTGCTTTGCGATTTTCCATGCCTCCTTTTCCGCTAGTACTTTGGAGTAGTGATAGGGGTTGTGGTCCACCGTGCTTGTCTCGTTGAAGTAGGTCTCGGATAGTACCCCTCCCATCTGATCGGAGACGTCACGGTAATCGCCGAAAATTGCACCAACTAAAGTTCGGATGACAATAAGTTTTAACTCGAGTCGATTGGTTTTCTAGATATACACTCACTTGTAGATGTAAGCACAACCCGCTTGACAGATTCCGTTTCATTGGCAGTGGCTAGTACGTTTTGAGTACCCTTCAGTGCAGGTTCAACGCATTGTGTTTGACCATCTTTGATCTTTTCTGCCATTAGAAAAGGCGATGCGACGTGGTGAACTACTGAGCACTCCTGCATCGCCTGTTTGAATGAGCCCCATTGGAGCAGGTCAGCTTCGAAAAGCTTCAATCGACCTGTCGGATATTTTTCTTGTAGCGCCTTCAAGCTTGCAACCTTTTTAGCATTTTTGAGGCTGCGAACTGTCGTGTGGACAGAAATGCCTTGAAGCAATAATTCGTTGATTAGATGCTGCGCGATAAAGCCGCTCCCTCCAGTGACGAGATGGGGTTGGCTGTCAGTCATGCTTTGAAGTATTAGACAAGCTTCTGGGTTGCGTCTTCCTTGTTCTCTTGCGCAAACTGATGATAACGTCTGGAAAACCGACTTTTTGTTTTTGCTGTATCCGGTCGCAGGCGATTTCGAACTTTCCCGTCCCCGAAGAAAAGAAAAGGGTCATGTTCGCGGCACACTAAGCTATAAATACAAGGGTCGTCGGGCGTCCGCGGAATGCCTGATGGAGTACGGATATATCTTCCAAATTTCGGTTGCCACCCCAGCCCGCGGATACCGGATACCCGAATCCAATGCTCGTTTCGTATTTTCTCTTGTGCACTCTTGTTCAAATTCGTCGACTCCATTCCCTGTTGCATTCGTGTAAGATTACCTGCGGGATCGAGGAAGTTATCATTGGGAGGGGTTCTGAGACAGCAACTGCAGAGGTTGCAGTGGGTTGACTATTGTAAATCACCAAAACAGATAGGCATCACAAAGACCGTGATATATCCGAGACACCTTGTTGTTAATGTCCTTGAACCAACACTCGAGGACATGGCGCAGGTTTTCAATCATTACACTAAGCCAGACTCGGCAAAGATAAAAGAAGACAGAAAAAAGTTGCTTACCTTGCGGCGGCAAATAAAACAGTAAAACAGATGCCCAGCGTCTATAACTGTTATTGGTTAGCTTGGAAAGTAGTATGTTCTTGAATAGGGTGTATTCAAACTCTAAACCAAGTAGGAGGTCCTAAAGACCATCACACTAGCTAGGTCTATTGATAACAAGCAGCCAAGATACCAGCCGACCTGGGCGAAGCTAGCACTGTTGCGATAGTCATAGTGATACTAGCCTAGTCAGGCCTATTGGAATAGGTAGCTAAGATGTTAGTCGACACTCCCTCTAGGAATTTTACTCGTGGGCCCTGCACCAATTCTTTAGCGTCCAACGTGACTTACCTGTGATATGCGAGACACCAACAGACTTGGAGTAGTCCTTCTGACGAGAATCTCGTAGAGGCTCAGGTGAGAAGTCCAGCACATACTGTTAATAATGCGCTTCAATCATTGATCAAATTTATATAGTAGAATTGGAGCACATTCGTCAATTTGCAGAATAATGATCTTTTACTCGATTTTCTGCAAGAATCATCATCTTTCGTTTGACTTTCAACAAACATGGTCTTTCATCTGATTCCTGTGCCCCTCTTTATGCTCCAATTTGTGACACTGAATCAGACGTCACTTCAGTCGCAGTACGCCAGCGGAGTGGCAGACCCAGGTGGAGGTTGTTGCCAACAGAAGCTCTGCAAAGACGATACGATGCTGTGGACTCTGTTCATACAGTTACAGCTTGTAGTGAGCATGTTAATGTTAAGCCTGGCAACAATCGAGACGCTTTAATTCCATAGAGGAAGAACGAAATGGGTATATCAGATACTAAAAACTAACGACTCGAAAGATATTGTATATTCAGGTTCCTCTCAGCTCCCATTGTTCCACCATCCACCATTTTGCTTGACTTTTGACGCCTTGACCTCGGTGATAACACTCTTGCTCCTCCTCAAGGGATCAACCTGGTTCACGATGAACTCGTCCAGATACCGAGCATTATGTGCTGGCTTGTCTTGTCGAAGACTTGCCTCGCTGCCCACTCTCGACCTTCGCCCCTCTTCGCCCACGTCATCTTCGAGCTCGACACTCTCCATTCTCCGAACCTCACACGTGACCTCAATTTCCTTGGTGACGAAGATGCCGGGGAACGCCTGTCGGATGGCGGGCCAGAAAATGGGGATGCTGCTGGCCACCATGGCCAGGTCGACTTCGACGCAGGCGAGGACGACGCTGACTGGTGCGTACCAGGGGAAATCGATAGTCGGGTATGTGGCGCTTTTGTGTTGCACAATGGTGATAAATCGGACTACCGAGACACAGTTGACTCTGCATTGTAAAGTATTCTGGTCAGCTCATTGCCAGTCACGGAAGAGAACTGGGCGGTTTGACATACGCGACGCCCATGCTGAGGAGTGCAAGCAAACCCAGTCTAGACTTGAGTGGCATGTTGGGCTGGAAATAGAGGGGCACCGGAATCAACAACACCAGCAAATCGAGTGCAATGTTGACCGCAGCGTGGCTTTCGTACGTAGCCGAGAAAACGTTGGCATCGAGCGATCCGTATGCCCAACGGGTGGCCGGAATCGCCCAGTTCCAGTAGGCTTCGATTGGCATACAGGGGATCCAGCTCAACACCGTATAGGGAATAGCCCACATGGTGATGAGAACGAGGGCAAAAATGCAGGCGCGTCTGGTGAAGGAGGGCTGATCGTATATGCGGAGGTACTGAAAAAGGAGAGAGATCTTCATCAAGGCCGTAGATATTTGATAAGTGCCGTTCGCCACGTAGAAAGTCTAACCCGAAAAGTTTGGTTAGATAATGTCACGACGATTTCGACATGGGCTATGCTATGGATGAACATACTCGAAGATATGCCTGAACTTCATAAGCAGACAACGTGCCGATGTGCCTGCCCAAGCCATACTTGGTTGCTGTCCAAAGGGTTAGCATTGAATACGAATCCGGGACGATCGAAAGTGTTTACAGAGGCAGATTCCAGCAGAACCCGTGGTTATTGATAACTGCAAGCAGGGTTAGAGTAAGACGATGATCGTTCTCTGCCCGAATTCGAATAGCATACCAGCGACAATATGACAAAAAAGTCGTCCCATCCCAGTGACTGAACCATCTTGATACGCACATGCATCCGGAATGCGACGCATAGCCATGAGAGAACCTGGCCACCTTGGTCAGTACATTTACCTCTACAATGTAGCTGAGCATGGCGGACTAACCGCAAAGCTGATGACAACGCCCAGAACCGTGCTCGTCTTGTTCACCAACGGCTCTGGCTCGTGGGAGTTGTCCGCTGTTCCAAACAGCTTTACAATTGTTGCTCCGTCCATGGTCGGGGCTGTGGTACGAAACCCGATGTTTTACTTTGAGCGAATGTAAAGGCTTGGTCTGCAGAGCCAAGATATCAGAAACAAAACTAGAAAAAGATTGGATGGGAATAGAACGAGCTCCATCCCTTGTTGGAATGGGGAAAAAAAAAGACCAACAGAACTATGGACTCTCTCGAGTGCGATTCCCACGGGACCCGTCCCGTAGATATGATTATCAATAAAACGGCGCAGACGAACAGAGGGCCCGCAGTCTGGATCTGCCCCAACGCTGATAAGACTGGGGATGTCACCCCAGCTGCAGGCATCTGACTATACTCCACAGCCCAAACCATACCCCTTTCGCTTGGGCAAGGAGGCTCTCAGTGTAAGTACTATGTAAGCGGGAGCTCCTTTCTCGGTGGGCGGTTAGCATGTCGACAGGCACCTACCACGCTCGCTCAAACCCCGGAGCCGGCCCTCGATGCCGCGCTGATCCTTCTGCATTATGGGGTATCCCTTGACGAAGCCCGTGCGAATACCACCTTAACCCTCCACTACGTGCTTCAAAGACATACGTGAACCTGTTTTCGCTTCAATGAATGTCCAGATTAGTGGACGGACGGCCCTAGCAGATCTAAAACTTGCATTAGCTACTATGTACAATGTACTCCGTAGTAGCCACGTTGCTACCCCCTCATGCCTACGGTATTTATCACAAGTCGTACCTAGTTCGCCTTTAGGGAGGGGTGATCCCCCTGAGCGCTACCGTTCAGCTATAGGAGTCGAGTACAGGCAGATCTTTGATATGCCATCTGATTCGGATATATGTGTCTCACCACGCGAACGACGATGGATGTGGGGGGGCGGGCGCAAGAAGGAAAAGAAAAGATAAAAAAAGAAAAGATAAAAAAAGGAGATTGCAACCCCACAACATGAAGAATTGGAATTGTGCAGTGCACACAGATGGGGCAGGCAGGATTGCCTGAAATCCCCGGCTCCCTGCTGGGTGATGAAAACTCGAGTCAGTGACCGCACGACGCCGGACCGTCCGTTTCAGAGAGTTGGCGGCCTGAAAACATTCCTGGGATTGACAGTTAGCATGACTGAACCTACTCACTGTGTTACGCACTGACGATGGCTTTGCATCGACCATCATCTTGATATAGGAAGTGAGATAGATAGCTAGATGCCTTGTCGTCTATCATGGAGAAAACGCTTTGACAGCCTCTATATCTTGGTGAAAACCTTATCCTTTTGGATCGTCTCGTTTACTTGAAATATGACCTTAAACTAGCAGTGTGTTACCGAATCGTTTCCGGTGAGGGCAATTAGTGTAGTTCTATACGCCAATGGAAATCATGTTGGGGTGCTGTTTATGTTGAATACATATCCGTATTCTCTTAGACAACTAGGCTGGTGTGGGTGGCCGTTCATTGCGGGGGGGGGGGGGGGAGGACACAGTCTGCGTTCCGTACCAAGCCCAAGGCTATATTACATGTCAATGTATATCTTCCTGCTTTAACCTTCCACCCCCCGAAACGTGTAGGCAGTTGGTCTGCCTTTTCCAAATCACGGGACACAGTCGCCCTCCCGAAAGCTATAGTTCCATACCCGAAAGATTGGAAACACGAATCACCATCCGTCAATACTCGTCCGGTTTGAAGTAAAACCAGCTTCGGAGCAAATCGCGCGATTGAGATTGTGACAAGTGATACCCGGTGGGGTAGAGACCGGAGAAGATAAAGTGGAGGTTTCGCATGGCATGCGTCACTGTGTGGTTTCCATTCGTATTCTGACCCATTTGCTAACGAAGTCTATGCACAAACATGCTTTAGTGGCCTCGATCACTTTTGAAGTGCTAAAGTCGTCGATCTAGGATGAGTTGTATCCGAATGTTGACCCTAGGTCGATGTTGATCCCATCTCTAACGGCTGTGCGGACGTCAAAGCGATGCAGGCAAAAAGCCCCCGGAACGGTAGTCATTGTTTGTGTAAGCTTACACTGACATATATTAGAGAAAATCCCTTCAATATTCTATGTTCTCCGAGCCCTCCTCAGCGATAAAAAAAACCTAACCTGTAGCCTTAATCCCAGGAGGCAACATGGAGTAAATTCAAACACACCACCATGCAGTGAACAGGTAAGTGCACGACTCTTTACCAGGCAGAGGGTAGAAATTATTCGCCTAGTGTTTGACTCGAGGACTCTGGATGGGATTCAATGACTTAGGTATTCTCTCCCAGCGGAGCTGTGCTGCAACCTTACCAAGCAATCACAATCGATCCACAAGGGGGGGGGGGGGGGGGATGGGAAGCTTTCTGTGGCCAGAGCCAAGTTATTGGAAGTGTGTTTACATAGTAAAATAGAAACGCCTACCCACTCCATCCCATCGTGCTTGGTCGGACGAACCGAAGAGGGATCATCCGCGTTGACTTGCAACGATTGACGCTGATGTGAATACCCACTGGGTGCTACCATACAAACAGTCTTCTCTGCCTCTACGGCTCAGGTGGGATTGTCTCTATGTAGTATTATACAAAGGCCTCGAAGTCGATTCCTTGTAGACATTGATTCAACATGAAATGATTCGCTCCACCATCCATTTTCCTCCCGTTTACTACCTACATACGGATACTCCGTAGTATGTATCAAGTGCCGAAACTTCCTGACGCATGTTTCCTTGCCGCCTTGCCGGACGGCTCCATGACACGCGACTTGCCCCCTGTCACCACGACCCGACGAGCAATGCCTCCAGAGTCGTCTTTTTTTCTTTCTTTCTTTTCTTTTCTTCTTATTTTTTCCGCTCACGCGGTCACATACGCCCGCGCACGCTCCCCTCCTGGAATCGTCAAATTACCATCCACTTTGTTCCCTGAAGGAATAGTGTCTTACAAGGTCCTTGCTGCAGAACCGCCTCCACTGGCGATGGACCACTTTATATCCTCATCTGTTGTTTCTTGAAGCATGGCTGGACGGCACCAAGTGTGCGTGTGTGTGCGTGTGTGTGCGTGTGTGTGTGTGTGTGTGTGTGGGTGTGTGACAAGACAGAGGGTCCCAGGTAGCTTTGGTGCGGGACTGTCACGAGCACGTGCGACCCTTGGTCGTTTAATCAACTAACGGATCTTGACAGGGCCTAGCATGACTCGTACAACTCCTTGGACCAAACATCCAGATGCTTGGAACCGAGCCTGACAAGCAACCGCATCGTAGCTAAACAGGCGATCCAGGCTACGTGGTAGACTACCCAGAGAGAGGGATGGACATAACGCCTTGTGCGTCCACTCACACACTATCATCTTGGTCACGGCAGGGTATGGTGCTGACCAGATTGGCCAAACATACAGCCCTTCTCTGATAACACTAACTGTCCAGGAACGCCACGCCGTTGTTATTGGAGGCTATGCCGTAGGGTGCTCGCTCCGCGCTTACTTGCGTGCGTCCCGCACAGCATGTCGTCTTTCACGCAAACCGTCAACCTCGAGGCGGCCCTGCGTCACGTCTGCAGCCAGCGGGCGACGTACAGCAACGTACCCGCCGATGGACGATCGTGGTTCCTGTTGTGGGCCGATGCCGTCCGTGTGCATCGATCAGGTCGACCTGGGGGAGCGGTCGCTGCAGGTGGAGATGATGCGCGGGATCTTTGGCTCCGCCAACCTCTTGCTCGCCTGGCTCGATACGTGGAACCAGTCGCTCGCCCCCGGGGCGCTCGAAACCATCGCGAACCCGAACGGGAATCGAGCACCAAAATGTTCAAGTTTTCCGGGCCTCCGTTTGGCTTAGGTCCTACTCTGACCTGTGCGAGAAGACGGATATGTGGCGGCAGACCCTGGAGTCCCTCGCACGCGGTGGGTGGGCGCACTGGGAGGCAGTACTCCCGTACAGCATGAACCTCGATGCCGCGGTTCCAAGGGGACTACGTGTATCGCCTCCTGGGGATTTGATATCTCGACATCATGCCCGACTGACTACACAGAGGCCACGAGCCTGGGCGACGCACACCGGGACTTTGTCGCCTGCTGGCTCCAAGACCCCGTACCGACCACGCGCGCCGCAAAGCCGTGGACGTTCCTCTGCTATGCCGGGTCCGGCCTTGGGAGCCACATGCCCACGATGCCGAGCTGGGCTCCGAACTCACATGTGGCCAAGTACGACTTACCAATATCATTCTGAAGCCCGTGGTGTTTGTCCAAGAAAGCCACCTTGGCGCCATGAGGGCCACAAGCTCACTGCCTCCTTACCGGTTGGGATACTCAACACGCCACCCTACGTACGTCTCAAGAGGTACCGCCAGCTCGTTTTCCGCCAAGGGAATCTCCATCACGAATTCGAACTGGTTCACAGTTTGCTGCCCGACATGATCGCCTACGCGATGGAGCTTGTCTACGCCCAGGAGCCGACAATGTCCGTCCCCCGGAGGGCTGGCAGCCCCATGGTACGGCGCAGGGAGACGGGGGGCTTCCCGGCCGAGGCGATCTACTCACGGGGGGTGGCCGTCATCGTGGCTGACTTGATGGACGGTGAGGCCCGCGGGTCCGTATGGAATCGGGAGGGCGACCCCAGAGACGCTGGTGCTCGACTAAGAAGTCGGAGTGGGCTGAGGCGTACGCCTGAGAGAAACCCCATTAGATCGGGTGTGGTCCGCCAACGAGTATCGGCGAAGCCTACGCGTCAACGTGCTCAAGCAGCTGCGCCCTCTCTTGATCGAGATGATTTCACGATCTGAGCCACCCCCCCCCCCCGGTGAAGGGGTTCCAGTCCACCCACGTTGCACCATCGGCCGACCCATGATCCTTGAATATTGATATGAGCCGCCCCTCTCGCCGGATGTGTACACTCCCAGCTCAGCATCGTAGCCACTCGAGTGACAGTAAACAGTATACCTTTTGCTGGAGAAAAGAGTACGTGCTATGATAGTAGTACCGGCGTACGGATACACTTGTGGATTTCCCTCTTTACCACGGAGCCAGTTTGTTACTCGAGTAAACGATCAGCATCTCTTCTCCGTAGCACAATCCTCCGATACGAGAGGGGCCGTATTACAGCCTAAGTAAATAGATTGATGTTTCATTGCTCGCTCCGATATGCCCTCTTAGATCCAGGCTATCGCGGTAGCCAATTTGAAAAAAGAAAAAGAAGAAAAAAAGCAGATAGATTTCCCAACCCAAATCCGTGGTCCCCCCCCCCGCGAGAAAGATGGAAACCCATAAAAACGCCGTTTTCCCCTATTCCCTCCCGGGTCGTCCCGAGGTCTAACTTTTCCAGCTGTTAGGCTACACAAAAGAATAAACAAGACAGAAAGAAAATAACAAAAGTACAAGAAAAGAAAGGACAAGGGGAAAAAAAAAAGACAAAGAAACGAACCCCGATGCGACGGTTCCCGTGATGTCGACTCAATTAATCTCCCCTGTGATGTACCCGATCTGCCGGCGGCCGTTGACGCCGGCGCCGGCGAGCTGGCCGGCGAGCTGGCTCTGGCCGTCGACGAGGCGCCTCTGCTCGGCCAGGCGGGCGCGGAAGCGGTCCTCCTGCTCGCGGTCCATGCGGTCGACGTCCTCGCGCTCGGCGATGCGGATGGCGCTCAGCGCCTTGGCGTGGTCGACCTTCTCCGTGGCCATCTGCTTCTCCCACTCGAGCAGCATCGTGCGGCGGGCGAGGGTGAGGTCCGTCTCGGCCATCTCGACGGCGCGCGCGCGCGAGACGGTGGCCTCGGTCAGGGCGACCTCGTGGCGGAGGTCGGCGTCGCGCTCGTCGCGCTTGCGCCGCATCGCCGCCGCGAAGTGGTCCTCCTCGGCGCGCGCGCGCTCGTCCAGCGCCGCGAGCTCGTCCTGCCGCACGCGCCGCCGCCGCGAGTCCTCGAGCTCCGCCTGCGCCGACCAGATCTGCGCCTGCACCGTCGCGAGCTCCTGGTTGCGCGCGATCGAGAGCACGTGGTCCTCCTGGTCGAGGCTGATGCGGTCGAGCCGCGCGCGCCGCGTGCGCTCCTGCATCTCGACGTCCTCGGGCATGCCGACGGCGCCCTCGGGCTGCGGGCCCATGTTGGCGTAGTAGACGTCCTCGGCGCGGTTGGCGCGGAGGAGCCGGAGGAGGGCCTCCTTGACCTCCGCCGACGCCGGCAGCACGTGCTGCACGTACATGGTCGGCGAGTACGTCATCTTGCCGTCCGTGAAGTGGTTGAACTTCTTGTTGATGTGCTTCCACATGCCCGCCTTGAGGAGCGTGCGGCTCGTGGCGACGGGGTCGCGGGACTCGAGCGCGAGGAGGAGGGTCGACTTGCCCTCGGACCGCAGCGTGATGTCGGAGCCGGCCTCGATGAGGAAGTTGACGGTGCGCTCCATCAGCTTCTGGCGCGCCGCCGTGAGCTCGCCCGAGTCCGCGCAGTGCCGGCACAGCTCGCCCAGCGCGCTCCGGCCCCCGTGGAGGGTGCTGGGGAAGTCGGGCTCGTGGCCGTACTGCACCAGCACCTGGCAGGCCGGCATGTTGAGCTCGCGCGCCGAGTTGTGGAGGGACCCGTCGTTTCGCGAGGCCCCGGCGGCCAGGAGGTTCGACATCATCTTGATGGCCGTCTCGCCGCCCATCTCGGTCGACAGCGTCAGCGGCGTGTTGCCCTTGACGTCGCACACGTCCACCTCGGCGCCCTCCAGCAGCAGCATCTTGACCACGTCCGGTCGGCGGTTCCGGATCGCCAGCATCAGCGGCGTGCTCTGCGACACCCGCGACTCGAAGTTGACCTTGGCGCCCGTCTCGATGAGCATCTGGATGATGCCGCTGCTGACCTTCTTCTGCGGCTGCAGCAGCGCCCACATCGTGAGCGTGATGGGCTCCTCCTCCTCGACGTCCTCCGTGACCCTGTACGGCATCATCTGGTCGTAGTAGTACCCGGCGTCCAGGAGGGCCTTGGCGATCCGGATCGACCGCGGGTGCTGCGCCAGGGCGAGGAACAGCAGGGGCATCGAATCGGGCGGCGTGTACATGACGTCCAGCCGCGTCTCCCCGTCCGCGTAGTCGGTGAACATGGTGATCAGCTCGAGCGCCTCGTCCTCCGGGGCGGGGTTGTCGAATATGCGGTAAAACGCGCGTGACAGCGATTCCGTGTTCGGCTTCTTGTCCAGCAGCCGTCTGACCAGGAAAGAGTTGCAGGCGGCGGCGGCGGACTGCAGCAGTTTGCCGTCGGCGTAGTTGACGTCGACCTTGTGGTCGAGGAGGACGTCGACGAACCCGTTGGCCAGCGCGAGGCCGTCGGGATCGCTCTCGGTGAGGGGCAGGTCGACCACCTGCGTGAGGACGGAGCTGAGGCCGTCGCCGTGGGCCCCCTTTTTCAGGAAACTGTGCAAGATGCTGAAGCCGGCCTCGGTGAACCACAAATCCGTGTTCTCCTTGGTGAAGCCCTCCCTGATGGCCAGGTTGAGGTCTGCCGACAGGATCTTGGACTCGAGCATGAAGGCGAGCGGCTTCACGAGCGCCCGCCTCGTGGCGTCGACGAGGGTCTGGCAGTCGTTGGCGATCGGCGAGGCGCCGTACCGGAGCAGCTGCCTGATGATCTTGAGGTCGACCTCCTCCTCGTTGACGGCGTTGTTCAGCACGACGTGGAGGTCGTCCGAGACCGGCAGGCCGGCCCGGAACAGCATGTCGATCGCCGACGACCGGGTCTCGCGGCTGAGCTTCCACGCCGCCCGCAGAGCCCTGTTGAGCGTTGCGGCCGTGGGCTTGGGCGGCTTCTTCTTGGCGGCCCCCCTGAGCGAGGCGACCGACGGCTTGCTCGCCAGGCGCGGGCCGTTGTCGGACAGGCCAAGCATCATCTGCAGACTGCTGAGGTAGGCGCTCCGCGTTGCCGCCCAGACCGCCTCGCCCTTGTTGTAGTTGGGGTCCGCGCCGGCCTCCAGCAGGATCTTGACCAGGTCGTCGCCCTCCTCGCCGAACCGGACCGAGGACGCGAGCTGCGCGTGGAGGGCGTCGCCGTCGACGCCGAAGACCAGGAGCGGCTCCAGAATGGCGGCGCGCGTCTTCAGGTTGCCGACCTCGGTGGCGGCCTGGAACCCCCTCTCGATCGTCGACTTCTTGGGCGTGGTGCTGCCGCTGAGAAGCATGTTGAGGACGTCGGCCGCGCCCGACCGGCACGCCTCCACAATGGCATCCTCGTCAATCTGCGCGCCGTTGCTCACCAGGAGGTTGCCCAGGACCAGGTCGCCGTCCGCGGCGGCGGCGAGGAGGGCGTCCGAGAGGACCGAGCCCGATGCGCCGTGGTGTAAAAGGATCTCGCAGATGGCCGCCCTCGCCTCCCTGTTGGCCAGCAAAGCCGCCTCGGCAAAGGCGTCGTTCAGCACGGGGAGCGGGTGCTTCTGCTGCAGAACCAGCTCCACGATGTCGGGGCGCTCCTTCTTCACCGCCGAGACCAGGGCCTCCCCGTCGCTCGTGTTGGCCTTCATCGACAGCGTGCGGAGCAAGGGGATGTCGTTCGTGTAGGTGTTGATGGCGAAGCCCAGGGCCCGGTTCGCCTCGGCGCTGGGCGCGCCGGCGTCGAGCAGCTTCTGCGAGAACTCGAGCCGGTCCATCGGGTCGGCGATCCGCAGGGCGTGGGGGAGGGCTGACGCGAGCGACGCCGGGCTGGGGCGGGCCGCGAAGAGGAGATCGGTGATCTGCGTGTCGCTTGCGGCCACGGCGTGGCAGAGGGCGGCGGCGTTGTGGGAGTTGACGTCGGCGCCGGCCTCGAGGAGGAGCTTGACGATGGACGGCTGCCGGTGCTCGGGAAGCGTCTGGAGCAGGGCGTGGACCTCCTTGACGAGCACGTCGTTGAACGGGGCCTTTGCCGTGGCCTTTTGCAGCAGGATCCCGAGCTTTTCGGCCTTGGTGTCCGAGAAGACCAGCTGCCCGAACTCGTTGATGGCCCGGTGGAGCGTGTCGGCTGTGGGTTTGCCGTGTGCCAGGAGGGTCTGCAGGACGGGAGGGTCGTGGTTGTGTATTGCTGTAGATGGAACTGGTTAGCCCTACATACACTCTGGGTCGTGCGTGCAAGCTTCACTTACCCGATGCCATGGCGATGCCGTTCTCGACATTGACATCGGCTTTGCCCTGCACCAGCAGCACTTGCAGAAGCTTGAGGTCTGCTGGCCGGTAGTTCAACGCGCTGAGCAACGCCTGGGAGACCTTGGCCGGGTCGAGATCCGGCACGGATGCCAGCAGCATGGTCGCCATGTCCAGCCTCGCCTTCGCGTCCTGAGTGCCGATGATCCTGGGCAGCACGCCAGCGGCGGTCTGCGGCGTGACGTTCTTCCTGAGCAGCGCGTTCAACAGCCTCACGTCCTTTTGCGCCACCGCCGCGACCAGCGCCGAGCCCTCGTTCGTGTTGATGTCGGTGTTGTACTTGAGGAACAAAGCGATGAGGTCCTCGTCCCGGTGCGGCGGCTCCTCGTCGATGGCTTCCTGTAACGCCTCGTGGACGATGGGGCCGGCGAGGCCGCTCGTGAGAAAACATTCCACCATGCGGTACCTGTTCCTGCGCGACAGCGTCTTGGTGAGAGGGAAGATCTGGGCCAGGGTTTCGCTCGAGGGCTTGCTCATCAACATCTCCTTCGTCATGGCTACATCGCTCCTCATGACGGCGATTTGCAAGGCCAGGCCGCCCTTGTGGTCGACGGATGCCGTCTTGTGGCTGTCAAAGACCATGGACCTCGGCCCCCTTTTCACGTCGTGTTCGGACATCGGCCGGCCTCCGGGAAAGACGGGCGTGAGGAGGAGCCTGGCCGAGTCCACGTCGCCCGCCTCCGCCGCTTCGATGAGCATGTCGTGCAGCGCCGTCCCGTTCGCCCCTCTCCGTAACAGCAGGTCAAGTAACAGCCGTCGGTTCTCCACGGCCATGTTTTTCGGGATCAGCTCGACGCATTCCGAGGCGTGTGTTGCGGTGAGTTCCGAGTTACCGCTGAGGATCGTGTGCGCGACATCCACCCGTCCGTTCTGGATGGCTTTGCGGATGGCCATGGCATCCTGGTACTCGATGGAGACGCCGTACTGGACCAAAAGGGCGACCATGTCCTGGAATTCGGCGGCGGCGGCGTGGATCAGAGCCATGGCGGGGGCGTCGCCGTCGGTGCCGGCGCAGAGCAGCAGCTCCGCGACGGCGAGCTTGTCTCTGGGGTTCATGGAAGGGTGGTCCAGGAGTTGCGAGAAAGCCTCGTCCAGGCCCGGGCGCTTGGGCGGGTGGTTCCCCATGATGATGGCGAGGGCGATATCGTGACGGCCCTGTCCGATGGCGACCTTGAGCGCCTCGGCCTGGCCGTGATCGCCATCGGCGTCGGATCGGCTTAGCTGGACGACCGTCTCGAGACACCCCGCCTTCGTCGCCTCCACCATGCACTGCGACAGCCAGGTGGCCGGCGGCCGGCCTTCGGACCGCAGGACCATGCCGACCAGCTCGGCATGGCCGCCGGCTGCGCAGGCTGACCGAAAGGCGTCCTGGGCCTCGGGACTCTGGGCCACGCTGGCGCCGTAGCGAAGCAGGAGCTCGACGACCTCGACATTTTCCGAGGCCATGGCGAGAGATAATGAGGCGTCGAGGGCGAATGTGTCGGCGTGAGGTAGCAGGACCCTTACCATGTCGGTCTGGCCGTTGTGGATGGCGTGCTGCAGCAGCTTGCTGCGCTCACCAAAGCTGTCGAGGCTCTTGCGGCGGAGCAAGATGCTGCTCGTCTTGGCCTTCTGGGCCATGTTGACGTCGCCGCCGGAAGAGACGAGCATCTCGACGAGGGCCTGGGCGACGCCGGGGGACCCGCGGTCGGCGACATGCTTGTCGAGGGCGTCGAATACGAGCTTGTAGTCCCACGTCTTCTTCTTGGAGGTGAAGGCGCGGCGGATATTAGTGGCGGAGTCTGTCCGGCCGTGGGAGAGCTGCTTCCGCTTCAGCAGCTCCTCGGCCCTCGCGTCGTCTTCGGCGGTCCGGAAGCTGGGAGGGCTCGAAGGCCGGGTCAGCGGCGTCGGCGACGGCGGGGGCTCGAGGCCCCATTCTTCGGCGAACTGGATGATGCGCCGCTGGCGGTCATCCGCGGTCGGCGGGGTCGGCATCAGGGGGCCGAGGGGCGATGATAGGAAGGGCGACAGTTTGGCGATGTGAGGGCGGGCGGCGAGGAGCCCTTTATGAAGCGAAGGAGGGTGGGATGAGAGTCAGAGTGAGAGTGAGAGTGAGAGTGGGCGACGAGCGAGCAGCCTCGTGAGATGAGGTCAAGCTAGGAGGTGTGAGGCAAGGCTAGGCTAAGCCGAGCGAGAGAGCGAGGGAGCTAGAGGGAAGAGAGGAGACGTGCGGCCCAAAGTTTCGTTTTCGTCTGAAGCTTGTTGGACACTCACGGCAGACGGATAGCGGAGAAGACGGCCCAGGCCCGGGTGCGACGGTAGGGGGGAATGGCATGAAAGAGGGGCGGGGGTTGGTTGGTTATGAGAACAAGCATCCAGGATCGACGCGGTTCACGGCAGAATGACAAGATGGAAAGACACGGTTGTATCCCACAATGGGGGGATGGAAAACAATGCAGAGAAGGATATGTGATGGCGCGTCGTTTCGATGGTTGAGGGCCGTTCGGGCAAAGAAGCTTCCGCCTTGGGCTCGCGAACGGTCTTGGCCCTGACGACACAGCCGGGCTGGTCTGGTTAAAGATAAGAAAGGGAAAAAAATAAAATAAAAAAGAATTAGGGGGGGGACAAATGGTCAGACGAAATGCGAATAGGAAACCCAATCGCACGGTTTTTTTCCACAGCAGCGTTAGCAGCAGTGGCCAACCCGCCGTGGCTATGTGAGAAAGAGGAAACGAAGAAACGGACAGCTAGCGACTCGTGGGAACTCAGATCGGTACTGTTTATCGCAAGGGAAAAGTCGAGTCGGCGTAGAAAAGACGTGTAAGGCTGACAAAGGTTTCGGTGATGAATGTGCTGGGTATCCCGGGAACCCTCCTCGGGTGCGGTGGCGACAATGCGTCGCGTTTCAGCAGAGTGGAGCGGCAGGGCGGTTTTCGTCTGTTTGACCCTGTCTTGGCTGTCTCCTCTTGTCTCCTTTGCTGGGTCACTTTAACGACACAATGTCACCAGATCGGGGAGAGACAGCGTAGTTTGATGGCTCCGATGGGCTAGGTCTCGAGGTCGGACGGTTGGCGGGCCAGGGCCGTGACGGCGAACAGGATGGAGAGCGACCAGAGTTGCCCTTCTTGGTGCTGTTCGTGATGGGACCGGACCGTCTGATATCAATTAAGGAGAGAGTAATTAGTGTTGCACTCGTATTTGCGGTGAAGAAAAGCTTGGATGGCCAGGGCCATGTGTCCTCTGGAAGTGGGGAATAATCAACGACGTCCAGGACACCGGAACAGCTGCCGTATAGTCTGCAGGGAGGTGAGAAACGGATGGCAGAGAGAGAGAGAGAGAGAGAGAGAGAGAGAGAGAGAGAGGGCTGCGCTGTGCTGCGCGTGTATCCGTACGCCGCCGTAGCAATCAACGGTGAGCCGAGAACCCGATGGCGGCGCGACGGCGAGCGTGGCAGGGCATACGATGTTACGCGGACACGAACGCCGATCCTTGGCGCGCCAGCGTGGAAGGGAAGCCGAACGGGCGGGGAGAGGAATAGATTCGTTTTCGCCGAACGTGGTTAGAAGATGAGAGCGTGCGAATGCCCTCAAGAGAGCTTAAATCACCACCTCGGTGAGACCAGCAGCAGAAGCAGTATAGCTCAAGTCGACCATCGAGGGGGTCTGTCTCTCTATCCGGGTAGGACAAACATATATATGACGGGTTTATTTGTAGCCGGCAACACAATCAATCATGAGTGAGGCGGCATATGGACGTGTAATAGGGTAGTGTTGTCCAAGTGACATGCCGAGGCCACCCAGCAAAGTTTCTAAGAGAGCGCCTGATGGGACCAAAGACCACCAATCCACCACCAGCAGCTTCTCGAGCTCCGGGGAACGACGAGGACCAGCCGTCGACTTATTTTGGTCCGCCCGATCGATGAATGGCCGAGGTGTGACATGCCGTCTGTACCACGTAGTAAGGAAGAGGCGGGCAGATACATATACGCTTTGTGACGCCAAACCCCTGACCCTGACCGCCGGGAGAAACGGCCTTTAAGCAAAGTTGGGCATCCGTGGGTAGGTATCAACCCGTAGTCTACGGGGTACTCGGTTCAGATACGTGCACCAGACAGCTGCGAGATGATGCGCCTCTCCCTCCCCCCCTCTTGGATCGGCACCAATGCACACGGACGGACAGCCGTGGGAGCAGACGACGACGACGACGACGACGACGACGACGACGACGCGCAGAAGCCAAGACGGCTGAGCCTCAACTGCAGACGCTACTGATGGCGAGCAATGTCTCTCGAGAGGCGCGGGGGTTAAGGTGGCCCCGTATGCGCGCTAGCAAGTAACCAATTCGAGCATATCACCCACGAGCCATCACGGCCCAATGCTGTTGAAGGCTGGGGGAGGGGAGGGAATATGCCGGTTCCCTTTCACTCGGCCGCAACCCTCTCTCCCCTCACAAAGGCTGCGACAACCTTCTCCCCCATATCCGCAGCCGTACCCATAGACGCAATGCCAGGAACCCGCTTTGTCGAACTCGAGAACTTGGCAGCTTGGCAACGCCGGTGATGGGAAGGAGAGGGGGGAAGTGAAAGGGAACCAACCGCAGGAAGAGGAACCTATCTAAAGAGAGGTCTGAGTCTCTCTTTTTTTTTCTTTTTTTTTTTTTCGTCTCTGTTCGGCCACCTGTCCGTGCCAAGCTGACGTAGAGTCTTTTTTTTTTTTTGGAGATTTTTTGCAATTAATTCAAGATGCAATTAATTCATTGGGGTCGGGCGACTGAAAACCGGTCTCACTGACAGGGACGGGAGGACACAGCCATGATATGATTGATGAGTGCCGAATTGAGCGGGCTAAGAGTGGTCGAACCGGTCTCAGTACATGTCAAAGTATTGGCCTGGATCATTTCGAATTCTCAGATCGACAGACACGGCAACGAACATGGATTTGGTCCTTCTCGTTCGTCTCACGTATGGGGGCTTTCCCTCCAGTTCACCACGGACGAATGCGGCCAGGGAGAAGAACCATAGGGTGAGAGCCGGCGGCCAAGCTCGCTCGCTCACTCACTCACTCATCGGCAATGACGAAGTGCTCGTAGGTACTTGAAATAAGTCATCTCATCAGGACAGACAGGTGGGGCTCATTCTCTCGAGTTGTCCGTCAAAACGCACACGGCATTCATTGATTGACAACAGGGCGTCAAATGTCTCTCTCATCATGAGATTGAATCGTCACCCCCGCGTCTCGTTTGTGCTTCTCATCTCGTGCCGTTTCCTGCCCAAAGACACAGTCTGGCCTGATGAGTCGACCATGAGACACACGCTGGGTCTTGGGATGAAAGCTTAAGAAAGCACTCAGTCCTTCAACCCCATATGCTCTTGAACCACATCCAATCACATCACATCGCATCACGTCGTTCCGGTCCTCGGAGCCGCCCCCGGCTTTCCCCTCCATCCTCCAGCCGAATATTTCGGAATGCCCCTCCTTTCACCCCGCATCCCACAATGCTGCCCCCGCGAGAACCGCCCTCGTCCGGGTTGTGACATGGTACCGTTTCCAATCACGCCTTCGCAAGAACCCCTCTTCGTCTGGAGACCTGGCTAATCTTACTGGCTGTCTCTCTCTCTCTCTCTCTCTCTCTCTCTCTTCCACTCGGGCTTCCTCTTTGTCTCCCCACTCGCCGCATCGGAAGCCGGCAAGCATTGACCAAGGCAAGAGGACCGTCGCGACATGAGCTGATTACGTAGCTCGTCAGTCGGCCCTTTGCCCAAATGTACATGCCCACCACAGTCTCGAGAACTTTCTCATCCTCATCTCCCTTCATCACACACCTCCCAAGACTCCTGACCTCAACCCAAGCCCGCACCAACGCTCGCATCGTCTCCCGTCACCGCGCACACGCACCCCTCCGCCCGTTCCGCGCCTCGATACCCCCCCGCCTCCCCCAATCCCCCTTCCCTGCTGCCGCCGCCGCCGCTCGCCCTCACTTCACAATGGCGCCCATCCCCCAGACCATGAACGGCGTCCAGATCAGCCGCACCGGCGGCGTCGAGGTCCTCGAATACCGCACCGACCTCCCCGTCCCCACCCTCGCCGAGGGCCAGGTCCTCGTCCGCAACGCCTACGCCGGCGTCAACTTCATCGACACCTACTTCCGCACCGGCCTCTACAAGGCCCCGCTCCCCCTCACCCTCGGCCGCGAGGGCGCCGGCACCGTCGTCGCCGCCCACCCCTCCGCCGCCGCCGCCGCCGCCGCCTTCAAACCCGGCGACAGGGTCGTCTTTCATGGGCACCGTCGGCTCCTACGCCGCCTACTCCGCCGTCCCCCGCCGCCTCGCTCGTCCGCGTCCCCGACGCCGTCACCGACGACCAGGCCGCCGCCGTCCTGCTGCAGGGGCTGACGGCCTGGACCTTTGTCCGCGAGGCCGCCGAGGTCAAGCCCCGGCGAGTGGGTCCTCGTGCCCCCCCCCCGCCGGCGGCGTCGGCCTGCTGCTCGTCCAGATGCTCCGCGCCGTCGGCGCAAAGGTCATCGGCGCCGCGAGCACCGACGCCAAGTGCGCCCTCGCCCGCGACAACGGCGCCGAGTGGACCGTCAACTCGTCCGAGCAGGACCTCGTCGCCGAGGTCGCCCGCATCACCGCCGGCCACGGCGCCGACGTCGTCTTTGACGGCATCGGCAAGGCCACCTTTGACAGCGACCTGCAGCTCGCGGCGCGCAAGGGCCGGCTGGTCATCTTCGGCAACGCGGTACGTTTGGCCCAACGGAATGATCATCGTGAGGGGAAAAAAGAGAGAAGAAAAAAGAGAAGAAAAAAAAAAAAAAGACCACAGGAGCGTGAATTCATCTTTAGGTGTTTTCTGTTGCTGACCTCGAGACACAGTCCGGCGCCGTACCCCCCTTCGACATCCTCAAGCTCGGTCAGAAGAACCTCAAGATCATGCGCCCCGTCGTCAACAACTACACCGCCACCCCGGACGAGCTGGCCAAGTACGCCGGCGAGCTGTTCGACATGATCACCTCGGGCAAGCTCAAGATCGCCATCCACAAGGTCTACCCCATACAGGACGTCAAGTCGGCGCACACCGACATCGAGAGCCGCAAGACGACGGGCAAGCTCATCCTCAAGCACGAATAGGCGGCCGACTGGCCATGGTGCGACCGCGACCTCACGGGGACGTAAAGGCATAAACAGAAAAAGAAAGAATAATAGAAATAGCAATCGGGACTTGTGGTGATGCGGATTTCGCCATCTTGAAACTTTTTTTTTATTTTTTATTCTTTGCTTTTTTCTTCCTCCATTAGATTTTCTCTATAAGGGTAGACGCCGTATCATGACTTTCGCTGCAAATAACGCTAACATCTATCATCTTCTATCATGACCAATCAAAACCTCTCTTTTGTCAAGGTGCGGTCGGGGCCGTGGATGCGGTCGTTCAAACCTCCTCCTACTCCTCCTCAACCACTAGTGGGCTTGGCGTTGGCGAGGAGCTCGGGGGGAGGATCCTGGCGGTAGCCCTTGGGGTTGTTGCTGACCCAGCGCCAGAGGTCCTCGCAGGCCTCCTCCAACGTCTTCTCCGTCTTCCAGCTGAGCTCCTTGTTCGCCAGCGAGGGGTTGGCCGTGAGGTCCAGCACGTCACCCTGGCGTCTGGGGACGACCTCGTAGGGGAGGTCGCGGCCGACGACATGGCTGAAGGCCTTGATCATCTCGAAGACGGTGCTGCCACGGCCCGAGCCCAGGTTCCAGGCCTTGACGCCCGGCTTGTTCTCGCGGAGGTAGTTGAGCGCCGCCAGGTGGCCCCTGGCCAGGTCCACGACGTGGATGTAGTCGCGGATGGCGGTGCCGTCTCTCGAGGTGTAATCTGGTCTCGTCAGCATCATCCCTTGGACCCTGTCCGGTCCATGCACGTACCGTTGCCGAAAACGAGCAGCTTCTCGCGCTCGCCGGTCGCGACCTTGCCGAGCAGGGGCAGCAGGTTGTAGGGGACGCCCTGGGGGTCCTCGCCCATGAGGCCGGACGGGTGGGCACCGCACGGGTTGAAATATCTCAGGAGAGCGCCGTTGAAGTGCTCAAAGGGCTTCTCGGCCTTCTTGAGCTTGTTGCGCTCGGCCTGGATGTGGTCCGTAATGATCTGCTCGACAAAGGCCTTGGTGTGGCCGTAGGTGTTGGTCGGGCCAATGGGGCAGTGCTCGGGAATGGGGATCATGTTCTCGAAGCGGGTGGCGTCGCCGTAGACGGTCGCCGACGATGAGAAGACAATGTTGGGCACATTGTTATCCGTCATGGCCTGAAGCAGAGCGACAGTGCCGCCAACGTTTACGCGGTAGTACTCGAGAGGGATCTCGCCAGACTCGCCGACAGCCTACAGGGCGGTGCATTAGCGTCTTTGTCGAGGACAACGGTATGGCACGAGAGCGAGGCTACCTTGAGTGCGGCGAAGTGGATGACACTGTCAATCTCGGGGTGCTTCTTGAAGACAGCGTCGAGGCCGGCCTTGTCGGTGATGTCGACTTGGTAGAAATGGGGGCGCTTGCCGCTCAGAAGCTCGATACGGTCGACGGCGACCTTGGACGAGTTGTAAAGGCTGTCGACAATGACAACATCGTAGCCGTTCTGGAGAAGGGTGAGGGAGGTAAAGGAGCCGATGTAGCCGGTACCACTGCAAGCCACCAAGACATGCGATTAGCTATTGCGCAGTTCGTAGCGTTGCGCCCGACAGCGCCACGACAGCGGCAGTGGCTCGGTGAGCGGCGGCGGCAGACAGAGGGCGTGGTTTATAGCTGGGATGGGTAGAAGCTTACCCGGTGACCAAGACAGTTCCAACGGCCATTGTGCAGGAGATTTGCTGGTGTCGATCGCGACTAGGCTGCGGTGAGGGGTAATTGGGAATGGGGAGACGAAGGGCGGGCGAAAGTCAGGAGATGCGGTCCGTCGGGGTATCAAGTTTGGCGGTTTTTAGGAGCGCAACTCAGGTATATGTACTCGGTATGTGGGTGTGTGTGTGTGAGTGAATACGTGTTCGAGGGAGAGTCGCGGAACAGCGAAATATATATCTGATGATGGGGGCTGAAGCGGAATGATACGAGCGACGGTCGCAATAACAGAAAAGCAAATAGGGTCGTCTGTATGTAACGTTCGGCCTTGGACTATGATGCGGGAGAGAAATTGGCTCGGCTTAACTGCCAGTCATTTTGGGGCGATCTCGCAGCGGCCAATCTGGCGGCCCAGATTGGAGGCGATGGAGGGGTCTCGCAGCGGGGGTGGCACCAATATCAGGCCTTGTGGCTGGCTGCGGAGCTCAGTAATTTCATCGAGCCTTGCTGATGACGGCTCACCATGAAACCTGTAACGACCGGGGATCGCGGTGCCGTGGAGCCTGATCATCATGACTGCGGACGGGCCGACAGGGTTCTTTCCAGCTCTTGCTGCCTTTGCGCGCCCTTGACGCTTCACGTGGGTTGGTGGTCGGTGCTTTGTGTAGTGTACGGGACTGTAGTTTATTTGTAGCGTACGTGTCGGATGTCGGGACTGGTGATGGAATGGCAAACGGATGATGGACATGCCATCATGTTTGTCATCCGCCATGTTTGCTGTTGGTGTTGGCTACTTGTCGATGCAGCAAGACAGGCCAGTCGGTCTTGGTCCTGTGCTCAAAGTCCAAGCTTGAGCGCAGGTGCCGCTTGTGCTTCTGCTTGGTCTCTCTCTCTCTCTCTCTCTCTCTAGAGTTCAGGAGGAGGGGTCGGAAATGGAGGTGGGACTGGGCGAAAAGAGTGTGGATGACGCACATGGCATGGTGTACCTGGTCTTTTTTTTCTGCATTTTCCCCCGCAAGACATGCGGCCTCAGGTTAAAAGTGTCGACTGATTACGTACGTAGAATCACGTGGTCGCAAGCACAAGATAGCTTACCTAAGGACTGTGCTTATGTAAGAGCTCAGACTCGCGCGGCGCGTAAAGCTGGTTGACTGAGCGCGTGGACGACGGACAAACGCCCATGGCCCGTGCATCCCCGGCTACCGGTCCTGTTGGCGGTGCTATTGGCGGTGGGCCATTTGGCGGTGGCAGCAGACCCGTCCGTCGCGAAAACATTCCCAAGGCGCCGCTGCTCTCCCAAAAGGCGAACGCTTTCCAAGACCCGGCCACAAAGACTTGACGAACCCTCGAAACGCCCCTTGCTTTTACCTCTTTGCTGTCGCGGATTGTTACTCTACACAACTGACAACTCAATTGACCCCCATTTGTCCTGCAGCGGCAACCCTCCTTGTTTCTTATTCTTCTCTCATCTCCAACCTGCGCCTCCTCCCATTCATCCATCCGACGCGCGCGTGTGGGCGCGACTTGTGCCAGGCAAAGATGGTCGTTGCGGCCAGGGACCGCTCCTCCTACCTTTGTTGACAACCGCCTCCCTCCCTTCCCGGTCCGGCGGGTCGGCCTCTTGGAATAGCCTCACTTTGAGATACGTCCTGGCATTTGACATTCCTGCAACCGGTCATAGCCAGCTTTCACAAAGGCCCCTTCAATACACCTCCACACCGGCCTCTTCACCGCAAACCCTTGACATCTCTCCCTCCCTTGTCGCTCAACGCCGCCTTCATGAGCATTCACATTCACCGTTGTCTACGATACAAAGCCTCCCAAATCACAATACGCTGCTTTACTCCGTCTCCTTCACAACTACAGCGCATGTCCATCCAGACAATAATAATGTGAGTTGGGCCTTGTCTGTCTCCTCATTCGCCCCTCGTTCCTTCTCTCAAACGCCCTTTCTCATCGCGCCTGCCATCTGCCACTTGAGGCTCTTACCTCAGTGGTGAACTTTTCACAATCTCAAGTTGCTTTGCCCATCTCACCTGCTGTCATTTTTTTTTCTTTTCTTTTTCTTTTTTTTCATCCCCCCTTCCATCAGATTCACTCTTCTCTCCCCCCCCCCCCCCTCCCCGAAACTCATCCACCTCATTCCGAAAGCCTGCCCCTCACGCGAGGTTGAGTATTTTTCATATAAAACTCAACCTGTGGTCTCAACACCCCACTCATCAGGCTTACAGAGCTTCAATTCTCACATTGCGCCAAGATGCCTCCCAAGCGCAGAGTTCGTGGCGAGGACGATGACATGCCCGCCATATCACGGGGCGGTGCCGCAGTCACCTCTAGCCTGCCTCCCTTGGCTTCGCGATTAGACACGTCGTACGGATCTGCGCCCTCGACTGCTTTGCGCAATACTCGACGAGGCCAGAGACGTGATTTGCAGGCCATCATCAAGGAAACACTCCACGACAGCGACGACCCTGATGACCCAGATGACGACGATGACGACGGCCATGATGACGATCAAGACGGCCATGACGGCCGTAATGAGCGCAGCAGGAGCGCCAAAACTGACCACCTGCCGCTCAAGAAATCGCCCACTCCTAAACCAGAACCTCGACCCAGACCTGCTCGCAAAGTTCAACCTGCTCCCAGTCCTGATCCGGACCCGGATCCCGATTCCGAGCCTGATTTCGGCCCCGGGCGGGATTCATCCGAGTCGCCCGAACCGCCAAGAGACCCGTCACCAGACCCGCCCATTGCTCAGAGATCATTGAGACAACGCCTGCTCCCTGGCAGAATCGGTAAGTACAGCCTGAGACGGTCCGCCACCTCCCTCACCGTCGTCTCACTTCTCTTGCTGAACCCTACCCCAGGTCCATCGGGCGAATATCACCAAGGCGCGACTTCTCCTCGTCGGCAAGTTTTGCCCAATGTTGCTCCCCCTCGAGGCCCGAGTCCACCGCCCCAACAGCCTTCGACACAAGGCGTGGCCTCCAAAGGCCTTGCACCACCAGCTCCCACCAGTCGAGGTCTGTCTCCATCCAAAGGCAACACCTTGGCTCCCAGCTCGCGGTCTGTATTTGCGCGCGCCATTTCCGAACAGTCTGCGGAACCAACGCACGCGCTCGATTCAATTCGCAGTTTTGGACAGGAGAGTTCCCTCTATGGGGGGGCTGCTATCGAGTCAACTCCATCTCGTCTTTCCCTCTCGCCCGAGGAGTCGGAAGAAGAAGAACCGCCCTTGCTACCGAGGCCGCCACGTAGTAACCACCCCGACCAGTTTCGGGGAACAGTACGAGACCCAATCGGTGAGGTTGTTCATCGGCCTGAACCGCTAGACTCGCCTCGAGACAAACCAGCCCGCCAATTACAACCGGAACCACCCAGCACACCTCCTGCGCAACGTTTCCGACTTCAGAGTGAGTCTCGTCCCCGCGAATCCCTGGATCGGTCTATTGCACGCTTTTCCGTCACTCGAGATTCGCCTCGCACCAACACCGTGTCGCGCGCACTTTCGGCAGAGCCCGCTCCAAGTTCGCCTGCGACCAGGTCAAGCTCAATGCGCCCATCAAGTCGGGCGGCCGATCACTTGCCCACTACGAACCGTTTCTCAACTCGCCTGACAAACCATGTTGCTGAGGAAGCGCCTACTGTCAGACAAGAATTGAAAGGCCCATCGAACCATGCCATCGAAGAGCCGTTCCATCTTGACCACGTATCTCGATCTCAACTCTCACCCCGCCGACCACCGCAACAGGCCAGCCCCAGCCCAGACCGTCGAAATGTGTGGCCGCCTGCCGTCAACGAGAAACCGGGAGCAGCCCGACGTTTGTTCGACTACCCACCGCCTGGCAACACTTTTGCTCCACGTCCCGGCAGAATGGGAGGTCGCTCGGCAGGACCCTCCACAGCCAAACAGCCCATCGAAGATAGGGATGGCCGCTCAGCCATTGGGCCAAGCAGATCGGGCTTGTTCGACTCCAGCATGCAAGAAAAGATTCGGCAAGAGCGGGAGCACGAGAAGGCTCAACAGCATGCTCTCCGGAAAGAGCGAAACGCTCGTTTGAAAGCGTGGCCGCGCATCTACAACACGGTGTACAGCTGGACACATGCTCCACGCCCGGACAGCCCGCCTCCAAGAGACGAAGATCCTTATGATTATGACAGCCCCATCGAACCTCCGCAACAGGTTCCTTGGAGCGAGTCCTCCTGGTCAACCTGGATTTTGTTCAAGCTTGCCGACACGTTTGTGGATGTTCTCAATTTCCTCTTTTCGCCGCATTCTTGGCATATCAAGGCTTTGATCGGCATCTTGCTGGTCTCTCTGCTTGGCTGGGGCGCTATGACCGGCCTCAACTCGGCCCCGGCCCTGGGACCGGGCGGCATTCAGTGGTACGGCCTATCAGACATATCTCACAATCTTGGGCAGTTCGTACCCCTGTGGATGTCTCGACCAACTACCGTGTTCAGTGACGAAGACACGAGAGAGTACATACAACAGCAACGCAACCACGAATACGAACTTTCCAATTTGGCCAAGGCCAGCAAGCTTCACGAAGGCTCATTGTCCCGACTGGAGGAGATTGTGCCCAAAGTTGTCCACATGACGCTGGACAAGCGTGGGCGACCTGTCGTAGGAGATGATTTCTGGCATGCCTTGCGCGACCTGATGAAGAGCGACACGGAGATATTGACCATGGACAGAGGAAGTGGCGGATACTACTTCATTTCCGAAGAGCACTGGCGGGCCACCAGAGACAGGTCCCTGAAGGACCCCGTGTACCAGACCGGGATTGAGAAGATTGCTCAGACCAAGTTCGACAAGTCTTGGGAGAAATGGCTCAAGACGAATGACAAGAAGGTAGCCAAGATTCTCGAACCGGCCCTGGCGGCATCCGTCCCAGATAAGACAGGGAAGGATCTGGAGTCCAAGATTGAGAAAATCGTCAAGGACCGGTTCAAGAACACGGACGCCAAGGACGTCGTCGTCACACGCAACGAGTTCATCCGCCATCTCAAAGGGGAATTCGCTGCCCACCGTAACGAGGTGAAGGCCGAAGCCCAGGAGTTGCAGAAGAAGCTGGAGCACTATGTCAACAACGCCATCAAATCCGCCTCGGAGCAGACCCCGCCCGCGGGTGTTTCCCGTGCCGAGATGGCCCATGTCGTTGACGGCATGATACGCCAGGCCATCGCAAATGCCGGCCTAGAGGCCCTTGCTCAGGGCAAGATCGGGGCCACGTGGGACCGAGAACTTCGGCATCAAGTCAACTTCCTCGGCCGTAACACCGGCGTGGGCATTGACCCCGACCAAACCACACCTGACTACAACCCTCCCGTCCAGGGTAAGATTTGGAGCCCTACCTGGTTCGGCGGAACTAAGCGAGCACCGAAGGCTCCCACCACGCCTGCGTCTGCTACACTGTGGAACTGGGAGGACGAAGGCGATTGCTGGTGCGGCAGCGTGACTGTGGACAAGACTAGCGGACATGAGCTCGGCGTCAGTGTCAGCTACCTCCTCGCCCACTACATCATTCCACAGCACGTCGTTGTCGAGCACATCCTGCCCGGCGCCACGCTGGACCCCAACGCCAGGCCCAAGCAGATTGAAGTGTTGGCCTATTTCACAGAGCTCAACACCCGCAATCGCGTCATGGACTTTTCGACCGCTCATTTTCCCGACGGCCAGAAGGTTCCCAGGGATGGCTGGGTTCAGATCGGCGCCTTCACGTACGAGAGCAGCGACGCGCTCAACGGGGTGTACGTCCACAAGCTCAGCCCCGAATTGGTGTCCATAGGAGCCGTCACGGATCAGGTTATCCTCCGAGCGGTCAGCAACTACGGCTCTGACCACACTTGCCTGTACAGGGTGCGTCTGTACGGTGAGAAGGCTTGATCGTCTTCACACGCGTCTTCGAAAGGGGGAAGGGGGGGGGGGGGGGCATTTGGCAGATGGCAAATGTCCGGCATCCGGCTTCCTGAGTTCCCTCGAGTTTGGCTTTAGCATGATTTTAGAGTGGGGGCAGGACAGATCAGTTGGCATCATTTATTCGGCATTCACGGAAGAAAAGGGACGGAAACACTTTCATGGCGTTAGGGGTCGACGATACCCTCCTGGGCTTCTTTTTATGCACCAGATTCCCCGTTAAGCGGAAAGAGAAAGCAACAGTTTTTTTTAATACACAATGTTTATTTACATTTTCGCTTCCTGGATGCCGGTGAAAAAAAGTAAAATTATTGGGAAAAAAACAATGTATCCCATAAGTTTGCTCTAATAAAAAAAAAAAAGAACCAGAGAAACAAAAAAGTGCTTTTTTTCTTTTCCCATTCCTTCCTGCCTCCTCCTGTGCGCGGGTATCTGTATCTCATATCCTTTGTTTTTTTCTAGTTCAGCAGTCCCGAGGCCAGGGCCTCGAGGTCCTCCAACGTCTCGGGCTCGCGGTCGATCTCGAGCACCTTGCCGGCCTTCTTGGCCTTCTTCCTCTTCTCCCTTTCGTCGTCCGAGTCGTCCTGGAACCACTTCTTGGGCTTCTTCTTCGGCCGCCCGTCCTCGCTGTCGCCGTCGCCGCCGCCGCCGCCGCCGCCGGCGATCGGCAGCGACCGCAGCAGCGCCAGGGGATCCTCGTCCATCTCGCCGGCGTCGACGCGCGGGCCCTCGATGAGCCTCGGCGCGCCCTCGCCGCGCTCCTCGGCCTCGCGCGCCTTGCGCTTGAGGCGCTTCTCCTTGAGGCGCTCCTTGGCGGCGGCCTTGTCCTCGGCGTCGGCCTCCTTGACGCGCGCGGCCTCGTCGGCGACGAACTTCTGCCGCAGCTCCTCGGCGGGGCCCTCGCGGCCAAAGTCCTCCTCGTCGCGCAGCTCGTAGATGGCGTGCGCGTTGCCGTCGTCGTCGAAGACGAGCTTCTGCCCGCGGCCCTTGAACTTGAGCATCTTCTTCTTGGACTTGAGCGCCTTCTCGCGGCGCTTCGAGTCGACGACGAACTGCTGGTCGCCGTACGTGATGACCTTGGCCCGGCCGCCGGGCGCCTTGCCGGACTCGGCGTCGAGCTCGTCGTCGCCGAGGACGCGCTTGACGGAGAGGAAGTCGTCGTTGTCGTCGCCGTCCGCGGCTCCCGTGTCGCCCGTGACCTCGTCGCCGTTGGCCACGAGCTTGGTGTAGTGGCCCGAGAGGACGTCCTGGTTCGTGCGCTCGAACATGCGGTCGTACTTTGTCCGGACCTCGGGCTTCTTGGGCTTCTTGGGCGCGTCCGGGTCCTCCCCCTCCGAGTCCTCGTCGCTCGACATGCCCCTGCGCGGCGCGTTCTTGATCTTCTTGATGTCCTCGCCCTTGCGCAGCTTGATCTGCGGCGCTCCCGGGAGCCCGAGGCTGGCGGCGTAGGTATCGAGGTCGAGCTCGTCGAACTTGAAGACCTCCTTGTCCTTTTGCAGGTAGACGGAGCGGACGTAGCTGATGAAGGCCTTTTGCCCGAGGTACTTGAGGTCCGGGTTCTGGAAGCACATGCTCTGCAGCTGGTCCTTGATGCTCTTCTTCTTGTTCTCCTTGACGGTGATCTTCTGGATGGGCACCTTCTTGGCCTCGAGGCGCTTGAGCATGCCGGCCTCCTCGCTGGGGTCGAGGAAGAGGACGGCCTTGCCGTCCCGCTCGTAGCGCGCCGTCCGGCCGACGCGGTGGATGTAGGTGTCGGCGTCCTCGGGGCAGTCGACCTGGACGACCCAGTCGACGGCGGGGAAGTCGACGCCGCGGGCGACGACGTCGGTGGCGAACAGACACGAGTAGTTGGCGTCGGCAAAGCGCTTGGTGATCTCCATGCGCTGGAGCTGCTTCTGCTTGCCGAGCAGGTGCAGCAGCGGGATGCCGGGCTGCAGGTGCCTCATGCTCTCGTAGGCGAAGCGGACCTGCTTGCCCGAGGAGAAGAAGACGATGATCTTGCTCCGCAGGTTGGCCTTGATGAAGCCGTAGAGGGTGTCGAGTTTCTCGTGCAGGGGCGTGAGGATGTAGTGCTGCTGCAGGTTCTTGGGTGTCGACTCCTCGTGGACGGAGACGTACTCGGGGTCGCGGAGGCTGAGGCGGGCCAGGTCGGAGATCTTCTTGCTCTGGGTGGCGCTGAAGAGCAGGGTCTGGCGGGTGGCGGGGAGGTGCTCGACCAGGGCGTCGACGGCGGACTGGAAGCCCATGTCCATGATGCGGTCGGCCTCGTCGAGCACGAGGATCTGCAGGTTGTCGACGTCGAAGCCGGCCGTCTGGTCGAGGTGCTGCAGCATGCGGCCGGGGGTGCAGACGAGGATGTTCATCTTGGACAGGCGTTCGGCCTCCTCCTTGAGGCTCTTGCCGCCGATGACGAGGCCGGCGGAGAAGCTGTGGTTGCGGCCGACCTTGCGCAGGACCTCGAAGATCTGGGCGGCCAGCTCACGGGTCGGGGAGATGATGAGGGCGCCGAGGCCGTCGTACTCGGTCCACCGCGCGCGGTAGAGCTTCTCGAGGACGGGGATGACGAAGGCGAGCGTCTTGCCGCTGCCCGTCTTGGCGGCGCCGAGGATGTCGGAGCCCTTGAGGGCGAGGGGCAGGGCGCGGGACTGGATGTCGGTCAGGGTTTCGAAGTGGGACTTGTCCAGGCCGGTCCTGGTCGCTTCGCAGAGGGGGAGGTCGGAGAAGTTTTTGTATTCGCTCTTGAGGTCCTGTTTGGCGCGGGCCGTGGTCAGTGATGCTATTCACACGCGGAGAGAGACTTTTGGGGCGAAAGCGCATTTCTTACAAAGTCGGCGACGGCCTTCTCGAGTTGCTCGATGGTCTGCAGCTGTTGCTTGCGCCTCTCGAGTTTCGTATCCCTCTTGAGGACCTTGGATTGCTTCTTCCTGGGCCCCTTGGCGGGAGCCTTTGTGGGGGTAGCCATCTCGGCGCGGTGCTCTCGTGTGCTTTTGTGTATGTGTGTGTATGTGCGAGTGTCGAGCTCACGATGGCGGTGTCTTCGTCGGGTTTCCAAAGTTTCTTCGCAGGCCGCCGCCGGGAAATTTTTTGGACTCTCGTTGCTGCGGTGGGAGAAAATAGTTCGGCATTCGGCGACAGGGGACGCCGCGGTGGGGTTGTCTTGGTGGACGACAGCTGTCACCAGATGTAGACTGATGGAGCATTCCTCTTACACTCTCAATCAAGTCTAGTTAATCCGAGGCACCTTTTAGTCGGATGGCATTGTACGAACTGAACGAGTGATATCACTACATGGCTCTTTGGGTTTCATAGTTGGTATCAAATGAGGGCGAATTATTAAGGCATAAAAATACAAACTTAGATTCAAAACATTGTGCGATAGTCAGCTTTCAACATGTTTCTCAATTGCATTCCTCCTCAAAAGTTGATAGAATCTCAAATCAAACGATGCTACATCTATGTACAGCCATATACTACAATTCCGCTTCTACTGGATGAAGCTCTTTAAGCTCCATTTTCCATGCCAGACCCTTCAGGTATCACCTGTTAACCGTGTCATGATACGAGTTGTTGCAGTGCAGCTATCTTGACCTGATTCCCTACCCCTTATGGTCTGCGGTAAGGAACAAAGCGCGGCAGCTGGCAGACACACAGGATCCGTAGTATTGAATTAGACACTGGCAAGTCCCCGGCTATTGAATCCTTGAATTGCCTAGCACAACAGCCGCGGCACGTGGGTTCGTGCTCCGAGCTATGCTGTGAATTTTATCTTTGGCTCCTACATGATTCCGCATCATGGTGCTTGGCCGAGCCTGATCCACTTCAGTCACGAATCCTCCCTAGCGTCGCACATCACGTCTTTCAAACAAGGGACCGGGAGGAACTGGGGAAAGAAGTGTTTGAACAGACTCGCGGCTAGCATTGAGTTCGACCATTACACTTGCAACTAGTATTGAGCTCGACCAGAATCGCACTGACATTTACTTTCTGACATATTCGGGTCGTACAGGAAAGACGGGACATTTCCTTCGCTTAGCATAGATTGGTACATATAAGATATTCATGTTCTCATCAAACCGCAGGTCTTTCAGACTAGACACCAATAGCTGCTCATCCCTCGCAGTCCGAGAGTTTATATCAGCCGGATTCTCCTCGTTATATTCTACTCACTACACTGAAAACGAAGTTACAAATGCTGCTTCTGCCCTTGGGACTTCTCCCAGCTGTTGTGGCCCTCAATCTCGGCATTGGTAATACTGTTTCGTCCACGCTGTCACTTGTGCTATCCAATCTTGGGGTCAACAGTCTGTCTCTATTGAAGCCCAACCACTTCATATGAACCCCACCCCGCCCTGGAGACTGTAGGTTTCCTCTACACTATGCGTAGTTTTGCTTCAGAGAGGAGGATGAAGCTTGACTACCATCAACGTGTGAGACTTGGATGCTGAGCTGCAAGATTGTCCGATGCGCCACTCGGCGCCATGGAAGATAAAGAGAACATAGACGAAAACACAATTACATGCTGTATTTACATTGCTCCAAGAGAGGATCTTCAGCCACTCCATAACAGACAATTTCGGCCCTGCTAGCCGCCTTCCCTTCTCACCTTAACATCAGTGTCTCCAGGTGCACTGCGGTGTTGAAAATTGCACGCATGCATATGCCGCTATCACTAGCGCTTACCCGGCGTGCAACGCTGACGCTGTCTTGCCGAGACGTTCTAGTCCGGTCCTCACCGGCTCAATTCAAGTGTAATATAATCACTACGAGCCTTGAGGTTAACTCCATACGCACCTAGAAAATGTGTTATCTAACCGGCATGCAAGACGAAGCCAGGATAGAAACTTTTGCTCGAATACGCGAACGAACGAGGCCTTTTGCATCCTCGATAGGTGAAGCCAAGAACATTTTCGCCTCTGGATGTGGTACAGACCACTTCTTACACTCGTGTCCCTGCCACTGCATATCGTCAGCGCTGTTCCTACTTGAGCAAGGTTACGCATCTGCCAAGCGACTATGAAGTTTGACTCAAATATCTCACGTTTTCCTGGGGGATGTTGTTTGATTTATCAACAACCCAAGGTCTTGTCAGCGGCTTCACCATTGCTCGTTATCGCGCCAAGAACCCCTGCCAACGATACAACCATGCGTTTCATCAACGCCTTCACTTTGCTGTGTTTGTGGGCCGGAACAGCCCTCGCCTCTGAAAGCGACGAGCTTTCCGAAGTACAAGCGGAGGCCATGAAAGCCCTTCAGGCCGCCGGAGCCAACGGCACTTTTGGCAAGAGAGGAGGCTGCAACCTCTCCAACGCGTGAGCCCGACGGGATTGGTACAGCATGCACTATTCTCATGTGATTCTTTAGTCGCGTCACTAACACATACGCCACAGGAACTCGCTCTCAGGCGCGCTAAGGAAAGCCTACACGAGCGCCGTCAACTGCCTTCGGGCCAAGCCTTCCAAGCTCAGGGCCACCCTCGCGCCTGGTGCCCGTAACCGATACGATGACTTCGTTGCCGTCCACATTAACCAGACTCTGGCCATTCACGGCACCGGAAACTTTCTCACGTGGCACCGATACTTCACCTGGGCCTACGAGAACGCTCTGAGACAGGAGTGTGGCTACGATGGCTACCAGCCTGTAAGTGACTCCGGACGTACCGTGTTGAAGATTGGCAAGTTTTCATCGCCCTAACTGTCATGGTAGTACTGGAACTGGCTTGCCTACCGAGACGCTCCTTCAAAATCTCCCATGTTTGATGGGAGCGAAACTAGCTTGAGTGGTGATGGTGTTTTCAAGGCTCACAATGGCAGCGTCGCGGGACGCGGCTCCGTCTACATCCCGAGCGGCGCCGGCGGCGGGTGCGTCACGAAGGGTCCGTTTGCCAAGTAGGTCTTCCCCGGCCGATGACGCCAACTCAGAGCCGCTCGAGCCTAAAGATTGTTGACTGGCCCGTACCAGCATGACTGTCCACCTTGGCCCTGTCGTGCCGGGTATGGATGGCCTCACTGCCAACCCAGGTGGCCCACTTGCCTACAATCCTCGCTGCCTCTCCAGGGATATCAGCGACTGGGTATCGCAGCAATGGATGACCCCGACGAACCTTCTCAATCTAACCGTTGGCGCCGCCTCCGCGAACATCGCCACGTTCCAAGATGAGCTGCAGGGCCGTTTCGATGAAGCCTTCTTGGGTAAGGCCGACCCGGAACCAAAGCCTAGCTGGCTTATTCACTGACATGTCCTAGGAACGCACAGCGCGGGCCATATGGTTGCCAACGGCGAGGGATCCGACTTTTATTCATCCGCCAGCGAGCCCATGTTCTACTTGCACCACGCCATGGTCGACAAGCTGTACTGGATATGGCAGGCGCTGCATCCTGGGGAGGCCTTCAAAATTGCTGGCAGCATCACTGCTCGCAACAACCCCCCCAGCAGAGACGCTCGTCTTGACGATATCGTCATTCAAGAACCGCATGAGCCCAACCGACCTATTAGCGATCTACTCAGCACTATTGGAGGCAGCCCTTTTTGCTACAACTATGTTTAGATTACAAACAGATCAAAGCTCCACACGAATCGACACAAAGGGGACCTCCACTGAAATACGGTGCTGCCAGTGGTTGTGTCAGCTTGGAATCGGCGTCCATCGTCACGCTGGGAGCTCTTTCCATCAGTATCATTAATCTCACACAAGTCAAGAAGTAGATAAAATCTGCAGATTGGGTGATTGGCGTTGATGGGACAGTGCTTAGGAAGAGCACAGCATTCGTGCTCTGGCTAGCCAGGTTAAATGGGGTAAGCTACGGGAATATGGTCAAAGGTTCTGTCCGAATGCGAAGAGTGAAAGGGGGAAGAAAAGCCGTAAATGAATCAATCAAAGGTCTAACATTTATTACTCTCAAATCTCTCTAGCCACCGGCACCCGTATTCGAGTTTGACCGTAGTGCCGCAGTCAAAGTGCGGAACACTCTGAGATACTGCTCTGCAGATGGGTTGATAACGTCGTTTCAATATTTATGTGAATTTAGTTGGTCCGGCAGATGGATTTCATGTTGAATTTTGGGAGGGGGGAATAAAATGAAATAAAAGCTATAGAAAGGTTAGGCTTCACCCTCAGTTACTCGGCCTCCTCAATGTCGCTTCCTTTTGGTACAGGATGATATAGAGTTGCCTGTCCAACAATAAAGATGATAGCAGTGGCCAAAGCGACGACAGTAAATATCACAGCAACCTGTCATATGTCAGAGATCGAATCTAGGAGACTGACAGCAGCCATACCTTTCCATTGTCACCGAAGCCCACTCCTCTCACAACATCCTCGATCACGGCACTCCAGACGAGGAATACCATCCCCAACATCATGCACAGCACCGACCCTGACAGAAGCAGAACTGCAAGCTGCCATACATAGACTTGCATCTTCCGGGGTTGATATTTCCATTCGGTGCCAATGAGGACTCGGTCTTTGGTGCGCAACGACTGTCTAATCAAGATGAGACCGTCTCTGTGTCCCGCCATCCTGTGGAGCCGGATGGTCTGGTCCGCTGCTGTCAAGACACTGGCAAGGGAAAAAGCGATGCCGCAGAACCAGCAAGTTCTAACAGTCCATGGTGTCGTGGTTTCTGGCGGTAGCAGATTTGGCCACGAACCGGTCGAAGTCAGAACATTGGCGAGCAGAGCAGCCTACTCCCGCTGGTCAGCTGTGCCATTATCATCAATCATGAGTTTGGGGTTTTCCTCGGTGAGCCCGTCCTTCGATCCGAGTACAGGACATACCACTACACCAACAAAGTTGAGTTCTTGTAACTTGTTGTCTTTCCACTTCTCTGTGAGCCTGTCTCTCTCACTCTCCTCGTCGTGGTTCAAAAGCAAGAGCAGCGGGTCGTATGTCAACGTCGGAGGCGAGAAAAGCCCGCCGCGGAATATATTGGAGACGAACGATGCTACGTCACCACTCTTGTCCTGGAAGCTGCCGAATGTTGGGCGCTGCGGGGACCATTAGTTTGCTTCATAATCTTCTTGAGAATGGGTAAACAATGTCGTCCTTTTGGATTGAAACGTACTATCCCGGTCCCTCCTACTTCTTGACGGCTTCCAAGCAGCGGCATCCTTGTTTGAGGATGTTCTTCGGACGACATGTTTACACCCGGCTTGAGTGTTAGAAGTAAAGATTGAGTTGAGGACACCGGCGATTCTAAATGTACGGCCACTGCAACTGACCGAATGGCGGGTACCCAACCCCGCAATTGTCTTGCTATCAGGCGACACGATTGTCAGTAGCCTATACGTCATGATGAGACATTTCCCTAATTTGAGGTGGTTTAGTGCACCGTATCGCTCATTACATAATCGGATTTACTATCAATATCAACCCAACGGTAAATAATATATTGACTTCTCGGGATGCTTTGAAAGGGAAGTATCCCTCTTAGAAACAAACCCCTTTTGTCAACCTGCATTTTCTTTTGAAACTATGCAGTGCAGTGTCAAGAACGGAGGAGTGTGTAATCAGCTTGTTCGACGAGTTAGCTAGTCTGAAATGTTGGATCTATAGCTGGAATGAGAGCCTAATTAGTTTCACATCTAGTCTCGTCATGTGACTGCTATGTCATCTAAATATACTTACAGTTACTAGCCTATCATGAGCTGTATCAACTGAATTCAAAGGTGTCGTGGCGGTACTTAAGTGCAGTTGTAGCAGAGACAAAGTTTGGTTCTGTGGTTCCACTTTTGTCATCACAGCAGGACTGTCTTTTTATATATTTGGTTCTTTCTGGTTCTTGAAGCTCCGCTCTAAGCGGATGTACATGCTGCTGGATACAATTAGTTCCGAAATCTATGATAAATACAGGAAAGTCCAAGCACTTCTTGCCTGTGAGGCAGAACTTCCAGTATGCAGCCCAGTCTCGTACTCAACTTAGATCTATGTACTTTGAGCATGTACCCCAATGAGTGTAATCAGACACAAACGTGATGAAGCAAATGACGGCTGCACATGTCTCCATCGCAAACGCCAATACAGCATCGTTGACACCAGTCATTCTTCTTGGCGGTTGTCCGGCTTCCACACCAGAAACACCAACTAGGCTTCGAACCTAGTTGCAAATGAATCCCCGATAGCTCTTCACGCGCAGGTCGACTTCTACTTCCGATGATGTCTTCGAGCACTTCGTTCCTGGACATGTCCCTCTCAAGCCTCGGTAGCCACTTGACCCACGGGATCCATTCCTCCGCCGTTCTGGCGCCCATAACGAGTAGCTCCCCAGCGATGTCTTTCCTGACGAAAATGAAGCTTTCTAGTCCACCGAGCACATCTTGGGCTTTGACGTCGTGGCCACGCTCTTCGGCTTGTTCAAGGATGAAGGCCCTCAGGGTGTGTCCAATGATTCTGCTCAGCATAGTGAGATTCCCCCGAATGGCCAAGTCAATTGCAGCTATTGCTCGAATGAGGTCGGAAAGCGCAATGGGCTTTAGCAGCTGGCTCTGCCACTTGCGAATGAAATGGCAGCGTGAGCTTCCAAAGACCCCAAACTTCTTTAGAAACTGTCCGCCAAACCCTATAGCTGTGCCATGAACACCAAGCGCCTTTCCGAAAAAGACAAGATCAGGGGATGCTGAATTGCAGTACTCTTCCCGTTGGAAAGAGAATGGCGCTCCACAGCGAATAGCGGTCAGGGTTTCGTCCACAGCTAGGAGCAGGTGTTCTTCCATGCACATAGCACCCAGTCTTGCAAGCATGTTGGGGTCCATGACCCTTCCGTTGTATTGGTCTTCCACGATTTCGACTATGATGCCAATGCATCCGTTCTTTCTGGCTTCACAGAGCTGCTCTCTTAATTCATCATCGGAGACTCCTTCAACATGGAGAAGGACGGGATTCTTTCCGTAGGACTTTTGGGAGCTAAAGAATCTAGGGGTTGGTTTCTCCAGTAGATTTACTTAGTTGGTTGCTATTTTGTTCAGACAGAGACAATTCTGACTCACCTCTGAGCTGGCCCTGGAACATGTAGTCGCTGCAGCATATGTGTGGGACAGCAGTGCCCAACAAGGCTTCTTAATTTGAATATCTTCCCATCCTATCCTTTTCAAGGTGTCATTCTCGTCGGCAAAGAGACTCTCTGATGAGTCTGATGATTCAGACATTGAAAGCTCTGAGAGAGTGAGGACCATCTTAACCACCGCGTTGGCATCCATGACCCTGCTGCTCGAAGACGTGTAATCGACGGGGAGATACCCACTGAAGTATGTTCTGTTAAGTGAGCATCGGCTGTTTACGATGTGGTTCTTTTGGCTCACTTACGCAAAAGATTCTTCATAGGATTGCGGCATCTGTCGGTAACGCTTTTCAAGGGCCATGCGGTTTCCAATATATTTTTGCCAAAGCGGATTGGACATGGTCATAGACTGCATCTGCTCATATGAAAGAATAGTTCCTTCGGCATTGTTGAAATTGTGATCTAGTCTTCGGAGAGGCAGGCCCGCTGAGGCTGCCATGTTGCGGCTCGGTAATGCTGACATCGTGACAGACGTTTACTAGAGAATAAATGTAAAGCTTTTGCACCTAAGAGCCTGGACAACCTATATTGAAGTGTGTTTTTGTATGTCTTAGAATATAAAAGGAAGGCATCAGCGCCATAGGCAACGTTAGATAATTATAAGTCCAGTCTGGCTAAGACATTCCTTTGTGATCGTATGCGGTCAGGCCAACATAAGTCGAATGCTTCCCACCATACTCGCGGATTCCATATCGAGTAACGTATGCTGGCATATATCACTGATTGAAGTGCGGCTTCAGAGTGGTCTCACGTGTAAATTGAGGCCCGATCATTAGAGTCCCGCCAGGGGATTTTGCATACGCCCGACTTGTCTTCCATGTTTCTCCAGGCTGCAGCCCATGCAGGGTGTCATCCATACCTTCCAGGGCTGTGAAGACACAAGAATAAGTGTATAAAGCTATTGGGCAGGCAACGATACGTATGAGCCGGACGTCTCGAGGGCATGCGGTGTGTCGGGGGCGTATCTCGGCTTTGACGCTAGCATTGAGTAGCCATAGTGATACTTGGTAGTTCTTAGCTTTTCTTCTTTCCGATTCGCCAATGGCCGTACATCTTGTGTTTTATATCGGTGCCTGAAATCTTCTGCAGTTATTTAAGTTGGTGTGGGGTCACGGGAGGATTACGTTCAGTTACGCCCAGTGATCCCAGGCTGACTGGTGTGAGCAGACTTGAGGTTGAATGGACAATGAACGGCAATCACGGGGGACTTCGGGGTTAGCTAAGCCCCTCTGGGTTCCAGAAGTATGCTTGTGACATTTAACAATAGGCAGTTCGCCATGAAACAGTTATCGCTGTCACGAACACTTGTGATGGCTTAGGTGATGCTCTCGGACATGACCGACCAAGTCATGATCAGGACCGCGAATGACCAATAGAGCCTTAACAAAACAGCAGCGAATTGCATGAAAGATCAAGAGAAATGCCTCGTCATGGAGAGCTGCCGCCAATGAACTCAAGGAAGAGTTTACCCTTCAAAAGGGTTGTAGCAATTCACCGCAGCATTGGGGCGAAAGATTGCGGACCCCTGTGATCAAAGGCATCTCCTTGCCGCACCCTGGCACTTGGCCGCTTCTGAGCCCTGCTCGATCGGCATCCTGCAGTGACGCCACCCAATAACGGTTGCGAGATCTAGCTGATCGCCTCTGGCGTCGCCAGATCTTTTCTACATTAGACCTCGTTGTGGTTCGACAATTCCTTCCATTCGCCAGAGGCTGCCCCTTAATAATTGCTGTGCAATAGCCATTGCTGAACTGTCACAAGTAACGCCACCCATCATCTTCGGGCACATAGTGTAGATGCCATGAACTGATCTCATCAAACGATTTTCGCCACTTCATTGCATCCTACTAAATATAGGGAAACTTGATTGGGTTAAGACCGAAATCCGCCACTTCGCAGGCAACTCTGAGGGAGTTGGAGGGTGGCTGATGTTGTGGTTTTGAGTAGTGTATGTCGATGATAATATTAAGATTCGGTGTCACCGAGCAACAATCCATTCCTACTGTGACAAGCTCTAGCGAGATTACACGCCTGTTGTTGCTTGCCATATGGCAGAGGGAAGGTGATTTACACAACATTCGAGAGGGGTCACAGGAATATTATTTGAAGGCTGTGTCATCAAAATACTAGCATCTGACATGAGAATTGTAATAACTATGATTTCTTGAAATGTCAGTTTGGCCATTTTGACATCTGTCCAAGATACCCCAAGTCGCATTTATGCAGGGGGCAGCCACGGCTACACACCATATAGATATCGCTTGTAACAAACTATCATCCTCAGTACCTCTAAGCCCACTACAATCTCAAGAGCACCCTCGCACTCATTTGAGGCTTTTCAACTTAGGGAAAGGAGTAAGACCCGGGATTGACTTCAATGTTTTAGGCCGTCGAGGTTAATGGTGTCTTGCTGGTTGTCTCTTGACCATCGGCCTCTTGGCCTGGGTTACATTCGTGGTATCGAAGGTTGTGCAGCAAGAGATAGAAACCACATGCCATCATCGATCCGAAGATTGGGCCAAGCCAGTAAATCCAATGATACTCTGTAAATTGGCGAGCCACAACAGCAGGTCCAAGCGATCGCGCAGGGTTAAGAGAACCGCCGGTGAAGTATACGCCTGATAAATTGAGATGTCAGCATTATCCTTAATTAAGTTCCGCGGAAGAAGTGTCAAGAAAAACCTCACCTGTAAGTTCCGCAAGGAAAAACGACAAGCCAATGGCCACAGGAGCGAGAAACGTAGATCGGTGTTTCTCAACCGCCACCATGAGGATGACAAAAACCAACTGCGTTGTCAAGAAAGTCTCAATGAAGAAGCCCTGAGCAACGTTCGCGCCTCCTCCCAAAGTTGTGGTCACAGCCAAAGGACCGGGAAACAATGCGGAAGCAACTCCCGCTGCACACAGTCCGGCTATGATTTGTGTCGGCATGATAAGAAGGGCGCGTAGTGGGGAAAAACCACCGCAGACCACCAAAGCAAGAGTAACCTGTTTAATCAGATTTTCAAATCAAACATTGTACTCTGAGACGGCCGGAACAAATAACTTACGACAGGATTAAACATCCCTCCAGTGATCCGATAAAACGCCCATACGTTCGCCGTCAAAGAGACACCGAAAGCGAGCGCAATGAAAATAATGCAGGGCAAATTGGGATCCGAGTCTGGTGCTCCGGGAGGTGTGTTGGCGACTTGTGTCCCTGCGAAGGAGAAAAGCAGGAACAGAAACGTGCCGACAAACTCCCCAAGAACAGCGACAATATTGTTCCGAGTTGTGTTGGCAACGCGAAGCATAGGTAAAGATCCTTGGTTGACATCGCTGTTCCCAAATGGCTTGCGTCCAATTGTCATGTTGACCATTCCTGCGGCGGATCAATAAGTTGGTAAAGAAGATTAGAATGAATTTGTATGCAGGTTGCTTTTTAAGTTTGTGAAAGCTTAGAGAACATGGCTCGTTTATTTTGAGATACCTTCAGGCTTCTTGTGTCCTCCACGCCGGAAGCTTCCTTCCGGCACGAGAGTGTATCAATGATGGTCGTTTCGGACATCGTTATCCGTTGTGGTAGCCTCATCGCCATTCATCACATTCAAATATGATATATCACAGCAGAATCTGCATTCAGCGTAACATCCCGCTACGTGTACACGTACAGAGAAACTCATAGCAGGTATACCTCGAATATGTTTGTTGATGGCGATACGCGATCCATTGGTTGGGCAGAGTCGTTAGGTTATAATGCCTACATCCCCTTTTGTCTGGAACGAGATCGACGTGTCTCACAGCGGTTGATGCACATACAACTTGCAAAACCAGTGGTATCATTATGGAGCATGAATAGGATTGCTCACGGAAGCAATTGCTGTCCTTGATCGCAGTTGGGACTGAGGCATGTATACAGAATGTAGATAAAATGGTCCTATCAACAAATGACACGCACTTATTATGGGACACTGCATAGTATCATTACAACAACAACTAAAAGTCCGCCTTTCTGATTCTAGTACCTATGTCTGTGCAAACAATGTTCGTTTCTGTGGTAGTCTGGCCTCTTAACTTGTGCCCCATGTATTGTAATCAACTTCAGGCATACAATAGTTATTCAAAAACGCTTTCCAAATAAAGGCTTGGAATGGTCATAAATTCTCAAGTTGTGATTATCTGAGAACAGGAAGGGAGGGTGCCTCCACTCGGTGTACTGATGCCTCAAGCGGTTCTTTTGTCTGATTGAAGTCAGGATTACATACTATTGATGTTGTGTGATGTAAAAGTGGTACCACGGTTGCACTGCTACAACTGCATTCTATATCCTTCTAATGTCCAGCAGTCCTATTGTAGCGTTGCAAGAACAGGTTGTGCCTGCTGAATAAGGAAGTTATATAAGTCGTGTGCTAATATCATTGGCAGTTGGCCCTGTTGTTCCTCATTGCCGCCGAGACGCTAACAACGGGATACTACCACAACCTGCTGTCTCACCAGTCTCGGCGACCGGCTGAAACAGTTGACGCCGAGGCAAATTCTGGAGCCTTATAAGTTATCAGCATGCATGACATCATCTAGTTAGCACGCGGCTTGCATGAGAAAACGCACAATTTGACATACTAAAGCACGAGACTAACGACAGTGAGGTAGACTCAGTGCCGACTACGCCTTGAGTCTAAACGGGCCATGTCGGGCAGCAATGCTTGTCTTGTACTACACGAGTATGAGGAGTCGTACTGCCGTGGGGCTCAGGCGGATATCAGCCGGAGCAAACCAGTGAACAACCATCCGAGCCCTTCATTGGCGGCTTTACAAGAACAAATAGTTGGCATATAGAAATGGGCAGACGATTTTCATGGACTTACCAGTTTCTTTTGGTCAGCCTGCGCTCGATGGGACGTTGGCATCTCCATCGTATTTTGTGACTCAATCATACCACTTCTTTATGTACAGCATATGCATGTTAGAGAAAGTTACATATTGTGGAATACATAATCCATTTCCGGAGCAACCAACTCAGTAACCTTGACTAACATACGGCCCTGCTGGCGCCTGCCAAGAGCAATGCGCTCAAGATGCCCAAGGTGTCGCGTGGAACTCCATCAGAACATACCACTGAAAGATGCTACCGATGAGATAAGCAGAACTTGCAGCGAAGGACATGACCGAGGCCCCCGAAAAGTTGCCTTGCAATAGTAACACGCCGGTGATGGCAAACCCAGCCGAGCCCAAGGTGTTCCAATATGCGCCCTGCCACTCACAGGATCCAAACTTGGGCTTGTACCAAACGTCCTGTGCGAATATAATGAGCGCGAAGTTTGCGAGAAAAAACAAGGAGCCTCCAATCACTTGCGGCACGAAAACCAGCATCGAGAATACGGGGAGGTCGTTCGGGTCGAGGAGCCCGGGGACGCCGGCCACGGCGGGTACGGTGAAAATCACACCGCCAAGCAGCTGCACCAGCCCGGCTTGGAACGGGAGCGTTTTGAGTACCGCAGCGGCGTCGGCCGCGCTCGGTATCCAGACCCAGGCCGGAGAGCCGATGAGAGCTGGGCGGTATATGACGTTAGCGCCGTCTTCGATCGATTTGCCCTCGGTCTTCTCTAGGGTGCCGCGATCGGCATTGAAGGCGGCAAAGACACCAAGCGTCCCCCCCGTCAAGAACATGACTGCTCCTGTGAGAATCGTGCCTGGTAGAAGAATATTGGCTAGAGCGGGAAAAGCGAGGGCCGGGTCTATGAACGGGAGCAGCCCCAGGACCCCGTTGATGACAAAGATGAGACTGCCGACAACGAACAGCATTGTGACGACCCAGTTCATGTCTTTAATCGGGTATATAGTGAGCATGCGGCTGGCCTGTGTGCTGGGGGATCCCTGCACTTCGACGGCCGAATTCTCGAGGGAGTACTCTTTGATGGGGTAAGACAGGGAATCATGTCGTTCTATAGTGCATCGCGTCTGGTACTCGAGGTAGTTCAGCGCCTGGACTATTTGATGTCGTTGTGCATCGTCAACTTCGGGAACCTCGGACTTGAGTGTCCTTCGCTTGAGGGTCGAGTCCTCAAGAATCGGACCCGTCGGGGGTATCGGGATGAGCACCGACGTGCGTATGTAAGACTTTCGCAAGTTGGCTGAGGCATTCATACCGACGGCGTAGCTATGATCGAATATGCCGGTTTTCTGTATTCGTAGACGAGGCCAGCTCGACAAAGGCACCAAAAGGTAGAAAATAAAAAAAAGTAAAAATAGAAAAAGCCCAAACGTAAAAACAGAGAAAGGGAAGAAGAGAAAAAAAAAATGAAATGAGGCGGAAAGCTCCTTCCAGCAAGAAAAAAACGGAACGAAAAAGAAAGGGTTAAAAAGACGACTGGGAAAGAAGAGAACCGCTGAGATGTGCCAGCATCACGGGTTTATGATATCAGAACAGAACAACCCTCCCCCTACCATGTTCAGCCATGGTGTTAGTATCAGGCAGTATGATTGTAGCAAAAGGTAGCACGCATATGGCGATCATTGCATTGAACTCCGACGGACGTACAAGGGAACCCTGAGGTGAAGCTAACTGTACCCATGTCATCGTCGAGTGCCAGACAAACAGGATGTACAGATAGATCATGCTATTTTTGGGCACCTGTCGAAATGGAATGATGGGCGCGCGATCACATAATAACATAATTAACGTTAAGCTATCCGTCCCCCCGAATTTGTGCCCACTGCCGGCTTAGCCCTCCAGAATTGTATGCTCAAGCTTTGTTCGTGACTCGAGAGCATTCGAACGGTGGACCCCTGGAACCGGGTTCCTTGTCATGGTGTTGTAGCGGCTGTAATGTCCCAAGTTGGCCATCCATTGTCTGATGTTCTCCAGGTTCGAGCCTGTTCGGGACTAGCGTATTCGAGCATTCCGCGTCCCTCGGTCTCAAGTGGCTGTTATGGTTGTATGAGGAAAGGTGAGGTAGGATTGGTGTACCCCGATTCGAGAAACACAACGGTAGACTCTGGCAGGTGTCTGTAGTCGCCGAGCTCAGTTCCGAAACGGTTCCGAGCAGCTCACTGCACTGTTCCGGTCGCTTACGATGGGTCAACCATTTAATTGCCCAGTGTTAGCGCTTAATCTCCGTTTCCAGTTCTACTTCAGACCGATCGTTCAACTTGTTGTTGGTCACCTTGCGATTCCGTATTTCCGTTCTTGTCGCTTTCACACCTTGCGCGGCTTGTACTATTATACACTCATTCAATGTCAATGAGATGGTCAGCAGGCTGACTTCGCCGATTTCGATGGCAACCAACAATACCCCAGACACGACGGTGACCCTCGCCCTGCCCGAGGACAATGGTGCGGCTCGGACGGCCCAAAGGGTCTCAATGGCTATCCCTGATGAAAAAGAACAAGAAAGACTCGGACGACAAAGGCCAGAAGTCTTTAGCAGCACTCTACAAGAAGTCGGATTCTGCGCATCCATCTTACTCTCCAACATTATGGCGGTTCGTCGCTCCAATATACATTCCGATTGACTCTCCGACCTTCTAGTGTCACATATATACTGCCGTCTTTCCTTCTTTATGCACACTGACATGGGATGATTCAATATTGCAGGAGTTCCTGATTAGTGGTTTCAATGTACTGCTCCCAAGTCTCATCAAAGAGCTCAACTTCTCGCCTGAGGATAAGACTTGGCCGTCGAGCGTCTTCTCTCTTGTCGCTGGTGCCTTTCTCCTCCCCTTCGGCAGGCTCAGCGATATGCATGGCGGCTTCCTCGTCTTCCTAGCAGGCAATGTATGGATGGCTACGTGGTCACTGATAGGCGGTTTCAGCCAAAACTACGTCATGCTCGTTGTATGCCGTGCACTCCAGGGTCTAGGAGCCGCTGCGTTTCTGCCATCCGGCATCTCCCTTCTCGGCAGTGTCTACCGGCCTGGTCGTCGAAAAAACCTTGTCTTCAGTCTTTACGGAGGCTGCGCTCCGTTAGGTTTCTTCACTGGTATACTTGTAGCTGGCGTCAGCGGCCAGTTTCTCCGGTGGAGCTGGTTCTTCTGGATCGGCTGTATGCTGCTGACCATTGTCTGCCTGCTTATCTTCTTCTGCGTCCCAAGGCAGATGTACCCGGCTCGGATGCCCATGGACTGGTGGGGCTGCGGAACTTCTATTCCTGGCTTGATGCTGCTGGTTTATGCCATCACGGATAGCCCTCATGTTGAGAAAGGGTGGGCTTCGCCACAGATCCTTGTTACCTTTCTTCTTGGTTTGATATTCCTCGCCGCCTTCGTCTACGTCGAGGGCTGGGTTTCGCCTGCGCCCCTCCTTTCCGCTCAACTATTTGCACCAAAATATACCATTGCTTTATTCTGTTGCCTTTTCATTGCATTCGGCAGCTTTGGTATTTACCTTCTCTACGCCAGCTTCTAGTAAGTTCCCACATCCACATAGAAACCACCCAATGGTTCTGTATCTGTTCAAACCCAGCAGCCTAACTATGATTTAAGCATCGAGACCATCCTTCACATCGAACCTCTTCTTACCGCGGCTTGGTTTGCGCCACTGGCCATTGGCGGTATTATCATCGCCATTGTTGGTTCTGTTGTCCTCCACAAGCTCACGGGCACCGTATTGCTCCTTCTATCGGTTGCTGGGTTTCTTGTCTCTTCCCTTCTCTTCATTTTCATTCCCCGTGATCCCAATTACTGGGCTTGGGTATTCCCCGCGATGACTTGTGCCACCATCGGCATCGACATCATGTATAATGTTAGCAACATCTTCATCACCACGAGCATGAAGAGCGACCAGCAGGGCATGGCGGGTGCTTGCGTGAACGCTCTTCTCTTCTTGGGTATGAGTTTCTTCCTTGGTTGGGCTGATTTGGCGTCCGTTGCCGGGGCTCGCGAGAACCTAGAGTCCGGCTATAAGATTGCCCTTGTGATGGGAGCAGGCTGTGCGGGTGCCTCCATACTGATTATAGCCTTTTGCATCAGAGTTGGCCGAGCCAAGGGGGATATGACGGCCGACGAGCGAGAAGAACTCGAAAGACTTGGTGCTGCAGGATCAGACAGCACTTTGCGCCAAGAAAACGAGGGCTCTTACAAATGACGAGCCAGAAATAACAAGCATTATATACAACTACTTAGACTAGTAATAATTCCTCACCGTCTTCATACATATAGACAATCCATGAGATATGATCCTCCGTCAATTGTCTCCACTTCCAAATCCGCTCAAGTGCATGTAGGCTTCGCTCAATGGTCCTGGTATAGAGCAGGCCATACATGTGCATAAGGATATCTGTGACGGCTAAGCGATGAGCAGGATCGCTCGCTTCAGCCCCCACAATGAAGGCTGGCCAGAGACACCCTTTAAAATGGGTATCTTGTGGGTCAATCATCTTCATGTGAGACATAGCATCTTCGAGTATTTCTTCCATCTCTGTTGGCTCGAAATCGATTCCCAGCAGGGCACGCCATCCGTAAACCTTGATAGCAGCCTTGTAAGAGCATGCCAAATGGTACCGCTGCTCGACGTAATTTGGTTCAGGGTAACTGATCGACCAATCCCAACAAGAGAACCGATCTAGTTGGTCAAATAGTTTTCCGGCATAGTCTTTCAGCTCGGGGGCCAAGGGGCACACAGCAGACCCATTGACGCAAAGGCTATTGAAACTGCATAACACATGCATGAGCTCCGCTGGACAGCCTGTCCAACTTCTCATCTCAGCTCTCATCAAGATGTTCTTAAGAGATGTCTCTCCAAACATTCTTGATAGATCCATTTTCTCTTTACTCAGGGTTGACCCGAACGTTTGGAGACTTCACACTATCAGTTTTTGTCTCGGTCGGCTGTGATTTGAGCAGTAGCTTACATGACATATACTTCTTCCAAGTAGTCGTCGAAGTTCCAGGCCATGTTCGGTGTGAGAGCAGAATCGTCTTTGCCAACAGGGTGAGACGACCTAGTACGAGAGGTTATCAGGCCCCTCATGCCGCTGAGATGATGTCTCCAGGATTGATACCCCGAATCCAAAAGCTCCACCCAAATCAGTAGCAGAGTAGAAACCACAACCGAGTCTGAATGGTCCGCAGCCGCCAGAGCCTGCCGCAAGTTCTGTATCGCTTGTCTTTTGTGGAACAGAGCACTGGAATAATGCGTGGAGGTGAGAATCTGAAGAGGTACTGCGTCATCGCGTGACGGAATCGCTTCACTTGCGTCATGGGGAGGAAAGCCAAGTCTCTTTGGCCACCTTAAGGGCGTGACCCCACGCGCTCGGTGATGCGCCGCAAGGGAGACTATTGTGTGATGGACCAGAGGGCTGGATTGAATCAATGGCAGGAATTGCCGAAACGGGTTGACAGAGTTCTCCTCGTATATGCTGCATTCTACACAACATCTTTGCTCGTCTTGAAACCCGGGTGAGACTATATTCTATGAAACAAGGCAGCCGAGAACTTACAGTATTGAATGTACTCTAAAGACTGTAGGCCGTAGTTGACAACCAGGGGGTTGCTCGGGGTTTTCAGTATCTGGCATTTCCTGTCTGCCTGTGCAAGGGTTGAGATGATGCCAAAGGCTTCTGAAGTGAACTTATGTTTGTTAGCAGAACACTCCCAACAATAAGATGTATCTACATTGAGATGATTCTTACAAGCTCTTCGTCTGCTATGCGTATCGCTGTCTCACCTGGCTGCCTCAATTGACTGGTAGCTGTGCCGGTGTACCGAGTCTTTCCGTTCTCGGCCCGCAATTTGGAATTCTTTTTGACTCGACGAGGCATTCCAACCCATAACAACGGTTTTGTCGGTCCATAACCCATACACTGGATGCCTGCTCTGGTGCACTTTACGCATGCGGGCCTGATTGCATCGCACCGAACTCTCCTCCGCCGACAGGTCCAGCACGGTACATCTGCGATGAGCTCTTTGAGATGAGACCAGGTTCCATCGACAACGGTCGGGTAGTTGTTGGGCATTGTTGTTGAAATTGGGTTCCGCAGGCGGCAGTCTTCCACCATTAGTGTCGTAGGGTTCACAGATTTTGTATGAGAATCCCGCAGTGGTGTGAGTAATATCAATAAATCAATAGTAAAGAGCGCGCGGGAAAATTCACTCATGTAAAAGTGCGTGAAAGTCCGTGAAAAAGAAGGACGCCAATGAACGAAGATATGACTCGCTCCTATGTTTCAGATGCTTGCTTCCAAGAAATGCCAACTACCTATGGATACTCAACCCAGAATGAGGGTGATCAACGGACGTTGCTATTTATTCTTAGGTATAGCGCAGCATCCCAGCTTATGCATATATTTTGCTATTCATCATATACCTATCTGAGTCTGATATGAACGCAGACTAACACTGCAGCAAAACACAGTAATACAACCAAGCATCATGCCTAATCAACACAAAGATCGGCTCCACTGTATTGACCAATCTCTAAATGCTGTCTGTTACCCTCACAGAATTAAACTTTCTTACGCCTCTTTCTTGCAACACGTCCCAGCCGCAATCCTTGTCACACGTCGGAGAACACGGGAAAGGTGGGGCAAAGTTAAACGATTCTACTACGTAGAAAAATGTTGTGGATCAGCATATGTAGTTAGTATGTACCCAGCTCACCGGAGAGATACACTTATGCTTACTACAAGTCTAAACCCCTGATTGATAACCCTCTTGATTCATGCCAAGGGTAGCCTGGGAGGGGAGGCGGTTGTTTTTTCCTCTTTCTTTCTAGTCTTTGGTCTTCGGAAACACGGTCCTCTTCCACGAGACATCCCGATGAACGTGGCGTTTGTCTTCGAGACATGAGACAGCAAGGCCCCCGACGCGAGAGACGACCAGCATTTAATTGTCCATCTACTATATGTACCGACCCTACCGCGGCAAGACTTTAATTATCCTACAGTGGTTACTCCAATCCTGGCCGCTTGGATCAAGGAGCCGTGCACGTCAGTTATCCGGGTGATTGGGACTCAGTCTTCCTTGTACATGTTCTGCAGTGGGTGCCTGCAATGCCGCCGCTGAAAATGATACTCAAGGCCATCGTATCGTTGACCAACTTGGTTCTTGTGGTGGTCTCAGGAGGAACCCCGTCTTCGACCCAGTCCACGATGGCGGCAAAAACATTGTGCTCCCCGTCAAAGGGCAGGGTTTTGGCGATGGCGACGTCAATGCCGCCACCCTGGCCGATGAACCACGCGCTGGGCCCCGTCATGCAGTGATTTATTCCTGATACGCGGAAGAAGCGGGTGAACTCACCCATTCTGGCCTGGTTCAGCTTCACGCCCTGAGGCAGATGGTCACAAAATATGGGGCGTATGGAAGCTCAAGATCTGCTGGGCCTAGCAACGTACTTGCGCAGAACTGGCATAGAGTAGCGACCTCAATGAAATTCACTGAGCCAACAGTCCCTGTTCTGGTGAGGATGATGGCCCTATAGAAGTAGAGCTCGTTGAGACCGATGGCGAGCGTGCCAGCGACGATGCCGCCAAAGTCTTGGGGAACACATATGAGCGGCCCTAATGCCTTGGCGTCCGCTCAGAAAACATCCCAAAAAGCGCGACCTTGTCGCCGCGCTGTCATACAACGGCTGCATAAGCTGCTTGCCCGCAGCGATCCCCCCGGGAATCCTGCATAGCATTCAGCACAAGATCCGTACCAAGACAAGTGTTTGTTTGCAATACATAAGCCCTGCATGCGAAGTTAATCATCACGTTTTGTGAAGAAAATGAATCCCGGTGGTCCCAGTATGTCCCGTTGTTCGTGACTACAACCGCGGATCCATCAGCTGTGGCTGTGGCATACACCATATCTTGGAATTGAAATGCTTGGTCAGATGGGAAGATCTACGGTAAGGGAAAATGGTATCTCAATTCGTTCGCTACTTACAACCAAGGAGCCCTCCGCCGGCGACTGTGGCCAATCGCCCATTCCAGTCTCTAGGCATCTACACTTCAACAAGGACGTGTGATCTGGCCAAGGTCGTGATGTCAGTGCAATGCGGCAGAGGTCCACACCGACAACCTGCTGGACATATCGCATGACGGATCATTCTTGGGGAAGGAGAGCTTTGTCACGCTCGTGACGAATTCTAGCGTTTTCAACGTCCAGTTGGCCGCCCGCGCCACAGGTGCGAGGGCGACGCAGTCATTCCGGAATGCCGCCAGGGCCGTCACACTCAGCCGGATCCTATGCTTTCTAGTACTTCTTTTTAATTTTCCTTATTTTCAAGCATTTTCATGATATGTATGTGAAACAGGCGGACTTTCTTAATTATAGATAGATGGAGCTTGTCAGGTTACTTTACCAAGTCTGTGAGGAACGAATCTCTCCACAAGAGGTCAAAGTCAAAATTCATACAAGAGAATAGCAGGTCAACAAGCTTAATAGGACTTACGAAACAGATTTTCTAGTCGGCGACTTCCAAGTCAAAAAGAGTCAATGACATGTTATACCCGTGCTTCATATTGCTCTTGGTGTAAATGTTATCTGCAGGTACAGTCACGTGTAATAACTCTGGGCTCACCCTACAATATGTCAGTGAGCCCAGACCTTTTTTACATGACTGTAACTTTACTTGGCTCCAAGAAGCTTGGTATTTGGCCGCACTCAATAGCTTTTTGCAAGTACTGATAAAAAACTTCAAGTTTCCACCCTATAGAAAGTGCGGCAACACTTTCCCGAATTAGACTTACCTACGTCACTAAGTGCCTCTCTAGGCACTAGAGTAGTAGAATTTACCTAAGATATATATGTTAGTGCTGACTACGGCTGTAACCGAATCACCTACGTCCAAACACCCGTACTCATGTTCCACTTAGTATTGTAAACTCATTAAAGCACCGGCCACGGTGAAGTAAAACAAGGTTTCTGATGAGAAACCGCCTGCTCAAATCACTTCGTTCATATTGTGAAAGCATTGTGTCTGTCGATGTAATTCTCTATACAAATAACCGCATAGGACTACTACCACAGCAAACCTGACCAGCTCATGAGTGCCCCTGCCCCATCTGGGAAAGGTGGGCTTATACCTGACCATCGTGCTCTCACGGTTTTCAGTCATGTTGGAACCGTGGTCAGCCGTTTGCTTTGCAATCACACATATCCCGCCATGTTCCTCGCCAGTGATGTTAGCACCGTTACGACAAGTCAACGAATGAGACTGTAATTATTCTAAGCCTCCGTCTATACGCCAACACCAAAGGGCTATATATTTACGCCTTATCCTAGTTCAGCATCTTAAGACTGTGATTTGAACCTCATGTGGTGGAAAGACCACGTGAGCTGCAGCCAATGCCGCCAAGTCTCGGCCGCTACGATTATCTTAGACGCCAAGCAGTTGATATGTCGGCAATGTCGTCATCCAGTCTGATCTACCTACAACACTGGTCAAAGCAATGTAACAGATAAGTGTCTAACGAGCAACCATTTGATCAAGATGTTCATTCGTATTGTCAAGAAATTAGGTATTATCTATCTATGTAGCTCTCGACACACCCTAATTTAGTAGATGTTGTGCTCGCCGTGGGAACAGCTCTTCCCGTGCTCGGCGTGCTCGGCGGCGAGGGCCCACTTCTGGAACTCGCGACGGATAGCGTCGCGACTGCGACGGGCAGGCGTGGTGGTGGCGCGGCGGGGCAGGGCGGCGGGGAGCTCGTTGGCGAAGTCGGCGGCGACGCGGGCGGCGGCCTTTGCGTTGATGGTGATGGCGTCCCAGTTGATGTTGTCCAGAGTGTCGCAGGCCAGGTGGTAGCAGGGGTCGGTCGGGGCACCGGCGCCGGTGAAGATGCCGGACGAGGGGATGCCGAGCTGGAGGAAGCCAACGTAGTCGGAGCTGGAGCCGAAGCCGCCGAACGCGGCGGGCTTGCCCTGGGCGGCGATGTAGTCGAAGATGGGCTGGGCGCCAAACAAGTCGCCCTCATTGTCGCCAAGGTAGACGTTGTAGACGGGGTTGATGGAACCGATCATGTCGTAGTTCCAGTAGAAGCGGATGGCATCAGCCTCGGCCTCTGACAGCTGGGAAGTGTAGTAGAGGGAGCCAACGAGGCCACTCTCCTCAGCGCCCCACCAGATGAAGCGGACCTTGTTCTTGAAGCCGCTGTACTTTTTGAAGGAGCCAGCGATCTCAAGGAGGGCCGAGGTACCGCTGCCGTCGTCGTTGACACCGGGACCGGCCTGGACACTGTCCAAGTGGGCACCAAGGACAATAACGTTGTTAGGGTCGCCCTCCTTGGTCTCGGAGATGATGTTCCAGGTCTCGCGCTCATCCCAGACAGCATCGACGATGAGATTAACTTCCAGTGTCTCACCGGCGGCAAGACGTGTTCTCCAGGCTTCAGCGTCTTCGAGGGGAATGAGACCAACGGGGACCAGAAGGCCCAGGTTCTCGGCACTGAGGGTTGCGGAGCTGATGTCCTTACCGGGTGTCTGGTTGTAGAGGATAACACCAACGGCACCGTGGGCTTTGGCTAGCTTGAGCTTGTCGGAGATAGCGCAGACGCCGCGCTTCACGAGGGGAAGCTTGCCGGTGGCGTCAATGCCCTCCCACTGGTCGGCAAAGCAGCCAGAGCCTGTGGACCGGAAAAGTCAGATGCCAATAACTAAACAAATTGAGTTGGAGTTTCTTACCTCGCTCATCATCGACGGGGGTGTCAATGAGCGGGGCGGTGTTGCCGCCGGGGAGCGCAGTCGGGTGGTTGTACTGGAGGCTCACGACGTAGACGTCCTCTCCATCGGGACCCGTGACCTTGAGTTCGCGGGTCTGAGCGAAGGTGTGGTTGAAGTACTGGATCTTGGTATCGAGCTGCTTGGAGAAGCGGCCCTGGACGCGCTCGAGGATGTAGTCGGACGAGGCCTTGTAGCCGGGTAGGCCGAAGGCGCGGTTGCCACCGTTGTCGCGGGCAATCTTGTTGAGGTTCCAGAGGTTACGCTCCAGCCTGGAAGAGAGAAAGACATTAGCATCGGTGATCTATCGTCCATGCTTGCAGCGAGAAACGCACTCGGTGGTCAGGATATCGGCCTCAACCTTGTCGGCCGTAAGAGGGTCGGTCGCGAGGGATCGCAGAGCGAACAGAGCCGCGGCGAGGGTGGCTGCGGTCTTCATAGTAGCTGGGTTCGTGGGCACGAGGGGGACGAACTTGACAAAGCTTCAATGGATCCAAACGAACGGACTGATCGGCAGAGGAAGCAGACTTTTGGGGGGACGGCGCGGTCGGGTCCATTATATACTGGACGGGCTCGTGCCAACACTCGCCAAGCAGAGAGAATTGCGCGATAAGACGACAACCAGTGAGTGACAACGTTGGCATGGGGAAATGGACGGCTTGCAGATTCGGTTCGGTTGGTCGCATGATGGCAATCTAGGGTCCCTGTCTCTTTGTAAGTACCTAGTATAGTGTATCATTATCTGCTTGCCACACACGAATAAGATATCTCAAAAGTTTACACTGCCCGGTTCTCTCTTGAGTCCCCTAAGCACTGGGTGCACTGAGGCATTGGTGCAGCGGCGAGCGATACTGTCTCGGGCAGGTGGGCGATGTGGGGTGTTCTTGGCAGAAGGACTTTTGCCTGAGAGAATTGCAGATTTTGGCCCGCGGGCAAACGGCATGCCTTGGCACCTTGGATATCTTTGCCAGTACGGAGTACTGTGAGTCTGCTCGGGTAGACGAATGGCGACAGGCGTGCATGGAGATGGTGGAAATGCGACGTGCTCTTGGCCTACCGGGGGGGTTCTTTCCCACCATTGGCATCTGTGGATCATCGATGCTTCATCGGGCAGGTGCCAAGCCTTATTTAAGGGGATTGTGGAAAGAGACGGAAGGACCGCCTTGGATACGTGCGCTACGAGAGAAACAAGTGTAAGTTGGATGCTCGGTTTCTTGCGCAATACCGACCGTCATGGCCCATATCGTTTGACCGACGAATCGGTTAAACTGGCTGACTGGGCCGAGAAAGGTTACACTTCATGCGATTGGCAAAGATGCTCGAGGCGGCATTTTGTTTGTTGCCGGCACGGACTCTCAGTCGAAGCAACACATTCCATGCCTCCGCCCCGTCCCATCATCGGGGGATGAAGATGGCTTAAAGAAACCCCCTCTCGCACAAGCCGTCGGTTAGACTCACTCGTTGAGGTACCTGGTGTAGGTACGTGTGTGCCTGCATGCTGCAACTTCAACGTTGCATCGCATCGCAGTAGCCATGGCCAAAGAACCATCACAGCTTGCTTGCGCGTGTTCATGCGTGCCTGTGTGCAGAAGATTGCGCCACCGTAAAAAAAAAAAAAAAGCGTTCATCCAATGTTCTGCTGCTTGCTCCGAACTAACAAACAAACCATTGTGGTCCAGCCACCACCACCCTGCCTGATGGCATCATGACATGACTGGCCACGGAAGACCTGGCTCAACGAGAAACGACAATGGCGACTTTATCCCCAGAATTGCGTTATTAATTCCCTCTCACTAACTTCCTTCTGCGGCGGTAAATGTCAGACGCCAGCCCCAGCTGACGTAATAGAGCGTCACGTGGCTATATTCAACAGAGCTCTGAGGCATAACAGAGCATGCAAAGCGACACTGCCTCTCTGTCTCCTACCTTGCTACTAATTTTGATGCATGGTGCTTTCTCAGTTCAGTCGCATTTCTTCCTATATCAATGTTTTTGAAGACTCTTGCTAGACACATACCTTCCAGCCGTCTTGCCCATTGCAAGGGCATTAGGACGGTGTCCGAGGTAGTGGGCGAATCTGGTCGCGTTTACGCTAAAGGCAAGGTGCTCTGACGCCATCATGAGGACCACAGCCTAAGCATATTCAGAGCCGAGTAGGTCTTAAGTCTTATACACTCGTCCTACAACTGCGAGGTTTCACTGACCTGTTTCGATCAGGTCTGAAAATGAGTCTTCTGTTGTTAAGCGCGTGCTAAGAACGTTTTATAATCTGTCCCTACTCCTTGCTGCTGAATTTGCAGGCTCCTGCCGCCTTTGAATGCACACCGACTGCAACCAGGAAGAAGGCATTCTAGTCTATCCCTATTATGGCAGCACCCTACTTTTATTGATCTAGGACAATTCAGAGCTTTCTTTTCTTAAAAGAAAGAAAATCCTACAAGGCACGGGAGAAGTAATATAAGAGCTTTATTGCAAAGAATAGATATATAGCGGTATATTCTGTAATATGAATATTACGAACTAGTACGGCTAACTAATAAACCTATATGAACAGATGTAAAGCCTGATAATATATTAGTTAATTGGACTTGTGATGACGAGGGCAATAAATTAGTTACTTGTGTGGCTCTAGGCGATTTTGATATTGCTCACAAGCTGGAACATGAACAGTAACGTTTGACCCCCTATGCAATAGACAACGCGATGTGGCGAAGCCTAGAGGGACAAACTGGGATAGTAACTAAAGCGTTAGAAATATTTTCGTTTAGACTGGTGGTAAGCATATAACAGTTAAATACTACAAAAGGTTCCCACTAAGTTTTGTTTGTAGTATATATATGCCCTAGGCGGCGGTGACTTTCTCCTAGTTAACGATTAGAAAGAGCTTGTAAATAGTGGCATTACCCTAGAACAGGCGATATTGATTCGGCATTTTTCCTATTTTGGACCAGTGCCTGAAGGGCTCTTTAAGCACACTAACAGCGACAATTGGCTTCGTGTTCTGAAGGGAGCTTCAGCTTTAGCCGAGGAGGTAGTGAAGGATCAACCTGAATTAAGATTCAGACGCTGGAGCGCGGAGCTTGGTCCTGAGGCGCAGCACATGATATCTGAAATGACAAATCTGGATCCAGCGGCCAGAGCAACGATCGACCAAGTTTTGACACATCAATGGTGGCAAGAGACCACTTAGACGGAACGAACCCGCCGACGATGCAAGGCTACCGAGCCCTGCAAGAAGTAGGGGGGCGTCGTTTGCGAACTACATGATATAGAAGCCCACCGATCAAACTCGGCATTGCAAATCCGCACACACCCTAGTGGAGTGGTGATTGAAGGCAAACATTTAGAATTCATTGTGCGTTGAGGACGCAGTTTTTGTACATATGTCAGGTTTACTACTCATAGAATCCAAAGAAGAGATAAGCAGTAATCTACATGCATTTATGTTATATCTACTAGTGACCTCCTACTTCACTGCAGAACTATATGTGAAAAGCTTTTCTTTCTTCCTTTAAATCTTTCATTAGATTTACTCAATACTACATTGATAGTAAGTGCTAGGTAGCAGTAATACTAAAAAATATCCCCTTCCTCCTACTACCTGCACTACTCACAATTTGTATACTACGCACTTGCTTTGCCTACATAGACCCCTAGTCGCGTAGGTCTAACTTAGTCCCCACTTTCCTCATAGCCACTCCGCTCCTGGCAGTAAGGGAGCTGAGCCAAGAGGACGATATAGGCATCTAATTACTCTGTGGTGGTCGGGAAGGCCCGGTTAGGGCTTCTTGGCTCCGCCCATCGTGTAATCTGAAGTTTGCGCGAAGCAGGGAGACCGCCGGATGGTACGATACCGTCATGTTCCTTTTCTCGATAACCCCCCCCCTTCCCCGAGATGGGAGCCGACCGAACCCTCCGCAAATCACATACGCGCTATGCCGGACTGGAAAGCCGGACCGCCCAGTCTTCAGAGGGCTCCTGTAGTCGCCGCCAAGTGCCGGCGTGCGCGTGGGTCTGTCCTGGTGCATCGCGAAAAGGTCCGCCAAGAGCCAAGAACTCGCCAGATTCCCACCCCTCAGACGTCTCGGCAGGTGCCGATTTCCAAGCCTCTACAAAAAAACAAGCCATCAAAACGTCAAGACAAGCTTTGCTTTCCACCGCTGTCCAGGATGAACCTGCATTCGCTAGTGTCCGAATGCCCGGGTCAAGCTTTGCCACCAAGTCGGCAGGGAGAGGGGAGGAGGGGACCTTGATGGCTCGGCGTGCCGTTGATGCCAAAGAACCTCTGCGGCCTCCTTTTCACATGTTTTTTTTGCCTTTCGGCGTCCGCTAATCATGTCTACAGTCTGCGGTGGAGTAAACTGCCGATCCTTCCTCCCGGCGATCCGGGTTGACGGTTCCTGCCTTGTGTTGCTTTGCACTTGATAGATGGTTCCACGGGGGATTATGCTGGGGCTGACACGCGTCTAGGGTCCACGGATGTAACGCATACAGCAGTTAGATGGTGGTTCCTCCTGCATGGAGATGTGGTATCTCCCCCGCTGCCGGTTCTGCACTAGCTTATCTATTATGCAGCGTCGGTTAGAAGCGTATATGTAATGTCACACCGCTAGAGGAGACGTGCTGTTATATTGAGTCGTATGTGATGTGAAATTAGTGACTGCATTAGTTGATATGACAAAAGCAGAGCGATCACACTTTCAATCCGATGACTGTTCATTCATGTCTCATTCAAAAATTAATATATATCTAGCACGTCGGGTTTTGACACCGAGAGCAAACTTCTCCCTCCTTCTCTGGAACCGACCAATACTGTTGACCGCTCTAGATCAAGACAGTCACACCACCACCGCATGGTCCATCGTGAGCGTGGCCGGTAAGCTCAGCAGCGTGCATGAGATGCATGGCCGTGTCAGCGGCCCACATGCGCTGAGGAAGCGAGACCGGGGGGATGGTGTCCCAGCTCATCGAGTACGTGGCAACGCTGTGGGCGATGGCCTGGGCGTTGATGAGGTAGACATCGTGGTTCAGATTATTGATGTCGTCGCCAGCCTGGTGATAGTTGGGGTCGTAGGAGACGCCGGCCAGGCCTCCAAAGAGAGCAGCCTCGGCCTCGGTCTTGAGAGCCTCAGCGCCGGTGAAGACACCACCAGCGGGGATACCGTTCTCGATGAAGGCAGCATAGTCGGAACGGCCGTTGAACTCGCTGGGGACGTGGCTGAGACCCCTGGCCTCGTAGAACCGCTCGTAGAGCTTCTTGATAACGTCAGAACCAGGGGGGCCCGAAAAGTTGAAGGTGCTGCCGTCGCCGTCGTAGATGGAGAGTCGGTAGTTGGGGCTGGCAATCATGTCAAAGTTGAGGTATGCGCGGATTTTGAGAAGCTCCGAGGCGGAGCTGTTGAGCTGCTTGACGTAGAAGTACGAGCCGAGCTTGCCATACTCCTCGGCGCCCCAGAAAGCAAGACGAACAGCGTTTTTGGTGCTGAACCGGCTAAGAGCCTTGGCAACTGTAAGGACACCAACAGTGCCGGAACCGTCATCGCTAGAAAGGAGAATCGCGGTTAGCCTGTGTTATCACTTTTTTTGTGTTTTGTTTGATTTCTTTTTTTTCTTTTCTTTTTTTTTGGTTCGTCTCTTCCGTTGCCACTTTATTCATCTCTTCTTTCATCTCTTCTTTCGTTTCCTGTGCTTTGCTTTTTCCTCCCTCTTGTTCTTTCGTACAGACAAAAAAGTAAAAAGAAAAAAAAGACTTTCCGCTGGAAAGCAACTTACTTGATACCAGGGCCGGCAAAAACAGAGTCGGCGTGGCCTCCGATCATGAGCACGTTGTTGTGGTCTCCCCCTCTCGTCTCGGCGATTACGTTGTAGTTGGTGCGTTTCTCGACGACAGAGACGAGGTTGAGATTGACCCTGACATCTTGGCCAGCCTTGAGAGAAGCAAGGAAGGCCTGGCCCTCGGCTTGGGTGATGCCCACGGAGGGTGCATGGGCATCCGACTCCTCGCCAAAGGATCCCCTAAGATCACCTTCCTCGTCATTGTAGACGATGGCAGCAGCGGCGCCGGCAGACTTGGCGAGGGTGGCCTTGGTGGATAAGTTGCAAGAGCCTCTCGGCATAAGCGCGACACCGCCAGCGACGGCGGCAGGGAAATCTCGGGCATCACAGCCAGAGTTGGCGACGGCGACGAGGGGCGCATTGCTGACGTTTCCGGCAGGGGTGTATACCAGAGGACGGGATTGAACGTCAACACCCTTGATGTTGAGAGCGGCCGTTGAGCCTACAAATTCCTCGGTGAAGGGCTGCTTGTAGATGTCGTAGTAGTCGAGCTTCTGGAGCTCCTCGACCAGCCAGTCGACCGTGGCATTGTGGCCACCGCCGCCAAACGCGCGGTTTCCACCGTGGGCATCAGCAATGGACTGGAGCTTCTGAGAGCCGGCGAGCAGGTCGTCGATGTTGATGAGGGCCTGGAGCTTGTCGGACTCGACGTAGGGCTTGACGTCGAAGGCGCCAGCGAGTGCAGGCAGAGCCAGGGTAAGAGCGACAGTCCTCATTGCAGCGGGCTTTGTACAGTCTCAAAAAGCAAAGGGAATCCGGGAGACTGACAGGAGGGCAGAGAGTCGACGACTGCAAGCAAGGCGACTGGGCGGATAAAACTCATTTCTCGCACAAACAAGAAGCGGCGACTCTGGCGGCAAATGCATGTTTAATAAACTGGCGTTACCCATTTTTTGGCGAGAATCACGTGCGGCTCGACGGCGGAAAGTTCTTGGCAAGAAGAAGAATAAGGTAGTTGTCGTTGCCGGTCGTCCTGTCCAAAGCTACAAACCTTGGCTTGGCAGCCTGGAAGGTATGAAGCCATCTCCTTGAGCCACGGTCCCAGTTAGTAAGTGGGTGAAGAAGGACGCGAAGCCAAATAAGTGGGGTTTGTGGCAAAGGGTTGCGCCTTTTGGTGTGAGGTGTGATGGAGGTACGTACCCGGCTCGTGAAGAGCGCGGGGGAAGGGACGGGCAGAGTCAGAGGAACCCCAGGAAAGAGCCTTTTAAGTATTGTACCTACCTACATATTGCTCCTGCCTTCCTGCCTGCTTGCCTGGCCCGGGAACAGTCGGGGGAACGGTCGGGAGTGCCAAGCGAAGGTCTAGTAGTAAGCTTATTTCTTGGCGGTACTTTGTACCGAACACACCCTCTCCCAACGGCCATTGACTCTCCGATAGGTCGATGGCACCAACCTGCCTAAGCATTCAAACACAAACTTTCCATGATTTAAGCCGCCATCGATCCGATGCACCTCATGTAATAGTATCAGTTGGAGCGGAGGCCATCCCATCCCACTTTGAGCTGACACCCTTCGGCCTGAAGTCCTTTGTTCATATCTGTTCTTTGCTTCTAATTCCGTCACCTCTCGTAGGATTGGAATATACTAATATAAGGGTCTCCTTGCCAGCAACCTGACTGGGGGTTCGCAACCGGGCATGCCCACCTCCTATCCGACATCTCCTAGACTCCTACGGTTCACACACGACGTCACACTTGGTGACTACTCGATTACGTTATTACTATTTTACAACCTCCTCGCCGTTGCACAGAGAATTTCATCCCAGCTACTATTCGGCTTCGCGGCCCCTTTAGACTTTGGCAGTCGATATGGCCAACGCTGTATAGTTGCTCTAGACCCCCACCACAAGCAGCCCAGTGCAGTTTACCCGACACATGAATATTACGATACGTAATGTAATTCGATACGTAGCACTTCTCTCACATCTCATTCCCTTTATGCGGGTACAGAATACCCGATAATGCAAAGCAATCACAGAGCCAGACTTCACTTGGTTGAAACCATTGCGCGTCGAGTCACGCCCGAAGCAATCTCGTTTGATTAGAGCATTCCTTCCTCATCTGCTCCGTTTGTTGGATAAGTTTAATTCTAGGAGAATATCTGCATGCCCGTGCAATAAACACTAAACTCAAAACCAGCTGTTCATCAGTCACTTGCAGTCGCAAAGAACACGATGCACCAGAATAGACTGCTTCCCCAGTTTCCGACTTACTAACACGCACACACGGCATTTGACCAGTGGAGATGCACTATACGATACTATCACGGCATTTTCAACTTCAGGTACCCTTCCGTATCGTGCTTCTCTCCGCCCTCGTCTCGGACCTCGCCGGCTTCCCCCATGCTCTCCTTCAGCCCCCTCACGGCTCTCTCACCGAGGGCCGCCACGCTTCCCATGCCCAGCATTTCGAGAACACTGATGTCGAACCCGAACGTGCCCTTCCACCAGCTACGCATCTCCACCGCGACCAGACTGTCGAGCCCGGCTTCTTGCAGCGACATGCTCACGTCGATGTCCTGTTCGTTTTCCGTAGGCTTCAACAAGAGGCGGAAGAGCTGCGCGGCAATCTGACGCGCCACGAATGCCGAAGAATCTGCCAATGAGAGAACCCCGGGGTCTGTACTGGCGGATTTCAGAAACGATGCCAAGACACCCCGGTCGGACGAATCGCTTGTGCTGATAGTCTTCTTGTCGCCGTCGAAATTGTAGTAGAACCCCATCCGGCGGTCCTCTTTCCAGATGACTCGGTTTGCGGCGTCGCTCAGAGGCGTCAGGCTTCGATGGCCGAGCACGAGCTGCTTATCGTTGACAAACGCTGGCGGGGCGGACTCTCCGTCGTAGAGAGTACGAGGCTTGATGGCAAGAGCCAGTGCGTCGAGCAGCTGGGGGATCTTGATGCCGAAATACCCCTGCCCTGCCAGTCTCTCCATCAACAGCGGGGTTTCGGCAAGGTATCCGTAGTCCGTCATGGCACCGATGTCAACGACGCTGGCCTTCATGCCCAGCGACTGCCGGTACTGGACAGACGCATCCAAGAACGTGTTGGCTGCGGCGTAGTTGGCCTGGCCTCTCTGCCCGACAACGGCCGAGATGGAGCTGAAGAGAAGGAAGAAGTCCAGCTCCAGCCCGGCGTTGCGGCACGCGTTGTGCAGGTTCCATGTCCCCTGCACCTTTGGGGTCACCGCCGCCGTCCACTCTTCATGCGTCATTTTTGAGATGCTCTGGTCGCGGAGGACCATCGACATGTTGACGACGCCGCGGACAGGCCTCGTCGCGGCACCGATCGCCCTCTCGACGTCGGCGAGTGAACTAACGCTTCCCCCCACTGTGACCACGGAGCAACCCTGGGCATCCAATTCATCCAAGAACCTGCCCTTCTCTCGCGTGTCCCCGCAGCTGCGCGAGAGATATACCAGATGCCGTGCCCCGTTCTCCACCATCCAGTTGGAAACAAGACGGCCCAGGCCACCGAGCCCTCCCACCAGCATGTAGCTAGCATCGCTGTCGAATGACGGCTTGAAAGCCGGGGAAGAGCTGCTCTGAGTGCCATGAGAAAGGCCTTCCATGGACATGACAATCTTCCCGATATGATGCCCCTTCTGCATGTATCGGAAACATTCTTCGACGGCAACTGCGCCAAAGACCTTTATCGGAGAAACAGGGCTGATGTGTCCCTTTTCATACAATTCCACAACCCGCTGCAACAGCCTTGAAGACCCGTTAGCAATGTTCCCCTATCATGCCGTCTAACATGCTTACCTATTTCCTTCTTGGGGTTTAACCTCAATGAGGTGACCAAGGTCCACGCCATGGTAGCTCCGGTTTAGCACAAACACGTTCAAGGCAAGCTTTCCATTGCCGATGAGGTCCCGCTTTCCAATCTCGATCATCTTGCCGAACTCGGCCACGCAGTTCCATGATGCATGGAGTAAGTCCCCGCTCAGCGAGTTGAGCACGACGTCAACCCCTCTGCCCTCCGTCGCCTCGAGGACGTCCGGGAGGAACGACGCGTCGCGGGAGTTGAAGATGCGGTCTCTGGGTATGCCGTAGAACTCCCCAAGATGCCGAACCTTCTCCTCGCTGCCAACGGTGCAGTATATCTCAGCACCGACCATCTTGCAGATCTGGATCGCGGCGAGACCGACACCTCCGCAGGCCGAGTGGATGAGGACCGAGTCGCCCTCAGACAGCCTGGCTATGTCAAGCAGGCCGTAGACAACTGTTGCAAAGACACAAGGCATGGTCGCAGCGTCTTCGAAGCCCAGGGTGTCCGGGATCTTCACGCAGAGCTTTTCAGAGATGATGATGCCGGTGGAGAAGCAACCGCCCCCGAAGACAAAGACCCTATCTCCTTCAGAAAGCGCCTTACAATCTGGCCCGGTCTGACGGACAATCCCAGCGGCTTCGAGGCCGGGACTGCTCGTGTTAGAGTCGACGATGCCCATGGCGACCAAGACGTCCTGTAATGTGTAAGTCTGGGTTATTGCTCACATCACATTTGGGAGGGTAAGGGGTTGGACAACATACCCTGAAGTTCATGCCGACTGCTTTCGCTTCCACAACCACCTCGTCGCCCTGCAGAACCTTTGGCTTCCTCGGGGCCCAGTGAAGTGTGCTCAAGCGGCCATATCTGCCAATTTGCAGACCATGGCCAATCTCCTTCGTGCCCGGTACTTTGGCACGTAGCTCGTCGTTGACACGGACGGGGTACAGCCGCGAAATATTGACGGCTCCGTCAACGATGCTGTACTCATACTCGGGAGACGAGGAATCACCGTGGCGCCTCTGTTGGAACTTCTTGAAAACGGCCGTCATCTTACGGAGCGAGGCATCGTTTACCTGCTCGAGCTCGCAGGTGGCGAAATCGAGACTCAGTTCGCTCCGGATAGATCGTGCTGCGCCGATCGTTTCCGCCCATCTGGGGTCCACGCAACCGACCTGTGACGACCTGGTGATCCAGAAGATCCCGGCGTGCTGTTTCGAGGCCTCGATGACGAGCGAGCGGAAGACGTCAAAGGTCTCCGCACTTATGTTCTCAAAAAACGGAGCTTGCAGGTCAATGACCGAAACAACTTCCTCCATTGCGGGGGGTACACCCTTCGAGATATCGTGCAGGGTTACAGCATCCGTCTCAGTCTGCGATAAGGCCTCCTGGACCTCCCTCACAACATCCAAAGACTCCACGTCGTGGAGGATGGTGATGCTTCTCGGAGGAAGAATTCCCCTTGAAGGTCTGGCTGTCATGAACGCGAGCAAGTTGGTCGGCTGCTCAGAATCAAAAGCAACATCGTCAAGGCCATCGAAACCAGCATTCCTCAGTTCAGCGCTCCATCTCTCGGGTGTGACGTGCGGCTGGTCTGGCCTACCGTCATCTCCCCCCAGCCACCACCCAGGTAGCACGCCCATGATGAAGTTTAGCGGAAGAGCATTGTAGGACAGCTCTTCCATGTAGAGCCTCCCATCTGGGTGCAATAGTGTACGAACGTTCGTGAGCGTCTCTTTCAGGCTTGGGGTGGCGTGGAGGACGTTGGCGGCCACAACAAGATCGTACGACCCGGCCTCAAACCCCTGACCGAGGGGGTCCTTGGAGATGTCAAGCGCCTTGAAAGACATGTTGGGGTTGCCCTGGAAGCGCTCCTTTGCCGCGGCGAAGAAACCCGCTGAGATGTCCGTGTAAGTGTATTCCGAGTACAACGACGCGCCTGTCGGGCCACG